TATTAATAATTTTATTATTTTTTTTTTTTTAAAAATAATTATTACGTATATTATTACCTTTTTTTCTTCTTTTTTTATAATAAATAATATTATTAATTTATTTTTAAAATTAATTTAAATATAAATCCGTTTTTATTTAAATATAAATTTATATAAATTTATATAATAAATTATTTTTAAGCCGATAATAATAACTATAAACCTTATTAACGTAAAGATAAAAAATAAGGTAAAAGTAAAAAATAAAGTAAAAGTAAAAAATAAAGTAAAGATAAAAGGTAAAACGGGTATTAATTTAGATATTAATATTAATATTAATAAAATTATTAATTTTCAATTAATATATATATATAATATATTATATTATTAAAAATTTTATATATTTATAAAAAAATAATATATTTTACTGTTATTATAATAATAATAAATATAAATATTATTTATTAAATTAATATTTTGATTTAATATTATTATTAAAAATATTATATATTTTTATTATAAATTATAATTATTTACGTATTAATTATATTAATAATTATTAATATGTAAATAGTTATAAATTTAAGTATATAAAGTTAAAATATTTTTTAAATTTATATTAATTATATTTTAATATAATTATATATTATAAGGTTTATAATTATTTTATTAATTAATGATTAAAAAAAGTTTGGTATAACCAATATAGTAATTATTTTCTTTAAATTAATAATAAGAAAAAAGGTTTAATAAAAAAAAGGTATTATCGTAAAAAAAACGTAAAAAAGTAATAATATAAACGTAAACTTTTTAAATTATTTTTTATATAATTTAAAAAATTATATATTTATTAATTATATAAATATATTTTATAATATATATAATTATTAATAAATATATATAATAAAATATCTTTTTTATTAAAATTAAATATATTTTAAATATTATATTTATAAACTATTTTAATTATAACATTATTATTATTATTATTATTATTAGTAATAGTAATAATAATAATAATAATAATAATAGGTATATTTAAATTAAAAAAATAAAGTTTATAAAAAGTTTTTTTAATTAAAAATATTTTTAATAATTTATTTTATAAAAATAATAATAGTTTAATAATTTTAAATAAAAAAAAAGTATTAATTAATTAAATTATTTAATTATTTAAAAATAAATTTAAAAATATATTATTAAATTTTTAAAATTAAGTAATAAGATATTTTTTAAAATAATTAAATTTTTAATAAAATTTTATTTTTTATATAAATTAATATAAAAAATAAAATCTATATAAAATTATATTTTATTAAATATTATATAATTATTAATTAATAAATATTTTATTAATATATTGAAAAGAAAATTAATAAAGGTAGGTTTTTTTATTATTTTTTTTTTAAATTAAAATTTATTTGTTTTTTTTTTAAATATAAAAAATAATAAATTTGAAAATTATTATTAATAATTTTAAAATAATATAATTATTATAAAATTTTATTTTATATTAATATTATTAAAAAGGAAGGTTTAAATCTGGTTTTCTTTTTTAAAGATTTTTTTAAAAAATTAAAAAGAATTATTATAAAATATAAATATTTAAATCGATTAATAAATAATATTATTATCTTAAAAATAATATTTTTTAACTATTTAAATTAATTTTACATTATAATAATAATATTTAATCTTTTATTAATAATTATAAAAAATTAATAATATAAATAAAAAAAATAATAAATACAATAAAAGTTTTAATTATTAAAAGAAATATATATATTATTTTAAATATATATATTAATACGTATAATTTTACCCTTATTTTACGCCTATTATAATTTAATTTTATATAAAAAGGATAATTATTAAAAAAATAATACTTTTTAATAATAGAAAAAATTTTAACTTTTTTAATTTAATTTAAAATATATTATTTTTTTTAATTATAATTTATTTTTAATATTTAAATTTTACTATTAAAAATTAATATATTAAATATAATATAATAAGCCTTCTTTAATAAATATTTAGTATATGTTAATTATAAATATATTTTTATAATTTTAATATTATAAAATAAATTTATAAATTTATTAATATTACGTAATAATTTTATAAATTATTAAATAATTTAAAATAATATTTTATTATTATTTTTACAAAATAATAATAATATTAGAAATATAAATAATAAATTACTAGTTATTTAAAATTATAAGTTTAATAATTTTAATTTAAATTTAACTTAATTATAAAAAAATAAAAATAATAATAATAACGTTATAAAAAATAATAATAATATATAAAATAATATTATAAACTATTTTTTTTATAATAAATTAACGATATAATTAATAAAAAAGTTAAAGATATTTATACTTAAAAATATATCCGTAAAAAAATATCTTATTTATATAAAATATATAAAAATAGCTTTAAATATATATAATAAATTAAATTTAAATAGTTTTAACATAATTATATTTAACAAATTTACCAATTTAGGGGAAAATTTTTTAAATAATTAAATATTAACTATAAAATATGTTATTTACAAATTAAATAAAAATTAAGAATTATTTAAGGCTATATTAAATAAAATTAATATATTTTTAAGGTTTAAACATTAAAATTATACGTAATATATAACTATATTTAAGTTATAAAAATTAAATTTAGTAAGGTTATTAAATATTATTATTTAAGGAAGTTTTTTTAGTAATATTTACCTTTAAAATTTTTTTTATTAACTTTTAAATATTATAAATTAATAACTAATTTAAACGCCAAAATTACAAATAAATTAATATATTTAAATTATTTTAAATTAATTTAAGTAAATATTATAAGTAACAAATTTATTTTAATTAATAATAATAAAATTTTTTTATAACATTTAAAAAATATTAATAAAAATTTAACCTTAAAACGTATGGTTTAAATTGGTTTAAAAAGGTTAAATAATTTTTTAAATAAAAATAAGTTTTTAAATAAATAAATTTAATAAAAATTAATAACTTTTTAATTATAAAAATTTTTTAATTATTTAAAAAAATTTAAAAATTAATAATATTAAATTAATATTTTAATAAATAAATTTTAAGATTTCTACATTTAATAATTAAAAATATTATTTTAATTAATATTATTTAATTTTTAGTAAGAAATATATTTAAACAAAAATACTCCAATTAAATCTTTAATTATTACCCATTTTCTTAATTAATGTATAGCATTTTTTTAAGGATGCTATATTAAATTTGTATAGATAACACTAATACTAAATCTGTAGGTATAAGATAGTACTATTGAATTTATAAGAGTTTGCACCTTTCTGACCTCGACAAAATCATGAGACAGTCACTAAATGATATATTCACACTCTTTAATGGACTTATGTACATAATTCACATGAAACTCGAGAATTTTCATCATTCGATATAAGAAAATTATGAATCTTGATAATTGTTATTACGTTAACAATCATTCCATCCGATCCTGCCAAGGCTGTTTGCTCCTTAAGGCTAATGTTACCTCAAATATGTGGATATCCGTGTAAGTCACCGTATACAACTTACCATCTAATTATGTATACTTGCTCTTTGCCACTTATTCTAGATATAGAATTATAAGTGCAAGTTACCAGCAAAAGAGAGTATTGCTTTGAATTATATTAGTACATTCTCAAAATCCCAAGAGTCCACCACAGCTATTAATTTAGCAAATTATTCGGAAGAGTCGGGAACATGCCACTTAAGATCATCATCTGCGGTAGCGGCATCGGAGGACTTTCAGCTGCTGGGTACCTCCGCGCCAAACATCATGTCACGGTCCTCGAGCGCGGCACGCTCGACTTCACAGTGAACGACTATGGAATGTCAATCGTCTCTAATGCCTTCAATCTCTTGCAAAGAGCTGGCATCAATCCAGAGAATCTTGACATGGTCGTCATGACCCACGTCTGGACAAGAACCCCCAATAATGAAGAGCTGAAAACTACTCATTTCGATACGAGGGCGAGATTTGGAGGAGCCCCCTCTGTACTGGTTAAGCGAGCCAAGCTACAAGGAGAGTTAATGCGATTCGCAACTAGTCCCAAGTTTGCCGGCGCACCAGCTGAAGTTATTGAAAACGCTAAGGTGACTAAAGTCGATACCGCCGCTGGGAAAGTATGGACCGAAGATGGAAGACTCTTTGAGGGCGATTTGATCATCGGCGCCGACGGTATCCACTCGGTCGTTCGCGGCGCCATCCTCGGAGATCAAGATATCTCAGCATCCGTCAAAACTTACAATACTCTATCATTTATGACACAGCTATCTGTCGAAGATATCCGATCAGATCCTAACTTTGCTTACCTATCTGACCCCGCAACCCAGGCTGGTCTCGCCAATGCGCACGCGAGCTCGGGTCCTGAAGTGAACAAGCACATACTTGCTTATCATACCTCGCTAAGTTCCTTACAAGTCTTGGGCTACACCTCCGAGAAGGAATTTTCCGAGCAGTTTGACTCCGCTAAGACAGCCATCATCAAAGACGTCCCCGCATCCAGGGTAATTGAGGAATTCGCACCGGAGTTTGGTGAAGGATTCATCAACCTCTTCCGACACAATAAGATTGACGCCTGGAGGATCCGCGACGTAGCTGCCATGGATAACTGGTTTTCCGGTAAGGCGTTGCTAATTGGAGACGCTGCACATGCGGTAACTCCTCTTGCCGGACAAGGGTCCAATATGACCATCGAAGACGCAGAGGCTTTAGGTTACCTTCTTCGAGACGTGGACTCGCCCGACGCCATTCCAGATATTTTGCAGAAATTCATGTCGTTGCGCAAGGATCGAGTCGATTTCGTTAGACGCCGCTCACACGAGATAGGAGGTATACGGACAGAAGGAGACAGAGACAGGAAGCCGATCACCCCGGAGGAATTTGCGCGGAAGATTTATACTTATCAGGGGATTGAGCAAGCGTTGAGCGGACCGAAGCACCCAGGTACGGGGTAGAAAATATAAACTGGCGCAATCACCGGGGGTTGGGCCTCCAAGTATACCGCCCATTGTAAGTATTTTAAGGTGCTTGTTAAATAATAAGGCTACCTCCTATTCCCACATGCATTCCTGTACCGTAAAGCTGAAACACGGTAGACTACTAGAACGAATAGCACCTATGGTCTTGACTCGTATGTCCATTTAAATACATCGAGAACGTAGTTTTACAATTCTTTCCATTGCGGAATGTTTACTTTCATTCCAAGGCACTATTGCTTCCTGTAAAATTGTGTGAATCCATTTACTGTCTGCTTTCATACGCAGAATATCACCAGTATCCATTGCGTTTTGAATAGAAAGGGGGTGTGCCATCCGATGTTTGCTGAAGTGTTATGGTTGATTGGTGAATAGGGGTTAAAGGGGTAAGTTGATCCGCATCCCTCTGAGTAGAGACTGGGGGATGCAAATGTTTCGAATCCTTGTGGTAGTATCTGTTACTGGAATAATATATTAGAGGAACTTCCCGAGGGCGTCTAGACTCTTCTGGTAGAATGACTGTTTCAATTGTACTAGACTTTTGTCGTCTAGACTGAAATTTAGAACGTCGCCGATTCTTATCGGACATGGCAAGCCAGAATGAACGAAGGCCCGGTGCGCAGCCGACGATAGCAGTGCCGAAAATCTCCGTATAACTATAATCGTTTCAAGATTAATACAACTTATAGCCAGAATGGAGGTAATTTTACAGACTTACGAGGTGATCGCAATATTTCCATCGTTCCATAGGGGATCATTACCATATCGCACAATGATTCTATACGCCAGACCGGTAACGCTAGTAGCAACTACACTTATGTAATGTTAGCAGATGTACTACATCGAAGTAGCACGGAAATGGTCTTACAGAAGACCGATGAGGAACACGATTATCAAGTTTCTCTTTTTATCTCGGTCGATAATAAGCCTAGAAGTAATGCATATAGGTATTATGACCACAGTGATATCGAATATTACAGCAAATACACCTAAAGTTATGGTCTGAGGTCCAGCAGATGTGGCACACGTAGCGACGAAGGCGGCGTTCCAGTGTTCGTTAGGAATTGGCTTGCAAACAACCAGCATATATATGAGAGGGGCAATAGAGAAAATAACGACAGCTCCTATGAGAATGTAGGACGTGCGTCGAAGCCATTTTAGAGAACCAAATACCCGGATGAAAAATGCCGGAATAGAAAGTTTCACGAAGGCGTGGGCGATCATGTTCAGGATCTCACCGACAAAATGAAGCTAAGGAGTATTAGCCGAGATATCTAAGTAATAATATGGATTCTTGTTTGATCTCACTTCGAAGAGCCGAAAGGTAATGGCGCTGACGGGTACGTCCCATGTGTGTTTGAACAGCCCAGCCTTCGCTTGAACTAGATTTGACTAGTCAGACCATTGCGAATAAGATGATATAATAATAAAAAGAGACATACACTTATATAGTACAACCCAGTAAGAGATCCCAAAGGCTTCTCCCAAAACACATAAACCTTGACAGGGTTATTTCGATGTTAGCAGTGTCCTATAATCTAATTATTTAGCAAGCCAAGGTCAAGAATTACTCACAGTCGTCAAGATGCAGCTTTCTACTGTGTTTAAGCGACATTCCCAGACGTATAATTATTAAAATCGTGCTAATTGGTATAAACGCGAACCCTGTCGCTAGTACTACCCACTGAAGTGTAGACCCTCCTTCAAAGTTAGGAGGGTCCCCATTTGGGTTGCCGGCGAGGGGGATACTTGACGGATCCAGTCCTGGCAAAGTCTCAAGAAGACTCATCGTGCCGAGATGTTCACATAGCCAATTATTTCTAAGATATCAGCATCGAAAGTGTCGGAGGTAGGAAATATGCTTATGTATAGGAAGGAAGCAGAATATATTTTCCTACAGACCCGGTGGGGGGAAACACATCTATGACGACCTCCCACAAGGGTCTGTATAAACGAAACAGACTAGGAGCGCGGATTTAGAAATGTGATAGCACCACCAGGGCTTAAAATAGACATGCAAATCGTGCTGGTGTTGGTGAGTATTCAGCTGCTGCGAGCTGTTAGAGCTTCTTATCTCCGAGGTGTTGAATCCTCACCTTTTTGGGAAATATTCCTCGAGTACGACATGGCGTTGCATTGTGACTCTGCGGCGAAGGATGACACTCTAGTATAAAACGTAGCATTTTGTTAGAACAAAGCTATCAAAAAATCGATTTTACCTAATAGAAAGTTTTAAATAATTAACGTTAGGCTTTCTTTTACCAGATATGCAGCCCTAGGGCGAGGCGGGTAAGGGAACATATCGGGCTGACAACACGGATCTCCTTCACAACCCCGCTGGCGTAGATGATGGGCATTGAAATATGCGTCAGGGGGCGTGAGGGGTCGTGAATTCGCAAAACAATCAAGGTTCTTGGCCAAACACGTATATTGAAGAGAAATGCCCTCCAGATTGACCCCCTATTCCGCTAAACAGAGTCCAGCAAGCTAGTCTAAAGCTGTCATACAATAATCAGGATCCCATCAAGAAGACGAAACAATATCTTGGAACCAATCAAGAATCACCTGCCCACTGAACACAGCCGCGCCTAACGAGCAATGCTCCCCGGCCCCATCCACCGACTCAAACATATGGTACGTAGCGAGATCTCCCAGCTTGTCCGCAAGTAGCTTCGCCTGCCCCTTGAAGAACATATCGTTCTGCGCCTCGGCGACAAACACGGGCGTAGTAATATTCTGTACAACCCCATCTAGCCTGTACTTATCAACCTTGGTCGCCCACGCGAACGGGCTCGTCTCCTTGAATGCCCAGAGGCCCTGCTCGATGCCCCAGCGCACGGACGTCGGCACGCCATTCGGCTGCGCCAACAATGCGAAGATATTAGCGTCGAAGGCGCTTGAATTACCCGCGCGGAACAGCGCTTCCATCTCGGGCCCGAACTCGTCGAAGATAACCTGCCCAAAGGAGTACAGACCGTCAAAGGCGATGACGGCGGCGAGACGGTGCTCGAAGGCTGCGGCACGGGGGGCTAAGTAGCCGCCGAAAGAAAGGCCCAAGAGACCGATCTTCTTGCTGTCGATGTCGCTGCGCGAAATCGCGTAGTCAACTATGGGCGACACGACATCCTCCCACTCCGGGATGAAGCCAATATTCTGCTGGCGACGCACGGTAGGTTGTCCGGGGCCCTCGAACGTGATCACGTTGATGCCGCGCTGGAGGGCTGCCTCGCCGATCACGTGGTACATTTCCTCCTGCGAGCCGTCGTAGCCGCTGCACATGAGAATCGTCGGACGGGGGCCTGGCTGGCCGCTGCCGAAGAAGATAGCCGGAATCTGGAAACCCTTGCCTTGTAGCGTGATGCGCTCGCCAGGGACTGGCAGTAGTGCAATTGCCTTGTCGAAAGCCGCGAGCTGTTTGGTCCAGAGCATGTTGATCCGGGAGTCGTTCCAATTGCCATGGAGGAAGAAGTCGGCTGAGCGGTAGTAGGTCGCTTCACGGAAAAATGCGTTCCTCGCAGAAATGGGGTACCGACTAGAGTCAATGGCGCTCGCTTGGTTCTGAACCCGATCGGCAAGGCTATGGAAGGCATTGTAGTAGCTTTCAAAATCTCCCGCGATGATGTGATTTGCAGCAACTAAGACTTCGCCCACATCCGAACCCTGGTAAGGTGCCAAAGCTAAAGCCCGAAGAATCTCGAAGTGGAAGTCCTCATCAGAACTCAGCTGAAGCATAGAACCAGGATCGGAGTCGTTACTCCGTTTGAATAGTTGAGACACTTGAACATTCTTTCCCACGTGCGGAAGTCCCTAATATTCATATGTTAGTTTCAAGAAGATGGCTTCTAGGTTCCATTGGGGGGTTTTTTATACACTTACAAGGACCAAACTTGAGCAAGTGAGGAAGAATAACGGTATACTTACGGATTTCATGACGAAAACTCATATAAGTAACGGTTGAATAGAATAATTCGTAAATTTCCTTGCCTGTAGTAGCCAGAAGTAGTTGCTTGTTTCGAGAACTTGTTATCTTCATAGGACAAGCTCATCGCTATATATACTACATTTTGATTATTGGTATCGTTATAAATTATTCAGCTTCAACTACAATATTTTGATACTTCGTCATAGCTGGAGGCGCAGACATACTCTGCCCATGGAACGAATATTCAGATTGTTTGGTAGACCTAAGTTGGTATTGACAACGATATGTTAGTGATGTGAGCGAAAGCGAGAACGAGGACGAGAACGATGCACTAAAATGCTTGGCGATGGTCCCACGTAATACTGAACCATTACCATTTTGGCAACATTACATGACCCCAGGTTAAAGGATTGAATCTGCATGTTTAAATTAATGAGGATGCCCATGAACACTAAAATTATTTGTTTTCTATAGCTTCCAGTGGCCAGGCGAGTAGACCTTGCCATACGTCAGGCAGTATGCCAGCGATTGCGCGGAGCTCATCAGCTCCTATATTGGCAACCCACCAGATGTTCTCAAACCTCGTTAGCAGTGCGAAGTAGTGAGCGAGTATGACTAGAGACCTTGGTGATCCTTCCTGAACTAGTTCGACGAATCGTCGTCCTACTAGCATAGGAAACATAATTAACATTCTTAAGACGATACATGATAGCCCTTGCTCGTCTATTAGGTCAAGGATAGTGCACATGTAAGTGAGTATACGCTGATAGGTAATTTGGATTTCCTCATCCCAAGGCTCGATAGCTCGAATCTCCTCGGGGCGGTCCATCAGATGTTGCCATCTCTGATAATCCCCTACGCTTGATAGTTTTCCGTCATTGTGTATACCGCGAGTATCCTTAATTAATTGGAAGACTGGCGACTGAGGATCTGGACCCGTTCGCTTTACTACCTCGACGAATGTTGATGTAGATGCCTGTATTAAAGCGAGCCATTGCCATGGCGGCGTGTAAGGTTGATAACTTCGACCTTCGAGCTGGAGAAGTGCAACAGCCCTTATCAAACATGATGTTAAGCAGACTGCATCTGCCGTTTGTTTGTTCACATTTGATAGCTCTCTATTATGTTCCCGAACGGCCATAGAGAAGTATGAATTAGCAGCATTCTCGGCGCCACCCACAATTTCTTCGCTTCTACCAAGCTTTGCTAAGTGTAGGGCTGAGACGGTGTACATGGAATATAACAAGCCATCGGACTCTAGGGCGAATTTCGGAACCACCCGAGAGAATAAACCTCTAGTGTGGTGGTCAATCGCAATTGTTTCTCCCGTCTCAACAACATATTGATGCATCAACCTCGCCTCTATCATTCGCCGCGTGCGACTTTCCGGCGGGTCGCTTTCCTCAAGCCTGTAGGTAGGTAACTGAGCTAGGGTCGGCTTCCCAGAGGCTGCTTTTACGGATGCATTGCGATCGTAGATGCAAGGCAAGCCGTGGCGCTTGCAGTTATGACAGGTCGGCTTTTCCTCGTTGCACTGAAAAACACCAAAAAAAAAACCTATTAGTTGGATTTGCAGTTGAAGTGATCAGCTTACTACCACCTTTACTCTTCTAGCTCGGCAACGCTGGCAACCTACAGAGAGTGAGACTGAGAATGTATATAAAAATGGGTTCAGACTACATACCGAACATGGATTTCTTATGCCCGAGTTTCGGTGCTTTGTGGGGAAGCGGAAGACTGGAGCCGGACGCCATGATTGAATATCTACTGTCGTAAACCTAAACGAAGTGTCATGATAGAGTAGAGTAAGAAGGCTAACAAGGACGCGAGAACGAGCGCGATCTTTAACCGAGAACGATTTCGCTTTGATATTATTTGCTAGGGCTGAGCGGTCGGGGGTCCCTGGAAGGAAGATCGTATGGGTTGGGGTGGCTCAGCTAGGTCCACCAGGTCCAGCATTATCGCCCATTATTAGTACCATGGTAATAATCTATCCAGCTTTACATAGACATCGGGAATAATGTCTAATCTCATCAATCTAAAACCCGTAGCCTATTCCGTCCGCGAATAATACGACATCCAGGTTCAACCAATCGCGTTCCGGCGCTTTTAAGTTGAAAAGGAGATATCGAGCTTAGTTAAAGCTAAAATAACATCAATTTTGGTGTTGCATTCTGTTCTGGTTCATAATGACGATACAAAAGACTTTCAACGGCACGTGTCTATCATTAACTGGGCAATTTATAGCAGCTTTCTCTCTCGTAATTATCAGTACAGGTTGATGGATTAAAGGTTTGAAGAAAAACGAAATACATTCATGCCAAGCGAATCTGCGTCATGTTTCTTGCAAGGTACCTAGCGAGCAATAGCTTCTATCCACAAAGCAAAGCAAACATTCCATAGTCTCAGCGTAGACAACGCATTAGTCATGCATGACTATAACTATCAATAAACCATCCCTTTACCTTCATTCAAACTCAACAATTCATCGTGACAATTATCATGCCTGGTTGGCAATCAATGGAAAGAGACCGTCTTGCCAAATGTCACGAAACAGTGTAAAAATGAAAACACGGATGCGTATAGAGCATCAAATCAATCCCTACGTCGGATTCTGTTTAACATCGAGAGTTCGATCGAGGGCAGCGCCCGATTAAGTTGGCGATTTTTTTTTTTTTTTGGACGGCAATTCACCAGATATCTCCTGTGGGCTTAGTAGGATGCTTTCGTAGGTTCTCCGCTAAATCGGATGTCCAGCTCAGGGTACGCTGAGAGACGGACTCTGATGGTGTCGGAGAGCCTCTGACTTCGATGGTCTCTTTCCACTTCCTAAAGGAAGTATTGTTCTCTTCACTTCCCGGACCCCAGCCGAAGACTGAAGGGGACTTCTGACTATTCCTATAGTGACTACGCCGAGGAGGGGTACGAATGCCGTTCTGGTTCTCGAGTTTAGGAGCACCTTTGCTGTTCTGTGTTCGCTGATTTGCCCCAGTAAGATCTCCTCTTTCATGGCCCGTCCCTCGGCGTCGAGAAGCATAGCCTAGGTTTTCCGGTTGATGGCTACCCCAATGGTTGTAGCTGGTGGTTTTACCTTGGTTTGCGTTAGGGAGTTTGCCAACCCACGGAGTCTCCGTATTGTTCTTAGTAAGCTGCTGAACAAAATCTTTGACGATATCATTGTCGGATTGAACCCCAGAATTTCCAGAGACGCGGAGTTTCTCGGCATCAGCCTCAATGGCTTGCAATTCTTTAGTGCCTTGCAACTTTTCAAGAGGAATAGGCTCTCGCCATTCGTGGGGTAATATCTTACGCTGTGAGGTTCGCAAGTTAGCTCATATTGTGATATTTAACCAAGGGAAGGAAAGGGAAATGTACATTTGACCGCTCGTATTCCCCGTTACGAACAACAAGTTCGGAATCGTCAGTTGCGACGACAAGAGGAGATGCCACTGAATTGCATATTTTCTTGGTGGAGGCGTGGATAAGGTCGACAGGTCTAAGAGAAATGCGGTCATGGTTCTCCAACTCCGCATGATGAATACCGATTTTGTCAGATACCAGTCTTGCACTACTGGTTTCTGGCGATGAGGAACCATGCTGTTCGAAGCTATTACCATCCTGATAGATAGAGTCCTTCAAGCTGTATTCCTCTTTCTTGGATCCGACAATTCGACTCATGGAAGAAAACCCATGAGGAGAAGAAGACTCACGAATAGGGCAGATAGCTCCATCGTGGTCAGATTTGGAATTAGTAGAAATCTTAGTGTCCACGTGCTTTAGAGCATGATGAGTCGGAGTCAACTGCTTCTCCTGGGCACCGGTAGCCTCGCTCTGGAGGAGATAGACCAAATTCTGAAGAACATCTCGATGAAGACCGGTAATAGCCGGGTTTGATTCAAGAGATGTGAGGATCTTGATAAGTTAGGATATATCGAGACTGATGTGACATGCGAAACGATGCAAACAAATACTTACGATCTCCAAAGTTTGCGCTGCTAACTGATTTCCATTGGCATGCTCAACGTGCTTCTGAAAGTAGCTAGAAAGCATACCTTTCTCCGAATCTCCGACTTGGACAACGTTTAACAAGACCTTAATGAGGTCGGGGAAGAGTGAAGCCATCTTGGCGGTCTGTAAAATATATCAGCGATTAGTTATTCGTATGAACTGTAGAGATATGAGAATGGAAATATTCAATCGCGAAGTATGGGCGGATGGTATCTACCTTTGGCAGGTAAATTCTATTGGATGTAGGTAGCTAAGGGAAGAGGTAACAACAGTGATTGTATTTACAGACCTGTGTAAGTTTGGTGCTTACCTACATGTAGGTAAAGACCAGTAGGTATGAGGCAACGATGACTAAGAGAGACGCCACAGGGGAGGTGCTTGTTGACAATCCAAAGTACCTAGGTAGGAACGATCAATGTAAATGCCAAGATGTAATAGAAACGGGTGATTCGAGGTTAATTCAGAGACAAGGTAGATTAGGTAGTGAAACAAATAATATAAAGTAGGAAGGAGAAAGGTAATTGTTGGGGGAATTGGAGATTGCTAAACTGGAGATGTTACCTAGACTGCCATTTGGCATAAAGATTATTTTGTGTAGTAAAAGAAAATATATTTCCATATACCTAAGACAGGCAGGTTTAATGCACACAAGTGTTATTTGGTTGAGAAATGATTAGGGAGTGTGTTAGAGAAGGTGTTAGGGAGGGTGCGCCGGGGGATGCAGTCCGGAGGCAAGTAGCCGGGCCGGAGAGCAAATTTAGAAATTACCGGTCCTACCCTGTACCGAATGTTAACTGCATATATGTAGTACATAATACATACATTGAGGTAGCCATCTGCATGCATTAGTTACATGAGGTACCTAATGCAAGTGTACTAGGTACTCACATTCGACTTTACATAAAGAAATTCATACATGTAGGTACCTATTGTACACTCAATGTGTACCTATGTACCTAGATATGTTAAGGTGGAATTACCTAGGTATTTTCTCCAAGAAGCAATCTTCAACAAGACTATTTCCAGCCAGTCGCCCAAAGAAAATCTAGTTAGATCTATGCTTTTCCAATACTTTGGCTTGTATGTAAATAATCCCAAAGAAGAGCGGAGTTGATACTTCGTTCTAGGCATATTTTCTTTATAACTATCACAAATCTCAGTGCAGCCTAATAGTGGCCAAGAGCATGTCCACCAGGCTACTAGGTAGTTGTCGTAATTAAAGAGATTTGATAGAAATGACTGAAGTTCGTTTTATAATGGTTTGAAATTGGGTTATTATATTGATTGGCGATATTTTTACCAAGGGCAATGTTCCATGCTATGTAACCTGGAGTTTTTCGATGCAACGTCAGAAGAGGAAATACGCGCGGGGTTAACGATGACTGATATTTTCTTCCATCCGTCTCACCACTCAACAATCTTACGGTATTCTCTTATTCAAATCAACTTGTGGCTTCATGTATTTCTAAGATAGGGTGGGTATTTACTTCCTAACCTCAGGTAGTCATTTGTAACCCACAATGGAGTCCAGGAAGAGTCAGCAGAACTGGGCTAAACGTCAAGCCAAACGCGTGAAAGATCATATCGGGAGCATCAAGAACCATATCAGAGGAAATGCAAAGGCTGAAAACTCTCAAGTAGATGTATATGAGCGTGTGTCTTCGATTTGTGTATATTTATCTAACTACAGAGAGCGCATAGGCATTGTTTTAAATAAAAGTCCAATCCCCGAGGAAAGCACAGGTTGTCGACCTAGTACTGGGATAACCCACTTCACAGATCATCCAATCTTGGCTCCCATAGCTGTAGGAAACTCCGACGATGAATCGAATAATTCACCGTGTATATCTGCTCACTATGCAACCCATGGAGATATAACATTGAATGAATTGTCTCTCAATATAATATACCGAACAAAATCCAATAATAGTGACCCCCCGAATACATCACAGCCTAGACCTTCTATGCATAAAGAGGATCATGAAGCTAGAATAGAAGCATATCTCGGCAGTTTAAGTAGAAGTGGTTCCGGAGAGCTTCTAAGCCTCGACTAGCTTTGGGCAGCGGCGTATAAAATGTTCGAGGAAAAGGATCCAGAGCTTTTGGAAACTTATAGGCTAGTTCTGCTAGAAAAAGGCGGTTTAGAACAAACCAGTGAGTTAATATCTACATGCAAAGGGGTTTATACTAACTTATATCAGACGGTATTGAGTCACAACTTGGCCATGGAAACTGGCAAAAACAGGTCCAAAGGCTCGCCCAAGAGAGGTTCGATGTAAACCAAAAGGAGAGACTCAGCTTCCAGGTACGAGGAGGGAACGCCATCAGTCGCGATCAAATTCAGAAGATTTTGGGGGTAATTATTTCTATCAAAGATTCCGTGGCAATCGCTATTTCATCGGAACCCTTTACCGCACTAGGATGGGCAGGTGTTATGTTCATTTTCCCTGTAAGTCGGGCTCGACCCGTTGGTTCTCCGGGCGGTTATGTGTGCTAAACTAAATTGATCAGCTCCTGAGCACAATGTTGCAACAAGACAAGGATGCCATAGAAGGGTTTGAATGTATATTGTACCTTCTAGTTTGCTGCAGACTTATAGCCAACAGCTTTTTACAGCCAACTTCTGCAAACTTAGAGTAAGGACATTTTCCTATCGCGCTTTAAATACGTTCTAACTCTTATATCCAGTCCTTCCGAAAGCCACCACAATGCCTTCCTTGCTCTTCAATCGAAGATTATAGAATTTTACTACAGCGTCTACAAGTACCAGATTTCAGTTTTCCTACACTATAATCTCTCTACTCCCGGTAGATGTTGGACAGACTTTAAAACCAAGAATGACTGGAAAGGAACTTCAAGCCAGTTTAAAGCCACAGAGAAACAAATCAGGGGAGATATACAAGTCTTATCATCCTATAAAACTAATATGGTAGATGAGAAGCTTCGGGATTTTCTATCTAAGAGCAAACAGCTCCTAGAGGCATTCAACAGGAGTATAGAGAGCATAAATGTAAAGCCAAACCTCCAGTGATGTCTTTTTATTATGTACTAACTCGCACGTGTTAGTAAATTGAACAAGCTTCACTTCTAGGTCATCTTCCTGTCGCTAATTCTGCAGCGTTTGAATCCTCAGAAGCAGGCCGACAATCCTGCACTCCAGGCACTTAATTGGAGATATTTAACCGCTTACAAAACTGGGTAGAAAACTCTACAAAGCCAATTTTTTGGCTTCGTGGCATGGCTGGCACGGGTAAATCTACTAAGTCGAAGCACCGTTACTGGGGCCACCCTAGTGGGGACCACCCATTTCCCATACAAAATCAACAAAATCACCTATTCATAACTCATCCAAGAAAATAGCTAAAAATATCCAGTCTTTATTTTCTAATCCTTTACTACTATAATAGCCTATATAATCTTTTCCAATCTTTTGTTATGACCATTTCGTGGTAAAATTGTAAGAAGTGTTATTTTTGGTCATTTTTTAGCATTAAAAAGTTTCAAAAATATATGGGAATTTTATATATTTTATTATAAAGGCTTATAACTTCCACCAAAAATTAGCTATACATTTCTTTTTAAGATTAAAAGTTGTATTAAAAAATTCTTTATCCAATTATATGAATATGGGATTTTTACTATATAAATTGGCAAAGTTATAAGCATTAATTATCGTTAGCAGTTATACATATAAATTTGTATGTGTATCTGTTAGTGTATTTATTTATAATCATTTTGCCACAAATATTGACCCAATCTTTTTTTCAAATCGTGTACATAATGGGAACACTTTATTATATTTAAAAATGAAATCCTGATACTTTTACCTATTTTCTTGGATGAGTTATGAATATACGATTTTGTTGATTTTGTATGGGAAATGGGTGGTCCCCACTGGGGTGGCCCCAGTAACGGTGGTTTGACTTATTGCTTAAACAGTTGCTGCATCCTTAAGTAAGAATACCTCCTTTAGCAATGACTCACGGCTACTCAGTAACATATCTCTCGGCGCAACTTTCTTCTTCAAGCAGGACGACAGTAGTAGGAACCATGCGGGGGTGCTATTTACAACCCTTGCACACCAATTAGCCCATAGGCCTCTCGGCCTGGAAAGTGAGATAGCCCATGCTATTAGGCAACATACGAGTCTTAACATAGGTGTGCGAAACATAAAAACACAGTGGGAAGAGTTGATCCTAAAACCCCTGAAAAGAAATTCGGAAGATTCGTCTTCCTACACGCGCCTCGTATTAATCATTGACGCCTTAGATGAGTGCTGACACAAAGAAACAGGGACTATGAAAGCGAACGTTCAAGACATTGCCCATTCGTTAGGACGTGTTAAAGAGCTATCTAAAATCCATGTCCGGGTTCTCATAACTAGTAGGAACGAAACTCACATTTACACGGCCTTTAAATCACTAAAGGGATCGTATGAAGAGCTTGAGCTTCCGAAAGTTATACTTGATGGCCCTCGCGATGATATAACAATTTTTCTCGAGAGCAATCTTTACAGTATTTGGGAAAATAATGGAGTCGGTTCACAATGGCTTAGTCCAGAAGATTTCCGAAAGCTGGTTGAAAAATCTGACGGACTATTTATTTACGCGGCGACTGCTTGAAAACTCCTGGATGTCGTTGATCCAGATATGGCGAACAGGCGATTGCGTAATCTTCTTGAAGGAAACCACAACACGGAGTCTCCAGAGTCCCCAGAGTCCAACTTGGACAAAATATACCGCGCAGTCTTAGATTTTTATACGCGGGACTTGAGCGACGTTGAAAAGCAAGAGGACTTTTTCCTGAAAGAGATTCTACGGTTAATCGTAACGCTATTCAAGCCCCTACCAATCAGTTCACTAGCCGAGTTTACGATATCGAAAAGACCGGTGTCTAGGGTGGAAGAATGCCTACATAGTATACGTTCCATCGTCGACCTCCCAAAGGAGCATAAATCACTAATTAGCCCAGTACATGTCTCATTCTACGAGTTCCTCTTAGATAAACAGAGATGTGGGAGAACGGGCTTTTTTGTCGAGCCATCTACGGTGCATTTCCACTTGTTCGAAAGGTGTCTCGAAATTATGTCGCAACACCTTCATATGGATATGTGTGACTTTCGAAAGCCGGGAATTCTTTCTATCGAAATTTCGTCGAGTTTAATACAGCAGTCCGTCGAACCACATCTGCAATACGCCTGCAAGTACTGGGTTAATCATCTCATACAAATTGAGAAAACTCAGCTACCACAGGATATATTAACCGACGGTGGAAAAATCCATAAATTCTTCCAAAAACACTTTTTGAACTGGCTTGAAACACTCAGTTTGATCAAAGAGGTTGGAAGCGCTGTCCACGCAATTAACCATTTAAAGGTATTAACCAACGTGAGAACCTTAACTCTTCACTTTATATGATAATATTCATAAATACTAATTATTTTAGGCGTCAGGGGGTCAAGAATTATATAATTTCCTTCGGGATGCATACCGCTTCATCCTTTTCAACATACAAATCATTCGAGACGCCCCTCTTTAGGTGTATTATTCCCCAATTTTGTTCAGTCCATCTACTAGCATCGTACGACGTCTATTCCTAAAGCCGCTCATTGAGTGAGTTACAAAACTTCCCATTGTACACAAAACCTGGAGTGGTGAATTGCTGGCTATTGAGCACGACGATGTTGTTATGTCAGTTGCAATCTCCCCGAGCGGCAAAACAATTGTCTCTCAGTCGGGTTATGTGGTCCAGGTTTGGGAGGCTGCTACAGGCACTGAAATTGCCAAGATTGATTCTTTGACAGATGAAAAATATTTTATAAGAGTTTCAATTTCGCCAGATGGCTAAACTATTGCTTTAGGCTTGAAGTCCGGCACAATTCAATTATACGACGTGCAGACGAACGAAAGCATATATCTGTTAGTAGATCCGTTAGGTCATCAGGAATACCCCCCTATTGTGGCTTTTTCTCCATGGCCCGGTACGAAATTGTTAGCTTCCGCATCGTATAACAACATGTGTCGTGTGTGGGATGTATCAACATGAGAAAATGTCTTCACGAATAAGATTGCGGGATCTGATCATATATACGAGGTTGCGATTTTGCCTAATGGTAGCCTAGTGGTAGTAGGGTTTATTGACGACTTCGAAGAAGATATCATACAGGTATGGAATATAAGTACGGGCGAGTCAGTGGCCAAGTTCAATTATTCGAAAACCATCAAATCAATTACATTCTCCGCCGATGGGGTTACGATGGCGTTAGCAACAGAAGACGGGCTGGTTGAATTACGCAATACCAAATCATGGCTTACAACTATCAGTGTATCCCACGAGATGCTCCCAAATTCAGTTGTATTCTCCCCCGACGGGAGCATCCTTTCAATCGGATACGAACCTAGGACAATATACCTTCACAATCCGGTATCTGGAAAGAAAATTCGTAAGATAACCGTTGACCAGCATTTGCGCGATATGGTGTTCTTTCCAGATGGAAAAATATTAGCTATCACATTCGTTACAACTGTCCGGTTATGGGATATTACTATTAAAGATGAGACGAAAGTCTCCAAAGATGGACATGCTAGGGAGCTCACAATTCCTCACGATAGTAATATTGTTATGGCGAGTTCCTACAAAGAAACCACAATATGGGACTTGGAAAAGTTCGAAATCAAACTAGACATCCCACACGATAGATGGATTCCACATTCTCTGAGAGATGTTATTATAGGGCCTACGATCCCGACCTTCCACTTACGTTTCCTAGAAGTGCGCGACTTTTCCTATTCCACAGAATACTGTGATCTTGCGCCTATATTGTCGCCTGACGGTGCATTGGTAGCCTTCCGCCCAGGGAAAGAAGAAAACTATGTCTTTCTGCTCCAGATAAACACGCAGGAAGTACGTGCGAGGATACCGCTAGACCAGAATCAACCATTCATAAAAATATTATTCTCGCCGGACGGTACTCGCATGACAGTACAGGATCCTCAAAATAAGATTACCCTTTGGCATACAGCTAAGGGTGATCTTATACATACTTTACAGACATCCCATGAGATCTGGCCACTTGCAATGGCACTTAATGGAAATATTATTCTTGGAACACGTCCCTCGTATGAAACTTCTATGTTATGGAACCCCATAACAGATCGGACGGCAAACCTCCCTTTTCAACCATACGACATTAATCCGTCTTTCAGTAAAGACAACAAATACTTGGTCAGCGGCTCTGGTTGCCTACCAATCACATCTACCGCTGAAGATTTCGGCTGCCTTTATGTCAGCTATAAATGGGTGCTTCAAGGAGGCGAGAGACTTTTGTGGTTTCCTGAAGCGTATCGTATTTGGAAACGTGAAGTAATAGCAGTACACGGGGGTACAATCGTCCTATGGCTTGAATCTGACTCTGTCAGCTTCATCAAAATTGATCTTGAAAATACCCCTCTAGCGGGGCAGTATAAGAGATCTTCACAGGTTGAGCAGGGGGGCATTAGAGTCACAGAAATAGAGTAGCTTTACGGTACATGTGCTTCCTTTATCCGACTTGCTAGAAAGGGTTAAATGTGGGAAAGGTCGCTTTCATCTATTTAGATACGATATCTCATATGCAGAGACTAATGTACCTATATGAGCTAGGTTTTATACCTTTGAAATTCTGGAAAGTTTACGCTTTCACTATAAGGGTTAGAAGTTTATTGTTTAAATAAAGTTCCCAATTATCATATAAACTGCCTAGGTAAGTAAGTTGTTCAATAAGGTCTACTCATTGTGCTCTAGTTTCTAGCTAGTTGGCCAAGAGGGGAAAATCTCACTCAATTACGATCATTAGGAATATAGAAATAAAATAATTTATAATGCCATTAATGTAAAGGGGAAGTTTAGGGAGAGAAGCATTAGCTATATATACTAAGGGGCTTCAAACAAGATTACTGGGGTATAAATCCAACACTGACAGATTTCTACATAAAATTTTGAAGTCGTATTAACTTGTATCGTGGAGCATATTAATACGCGAGCTTAAATTAAACCCTATACCTAAGAGAAGATGATTTAGACTAATATAGAGAGGGCACGGGTGGCGATAAAGGAAATATTGACATAGAACTTATTCTCATAGAAGTATTGGAAATGATTAATAGACGAAAACTGATTTTAATTTTTAACCAACCCAAGGTCATATAACTCCGATACGCCATGCAATGCACAAAGGATATCGTTCCGAACCTAAAAAGCGATCCTTCTCTTGCGTCCCGTGTACTTGGATGTAGCCTTGACAACTTTTCCTTTTCGTTCCATCTGTTCCTTTTTTTTGATGATCCATGCCTTGCTCCCCTTTTTGATCTCACCCTTACCATTGCGGCTACCATGTCTTGAATCTAACACATCAACGCCCTCCATGCCCTTGATTACCCCAGTAATGTCGCCTCCATTCCCGTCGAGGTTGCCACCACCTACTGTGAGTACCAGGTATACCTTGACGTTCTTGGTCTCTGGGTCATCTTCTAATAAGCCAGCACCAAACCCGGCCCTTACCGCCGCGCTCGTGATCATCTTTTTCTGCTCGTCGTTCTTTGGGTAGAATTGACACACAGCTCGCCCACCTCTCTTCAAGCTTGCGTATAGACCATTGAAGAACCTCGACAAGCGCCCTGCAGGCGATACATCGCTGCTTTCGGCATTACATAGCCATTGTATCGCACTGATACTGATAGCTGCGTCGAACGTGCCGGCTCGGAAGGGAACCCCTTGCCCTATATCGGCTAGTAGTAGATCACCTTCCACATCCCGCTGTAACGCGACATCTAACATAGAGGCAGACACATCCATGCCTACCCACACGTGTGGGCCGCCTTCTTCGGGGGGTATTGAGGAGAGGATCTCGCCCGATAGACCGCTTCCGCAGCCGACATCGAGGATAAAAGAGGGCGAGGGTAGATCGAGGAGCTCAAGAGCTCGATGTGTCATAGATGCCTGAATGTTCTGTATTCGGGAAGACGTTGTGTATTTGCGTGCTTCGGAATCATTGTAGTGGACGTCGGCGGACCTTGATAATCGGGTCAGAGTGACGATATTCTTCTTTGGTGGGGGAGGGGCTGTTTTACGTACAGTGTGTCCTCTGGCCGCGACATGTTGGTCTTGGTTTATTGTAATAATTGAACCCAAATTAGTACCATATGCAGAGAAGAATTGAAATTTAGCGATTGGGTTATGTTGGTTCGGAATTCGGTATCGCGCTACTTTGAGGTATCTAATAAGGTACCTAAGCTAAGATAGGTAGGAATAGGATATTGGTAATGAGTCGCATTTTGTCAATTGCTTGTGATGCGCCGACGTCGAACTTTTCTGTGGGGCAGACTTTTATTCTTATCGTTATCCATTATCTTTAACCTAATCAGATGTCTTAGGTACCTATGTAGGTATCTAGGTACCTAAGTTAGGTACCTATGTAAATAAGGAAAATCAAATTGCCGCTTCCGCCATCAAAGTGTGGAAGGCCACGCTTTCAATTCTTCAGCTCAAGCTTTAGTCGCGTCGGTTCGCCCGGGCCAATCCCATAAAGGCCAAGATATATTATGTAGCCTTTCTCAATGTCATCATGTTTGTCCTTACCTAAGAGGTAGTATCCAACTTCCTTTCCCTCTTTACCAGATAGTTATACTATGATACTCTCATCATATCATAATTGCTACTACGAACAATGTGGATTCTACCTCTCGTTGGGTATCTCGGCTCCATCGTGGGCTTTTGCTTTTTGACATTGGCCATAGGTATGCTCTTGGCATCATATTCTTCATCACAAAGATATATCCATATCCATATATCCTAGTCTAACTTCCCAATATATGTTATCTGATTTTTAACATAAGACTTTTCTCTATAGCTTCCGGTCTTTACTACCTCTCTGAATTAGTCGAGGAACATACCGTCATCGCAAAACGACTTCTAACTAAACTCATCTACTCTATCATCGGACTTCAGCTCATACTCTGGCTTATCGATGGATTCCCTTTGGGGTTGAGCCTAATGGGGATTGTATCGCATGTTATATACCTCGGAAATATGCGACGCTTCCCATTCGTCAAGTTGACGGACCCTTTGTTCATTGCCTCGTGTGGTATGTTAATATTCCTGTCTTTCCATTCGGGGTCAGGTCGGTTAGATCCAGGGGTCACTAACTATGCGGCAGTGCTGGTACTGGTCAATCATTACTTTTGGTTCCAACATTTCTCTGAGGCGCAGCAACGGTCATACTCGCGCCTATCGTCTATGTACGACCACCCGGATGTACCAAGTTTCACCGAGATCGCCTCGTACTTTGGCTTGTGCGTATGGCTCATCCCGTTCGCCTTATTTGTTAGTCTGTCCGCCAGCGATAACGTTTTGCCCACAATCGGTACCGAACAACCCTCGCGTGACGTTGATGGAAAGAGTAAGCGACAAGGCATGGTAAAAGTTATTGTTGATAACGTGCTATCGGCTATCGGAGAAGTTACCCGTTTAGCAGGATGGAAGAAGCCAGAGGACCGCTTCTAAGACCACAGTAGGGTTAAGAATCAAGTAGGTAATAATATGTACGTAAATTCATGATCCGTCGAAAAAGCAGTAATGGTAAGTCATCTATCAGTACCCGCACCTATTTATTGGAAGCTAACCATATTAAAGCATCTCCAACCACAAATATGTATGCATCAAATATAGGCATCTCTACCTTCTCCAATTGAAGGTGTAGACGTGTCTCTAGTCCGACCTGTCTTGAGACAGTATGCTCTAAGACCCGAGGGAGATCGATCAACTAGTAAGTTAACGCTTATTTCTTTGATAATATGAGGAAAATATTTTCATGATGACATCTCCAATTTATTATGCTAGATTGTATTTGAGTCGCTCGACCTTGATGTGAACGATTGGGTTTACCTGAACAAAATATTTCTAATCATATTTCTGAAACATCAGTATTTTTGTATTTGGTTGCTAACTTAAATTTCAGGTATATTAGGCCTCGTGATATATAAATGTTCCAAGTCGAGGATCAGCCAATGCACCGTCACTGTTTGTAACATACATACGAGGATATCGTTGATGTGAGGTTATTGGGTATGACAGCAGACCATCGTTGTCTGCGTTCCATAATCCTCGGCCCATAGGCTACAACATTGAACTGTTCACCGAATAAGGAGTGCATATTCAAGTATACCGATAAAGCCAATGCCTAATGCCAACAAAGATGATGGTATTACCCGCAGACACGACCGTATTCAAGATACTGAATATTTCAAGGAGGGTATTGTTTATAGACATATTCAATATTACTATAAGGCGTGGAAATCCAACAGTATTAGGGAAAATGTGATAAAAAAAAAGTCTACAACACAGGTGAATGTTTCTATCGAAAAACTGGCCTATGAGAAGAGTCTTTATTTGTTTGCCTATTGTAACCCCAATATGCCGCTCGCGTTGACCACCATACACCCTGCCTACTTTGGTCTAATCTATGTACCCAGAGCAGATCTATCTCCCTATTTATCATTAGCCTGAACGGACGGGTTATACAGGTTGAGGCTGAGCAAGATGGAAGAAATCTCCATCAACATTCTTCATGTTTCAAATCTGCTATATGTGTGTAATACAACAGATCTGAGCTGGGTTATTTTTTGCGAACCAATCGAGTAAATGGCGCTGGACAGCAAGGATTGATCGGCAATGCTCAGCCATTGGCTCTCTACATTTTTACCAAGAGCGGTAAGTAGGATGATCGGTAATTGGGCTAAGTTCTGCATCGTATATAGCGGGATCCCCCATGTTCCCACGAGTTGTTGTTCCCAGCCCCAATAAAAAGAATCCTGCTGCCTGGGATTTCAGAATACGAAGTCACCTAACCTTGACTTGCTCATGCTGGGATATACTCCTAAATATTGCAAAATCAGAGCAAAGCAATGTCAACTCCATATATTTACGCTCTCTCATTCGCTCCGCGCCAGAATGTGTTGAATAATAGGAGTAATTGGCTTCTCGAATGCGTGAAAGAATGTCATGTAAGCAGGGAGTTCAACGAGGCTCATTCGACTATTCAGTATGCAACACCGTAGCATGCAATCTTTGATCTGTAACTACAAATGATGCCGCAGAAATGCCGTGTAATGATAAACACTCGAATGGTATACTGCTGTGGGGGCTTGGCCAATGCCAATTTTAATTCGGAGCTGAGCCGTATCATATATGATTTATATCTGCCCCCGATTTGAATACTTAATAATAATCGACAACTTGGTCAGTTATTCTATGGTGTAAACCTACTCAATGACACGTATGGCATAGCTTCTATTACCAGTTGTTGTCAGCTCTGTTGAAGATGAATCTACAATCGCTAGGGCGCCAGACGTGGGCGTTGACGAGGAAGAACCTCCTCATAACCGTTCTTCGAAAGTGGCGCTCGACCTTCTTCCGATCTCTCCTCTTCCCGATACTTGTTCTGGTCCTCTTACTTGAAGTTCAGAATTTCTCCAAGGATACTAACAGATATGGAATCGCCAATCCCCGTTCGGTCAGCAGCCTTGCCGATAGCATGGCGAGTAATTCGAAATCGCTTGTCTTAGTTCAAGAGCCTGGTCTTGGGTCCGACTTTCAGGCTGTTCTTGAGAAGATTACAGACCCCCTTGATTCTAATAGACTTGTTCATCTCGATGACTCCAACAAGGTCGATGCCACTTGCCCGGTAGATTATCACGGGAACTCGCCATGCCATGCGGTAGTAATCTTCAAGGACTCGCCTCTCAGCGGGCATATTAACGCAACATGGAACTATACTATCAGAACAGACCCCAGCCTCAACTACTGGTCTTTCAACGTCTTCGACACGGACAGCGCTGTCGATAAGGTCTACCTACCTTTACAACTAGCAATCGAAAACGCGATGCTTAACTTAACTGAAAGCCCAGACTTCATGCCTTATACTTATCAAACACAAGAGGAAGTGGATGAGCAGTCGAGAAGGGGCTTTATCATTTTGGCGTTGTATCTTTTGTCTTTCGTCTACTACATCACCTTTATCCCAGTTGGCCATCACGTTGCGGGTATGATAGCGTCCGAGAGGGAATCCGGGATGTCAGACCTAATCGACGCAATGGGCGGAGGAGTTGCTTGGCCGAGGGTTCTGAGCTATGTTTTCACATTTGATATTCTATATCTGCCTCTATGGATCATCATGGGAGCTTGTAAGTGACCTTCCGTCGGGTAATTTTAAACGTCGTCTCTAACGTTAGTTAGTATACTGGGCCCTCCTTGTCCCTACCCAAAACGCGGCTGTTACGATATTCTGGCAGATATTCACGGGATGGGCAATTACAAGTGCGTCTGTGTTTGGGGCTGCCTTTTTCAAGAGATCTGCTTTTGCCAGTGTTTGGGTTTCGTTGATCCCCTGGCTGCTAGCTATCTGCTCTGCCTTCTCGGAAAACCTAGCAAGACCAGCTCCTCTTAGCCAGGTCGTTGCGTTGTCTTTCTTCTTTCCTAGCATGAACTACATCTACTTCTTCAACTTCATTGCCAAGGCCGAAATTGCTGGAATCCGCCTCAACATGCAGCAACCAATACCAGACTCGAGCTTAGACACGGGACTGGTTACCGGTCAGGGGCACGGGATCAATTGGGTCAGTCTCACCGGCCCTTATTTCCTCTGGATTATCTTGGTTGTCCAAATCATTGGTTACGCATTGTTAGCCGTTCTGGTTGAGACGCTTCTACACGGGAACAATAACCGTCGTCGAACATTCCATGACGGTCCAGAAGCAGTCAATTCCCATGTCGCTATCGAGACTATCGACTTGGAGAAACAGTATCGGCCATCGTGGTTCAAGAAATTCTTCTGTTGTGCCCGCACTCCGAAAACGAAAGCCGTCGATGGGTTGAACCTTGTCAGTCAGAAACGCCAAATCCTTTGCCTATTAGGTCCTAATGGTTCTGGGAAAACATCAACCCTCGACATGCTAGCTGGATTTCAAGTGCCTACTGGAGGTCAAGTAAACATCAATGCTTCGCCGTCGCAATTGGGTAAGTTACATTATACAATTGGAGCCTGGGTCCTTTTACTAATTTATACAGGTATTTGTCCACAGCGTAATGTATTGTGGGATAACTTGACTGTCTACGAGCATCTGGTCATTTGGAATACTCTTAAAGGCAATACCGAAGATACAGCGGCCCTCGAAAAACTAATTGAAAAATGTGACCTTGCGCTCAAGAAGAACAGCTTTGCGAGAAACTTGAGCGGTGGTATGAAGCGAAAACTCCAACTGGCTTGTATGCTTGTCGGTGGCTCCTCCGTCTGTTTAATGGACGAAGTTACTTCCGGTCTTGACCCCCTATCTCGTCGTGCCATTTGGAATGTGGTTCTTAGCGAGAGATCCCAGAGAACTATGGTGCTAACTACACATTTCCTTGACGAATGCGAGGTTTTATCAGACCATATAGTAATCATCACACTGGGGAAACTCAAGTGCCAAGGAACACCGACTGAACTGAAGAACCAATATGGCGGAGGCTATCGTGTCCACATCCCCAGGACCGAAGACATATCGAGCATATCATACCCAGTGACACAACAACACGATAGGTATATTTGCAGGACGCCGGACTCGACTTCCGCTGCGGGACTCCTAGCCTCCCTAAAGAACTCAAGTGATTCAGAGTTATATATCACCGGTCCCACTATCGAAGATGTATTCCTAAAGGTCTCCGAGGAGCCCCATACCCTCATCGGTGAGACACCGGAGGAGATTTCAATCGCAGACTCTCAGTCAAGCAGGGTGAAAAGCCCATACGTCGAACCACCTCTATGGGTTACCTACTCACAGCAATTCTGGGCTCTCTTCCTAAAGAGGATGCAGATCCTGCGCTCAAACTGGTGGGCTTACCTCTTCGCCCTGGCCATTCCTATCATCGCGACCTATGCCATCGGGACTTTCCTCGAGGACTATGAGATTCCCGACTGCAATCGCCTAATTTCATTTTCACCATATGATAGCCGTATGAGTTACACATATACAAGTTCATTAGCACTCGGGCCTCCATCCGTAAACAGTACAGTCGAAGATATAATTAATGCTACGAGTAGGTATCGCTACAGCGGCTATGGCGGTGGGCCCTACCTCCTAGATAGCCGGAACGACCTCGAGGACTTCGTTCGTACCAACACCGTGAATATCTCGTATGGCGGCGCGGCATGGATGGGTAATAACACCAAGCCACTTGTCGCCTACTCTGCAACGTCTGGATCTTCGGGCGCTTCTGGCCTATTGAACCTCGTTAACCAGGTCCGCAGTGGAGGACGCGTAGCAGGTTACCTGTCTACTCTTCGCTCCTATCACCAGGCCGAGGGAGGACAGAGCATGTTCTACGTCACCATATTCTGTCTACTCCAGGCGCTCTACCCAGCTTTCTTCTCTCTTTACCCGACCTACGAGCGCAGATCTCAAGTACGAGGACTTCAGTATTCGAATGGTGTCCGACCGTTCCCTCTGTTATTTTCGTATTGGATGTTCGATTTCGTGTTTGTCCTAGTGATCACCGCAGCTTGCACTGCCTTGATCGCTCCTATCGCTCCATGGTTCGGTATAGGTTACATCTGGTTCATACAAGTGCTTTACGGGCTTGCAGCTATCCTTTTCGCGTACCTGATTTCTCTCATGTCCCGCTCGCAGCCAGCAGCGTTTGCCTACTCAATCTTATTCATGGCGATCATGTATGCCATCTCGATCGTTGCACTGTTGGTAAGGTACCCCTTTTTAATCCTAATGTCGAAGTTGGATTTGTGCTAACCCTAGATCAAGGTTATCCAAATGACAGACGGTGCCAACCAAATGGCCAACGACGGAACCGCCTACGGACTTGGTCTTATCTTCCCTATCCAGAATCTTATGCGAGGTATGGCTGTAAGTTTAAACATGTACATCGTCCGTTGCCGAGGCCAGGACATGGTCACAGACCCGGGATCCTTCTACGCTTTTGGTGGACCCATCATGCTACTCATCCTGCAAATCTTTGGCCTTTTCAGCTTGCTCTTGTGGCTTGAAGGCGGTAGCTTCGCGTGGATCTCAAAGCCTAAGCCCCTGCCACCAGTCATCGACGACGCAGAGAAAAGCAGTTCCTCGTCAGGACGGCCGGATGTTGACGCCGAGACAGCTCGTGTGGCTGCATCGGAGATGGATCTCCTCCGTGCACTTCACGTATCCAAGAAGTTTGGACCTAATGTTGCGGTTGACGACGTGTCGCTCGGTCTCCAGGAAGGCGAGATCCTCGCTCTTCTAGGTCCCAACGGTGCTGGAAAGACTACTATGATTAACATGATCCGTGGTGATTCAACACCAAGTAGTGGTCGGATTTACCTAGAGGGTGTTGACGTGCTTAAGAACAAGCGACTAGCTCAGAAACACCTTGGTGGTAAGCTACCCCTATTCCATTTCCCTTATCTTTCTACCAGTACTAATAATATGAATATTATAGTATGTCCTCAATTCGACGCCCTAGATCTACTCACAGTCCGTGAACACCTAACATTCTACGCGCGATGCAAAGGCGTCGAAGACATAAAAGGTGCCGTATCCTACGTGATGGCCCGCGTGGGCATTACAGCACACGCAAGCAAGATGGCGGCCAAGCTCTCAGGTGGCAACAAGCGCAAATTAAGCCTTGCTATCGCATTACTCGGCGACCCACCAGTACTTCTCCTCGACGAGCCCAGCTCGGCCATGGATGCGGCGTCGAAGCGCGTGCTATGGCGCACGCTGGCCGCCGTGGCGCCCGGTCGCTCTGTCTTATTAACTACACACTCGATGGAAGAGGCTGATGCGCTCGCCACGCGTGCGGCAATTGTAGCGCGTCGTGTCCTTGCCGTTGGTACGACGGAGGCACTGCGTAAGACACACAGTAATGAGTACCACGTACACCTGATCCTGCGCAGTGCCCCGCTGTCGACGGCGGAGGAGATGCGAGGCGTAGAGGAGTGGGTGCGCAGCACGTTTGGGAACGCGCTGCGCTTTGAGGGAGAGAGCCTTGGCGGACAGGTTAGGTTCGTGGTCCCGGCTGATAGCAGAGTTCCTGAGTCAGCGAGTGCTTCGCCCACCAGCGATGCGATTGGGCCTACGGGAGGGCGGCACGCAACGCGCAGCTTTACAAGATATCTGATTGAGACATTAGAGACGCGCAAGGAGGAGCTCGGTATTGATTGTTATTCTATCTCTGCTGCGACGATGGAGTCGGTGTTTATGAAGGTGGTTAAAGAGAGCGACGCTACTGAGGATGAAGGACGACAGCAAAAGCGCTGGTGGCGGTGGTAGAAATTAGGGACTGGTTGCGAATAAGAGACGGCTCGAAGAAAACCCGAGGAATGGGATATAGGATGTAATAGCATATTTCTTTATTGTCTGCTTTGTAAATACCCTATTCGTAATGGAGGACATATAAATGTCTAAGACGTTTAAACGTGATCGATACAATTATTAAATTTTCACTTTGGAGGAGAGAGAATCCATATGACTTAGGAAATACTTAGATTTATATTTCTCTCTTTACTCTTTCTATTATTCATGTATTGAAGGATCGATCACTAAACGATGAATGCCTGATAAATGTCAACTTTGCTGTACCGGGAGCTTCGTATATTATGATAAAAGGTATGAACAAGACTGTAGTTGAAGTATAAGTAAACCCGCATATCCACTGTTATAGGAGGAGAACATAAATAGCTACGGTCATGTTCATTAAGCCATTTCTCCTTAATCTCAGTACATTCATTACCCAACGTATAAGTAACTTGGTCAATAGGCGATTTTTCTTCTAATATTTTAGAGGGGGGTGGAGAAATCCTAAAGTGATATTTCAAAATCTATTATTAAATTTTCTCCGTCCATAAGAATTATCGTCTATGAGAGGTATATTATCACTTGACGACTTTGCTCTTTCTCGGTTGGCAATCAATAGAGTCCCAATGAAACCAACTGTTCGCTAATGATAGTATATTCAAATTCCACGTTTCATTTTGATAAGCTTCACATTGTTCAGCCTTTCCAAGCCATACGTATATCTTTTTTAAAGATGCCCTTGTTCTCACATAAACCAAGTCTGAGCGCGCAGCTAATGAAATACAGATGAGTAGAGTTTCAATAATCTATAAGCATTTATACATTTCTTCCCCCCGAGCTAGACCTACACCTCTAAACGCGAGCCTTCCGTGCTTCAGCAGCACCCTCCTCGTCATAGGCCTGGACTTCGATTTCGATGTGCATCGTATCCATACCGAGCTGTTTGACGCCGATTTCCGTCCACACCGGTTGATGATTCAGCATCCAGCGCTTGAAGTTCTCGACAATACGGTCGTGTGTGGCCTTAATATCCGTGCTGTATGTAACCACACGATATACCTGAGACCAACCCTTACCTCCGGCGTGCTTTAACGTGTGTTCGACGTTGTCGAAAGCTTGATCTACTTCTTCTAGGATATCCTGCTTGAGCGAAATGCTGGTACGATCCCAGCCACCTATTGAATCATGAGTTATATTTCGAAAATGTCTATCAGGAACTTCAAGGTATTGAGATGAATGTTCTATTTACCCTGACCAGAGATAAAAATGCTGTCTCCTACACGAATGGCCTGGCTATAATGCATTGTCTCACGAGCCCATTCGCCGGCTCCGGGATACGCATATGATGGTAGACCAGACATTGCGATAGAGAAAGGTTGGTAAATAATACTTTGATACTCAGATCAGTGGTTGCTAGAGGGTGATACAATTAGTGGACAAAAATACCGCACATTTTATTCCAACACTTATATATTTCAAAAATTAATAATTTTACAAATAAATTAGCTAAAAATATACGGTTTTTGATATAATATTATTTGGAATATATATTTAATAATTATAATTTCTATTATTATTACATGTTATAAATAACCATTATAATATATTAAATAAAAGTATGATGATTATATATAAATTAATTAATTTATAAATATTCTAATAATCGTATTATTTAATATATAATATTTTCTATAAATAAAATAGCTATTTATTAATTTATTAATATTAATTATATATTTATATCTTATAAATTGGTAAGGTTACGAATTTTTAAAATGTGTATATTTTATAAAGTTTTAATATAAAATAACGTTTTTTTATTAAATTCACTACTTTTAAAATATTATAACTTTACCAATATTAATTGTATAAATATGAACATAATATCTTTATATAATTAAATAAAGGCTATTTTTAATAAAAAATGAAAGAAATTAGAAATCAAATAATTTTAGTTAAAATATAGGTTTAAAATATTTAATAAATAATTATATAAATATATATTTTTTACATTTTTAAATATTACTTTTTTCAAAATCTAAAATTAGAATTAAATATAAAAAATAAAATAAACATCAGTTTATATATATCATTTTTTTAATATAATATTATTAAGCGTTGTAAATTTAAATGAAATTTAATATATTAAGATTTAAAGTGTTCGGTTTTTTTGTCCACAAATTGTATGTACATAAGGTGATTTGGCAAATCTAAACTATGTAGAAAATACAACCTAGAATCTTTCCATTTATATATCCCTCCAGTATCCTAGGTCAGATGATTAACCCTCTTTGCCTTACATACTATTTATGAATGCCGGACTAAATATCCAAGTGCGCCCCTATTTCGCACATATGCTCACTTACTCACTTATATGAACGGTAGAAATTCGAAATAAAATGGGAAAAATACCCTTTTACATCTCACAAAATCGCTTTTAACATGACAACCTAATGCATCAATCATTTGTTTGATTTATTATTTTATTAAACAGCTATACAGTGATGAATTGAAGTAAACATAAATAGGTATGTATGAAATATATCCCTAATGAGCGTGTGGAGACTTATCTTTTGATTATTGATTGTTCCTCCGAATGGCACCTAGAAAAGCCAATATCCCCGTTGTTAGGAATATGACTCAAGCAGTAGAGTGAGTCACCAAGGCCGCCAAGTTGGACCGGGAACAAGAAGAAATCCGATCTGATTAATCAATCAAATGAGTAAGATAGCCAAGGCCGATATAGTGGAATTCAAAGGGAAGGATTAATAAGACTCCAGACTTTGTACATACAAGCTCTATACAATTATTCACTACATCGTCCAGCTGTTATTATAATCAAACCCCAATTATATAAAACTGACCTTTATATTAGTTGGTTAGTTGAAAATTGAATGGGGGGGTTTTTTTTTTTCATACACCTAGGTATTATTAACTCTATGAAGAACTTAGAAACTAGCACATGCTAAAACAAAGTAGGAACAATTTTAATTATTAGGCAACGCAAATTGGGTTAATCCTCTGATAATACTTATAGCAAGTATTTATGAGCCTTTACTAAAAGTGACGTTGTGATCTCATTTCTCCCGAGTCGTTTTATTCGTGGTGGCTCTGTGGGGAACACACATCGACTTCATGTAAAGGAAGAGTAATATTCTTACCGTGACTAAGCCGTTTAAGTACTATAAAATATGAGAACTATATTACTACTTCATTTTCAACATATATTTCATTTGCGGCGATAGTGAAGTATTAGAATAGGTTAGATACTATATCAACCTCTCAACAATTGGAATCTGGTTAATTCACACCGGTCGTGGTCATAATATGTAATCGAGATCGGTCCCGGAGATGTACATCACAATCTAGTCGTCATTCATTGGTGGGTAACTGCCGACAAATCCACTCCTCTTCAAAAGCTCCGAAGCGTAGTAGTTTCAAGGAGAAGAGATACCGGCTTATTTGCACCATCTCATAGCAAACACGACTATTCTAAACTTTTCGTCTATAAGAAGAGAGATCTCGAGTAAGATACAAGACTGAGATTAAGACATATTTAGTAAAGTCGTTGGGTTTGCGTGGAATATGGCATTGGGAGTTGCGTGTTCGGTATGATCCTTAGCTTAGAACGTGGCAAAACCGAGATCATTTACTCCAAACTAGACGACCTTAGCGGTTCTCAATCTACTGGACAAAGCTGAACTCGTCTCCAGTATTGAAGCTGGTGTATCCGTGTAAGCCGAAGCAAGCGGAGAATGCGGCATGATACGAATGCAATTGGGTTATTCTTGGTTCTTAGTATCGTTCGAGTTTTAAAAGTGATGCCACATTGCAGTCAACATGGTTGATGCTTGGATGCTTGAATGCTTGAATGCTGTAGAGTTTATTAAACTTTCTTAGACATGGAATTATGGCCGAGGATATGAGTGGTTGAAAGAAGCCGTGTCTTACATAGGCGCCTGCTGTATCTGTATTGATATCTGCATCAGGAAGGGAAGTTGAAAGTCTGATAACTAATGAATGTTTATTAGCAGTGTGTATGTATTGGGCAGGAACGTGAGTGGACCGTGCTTTAAAACTCTCTCGCTTGACCTGACCGGGGTGCATAGGCCAGACATTGCTTCTTAGGTGCTTCTCAGATGCAGCTGTATTCCACTTTTTTCTCAACCCAACCCGCAAGTTCTACCACCAGTTAGCGGCTGCCAGCTTTCTCACACCGCATTATCAACTATATTGCAGTGACGCCTTAGATACAATCCATAAGTCCGAGAAGAATAAAACGCATTGGCAACCCTGATTCTTATTGATCCTTTTAGGTTCTTCTTCTCTACCTCCCCTCAACACCAACTTCCTTCACCCCGTCGGAGGCGTGGTGAAGGTTTTTGCGTGTATTGTGGTACCAAGTAGAGCGTTTCACGATACTTGGCACCAGTGGAGTCTCGTTCTAAAAGCATAAACTTTTCAAAGACCGGGGGGAATAGTGCAAATCGGCATTAACCCCTGGGCTTTGCCCACGAGAGATCGTCATTCACTCTGGTGACGATTGACGAGGAAGATAGAAGACACTAATTTGGATATTGTCTATTAAAAGACTTCATCCATTTCGATTTTCTTACCTTCGCTTTTTTTTCGGTCTCGCGTCGGCTTTCTTCTTCCTTAGTCCTTGGGAAATACTGCTGCCTTCTAAGGCACAAGGGTACTTAGAGGTTGTACATTGCCTAAAATCTCACCAATTGGTGGTGGAAGAAGATTGATACGTAAGCTACTAGCTCTGCCCCTTATTTGTTGACGCAACCAGGACCGGGTGTATCTAATTTTAAAAATTACTTGTCCAATTCTAATCTTTAGCCTTTTTTTGATAGATCCTTCTTCCACCACGACGACAGACAACAACGACAATATCAATACCATTTAAAACATCATTCGCATTCGTTCGAGTCTAAACTGAAATACCTTTGCTCATCATCCCTCATCTGAATTGATTTCAGCGTCCCATTCTAACGCTCAATCGCCTTATCTAAAACTGCTCCCCGTGTACCACTTTGTGTCCGACAAAACATTTCCGAACATCGATTCCTATTACGTTTTCTACACAACACAATGGCTTCTCGTATCCAGATTCCCCTCGACGTCCTGACGTCGCGCCTGAACATTCAGGATCGCTTCGCCGGATTTCGTAACACTTCTCTCTCTAGTCGGTTCGCTAATATGCGTCCCGTCAGCGAGTTCCTCGACTTCAAGCGTTTGTCTAAACCGGAAAACTTCGGCGAGGTTCAGTCGCGTGTCAATTACAACTTGGGCACCTTCTCGAGCAATTACCTCTTGGTTATTATCCTCCTCAGTGTTTACGCCTTGATTACGAACCCCCTTCTGCTCTTCGACATAATACTTCTGGGTGGTGGATTGTGGCTCCTTGGCCGACTTAATGGACAGGACCTTACCATTGGTACCTTCCAAGCCACGTCTTCCCAGCTGTATACCGGATTGCTCGTCACCTGTGGTCTTCTATTTCTTATTGCGTCACCTTTCACCACTGTCCTATGGTTGATTGGTGCAAGTGGCGTGGTCATTTTTGGCCACGCTTCTTTCATGGACAAGCCTATCGATGAGGCTTTTTCCGGGGAGGCGGTCTAGGTGGTCGGCCGCGAGCTCCCAAATCTGCGCCCCAATGGGGAAGACCATCGAGGCGCCCGCGAAGAGGACGGGGAGAAGAGGAGGAAGACAACATATGGGGTACTGGGCGCCGCGTTGTGGAGGAATTAGGTAGCGAGAACGAGATGGATACACAAGGTACTGATTTGGTAACGACTTCTGGTAGTAGACGGTTTGCTAGTGATCCACTTCGGTTTACTGGAATAGATTTGAGCAATGGCAGCCAACCACGGAATGGTTATGCTTATCAGCATTCGGATGACGAAAACGACTCGACGGAAGATGACTCGGAGGTGGCATCTGAAGACGAGGAAGACGAGGAAGACGAGAATCAAGCGCTTAGAAGGGAGCTTGACGAGGCTCTAGTACAATCAGCCCTTTCAAGGATACGGAGAGCCCAAGCCAAAGGCAAAGCGGATGTCAAGCTGAACAAGGAGGAGCTTGCCGCTCTTGAACGAAGACGAAAACGTTTACAGGCTGAGGCAGAGGCAGCAAAACGACGTGGTGGAGGTGATCGGAAACGCAAGGAAAAGGAGCAGCGATATGCTGTTCCCCTTTCACAATTCGATGATCCTCAATCGGGTTCAGAGCAAAACCAGCTTGCCCCTCCCATGGGACGTTTCCCTCCCCCTAACTCCTCACATTCACGTCCTCGTTCAGGCGCATCATCTACATCCTCTACTCGTCGTCCCCAATCTATAGTGCGAAACTCCCCTCCTTTCGACTATCAATACGTACATGCACCCCCTAATCAACGCCATGCCTCGGATCCCACAGCAAAGCCTTCATCTTCACGGACGTCCCTTACAGAAATCAGAGATCCTTTCCAATACCAAACCGCAGGTCCACGTGCACTGTATGCTGATGGGGTTGCGGCTGCTAGACTAGACGCAGCGGGCAGGACTGCTCCTGCAGATAGGAGCAGTTCAAGACATCCCAGAAGAGATGAGAGGAATGGGCACGAACAGGAGGACGAGACAACTAGTGACGATGGCGCCCACGATGGACGGCTTTCAAGAGGAAGGGGTCGAGGCGAAATTGTGATGCAAACATCCCCTTCACCCGAACGTACCAAGAGTAAAAAGTCTTCGCCACCTATTGCAGCTGCGAAACGGAAAGCGGCTGCCCCTAAAAAAAGGAAAGGGAAATAAAGCAAGTAGTCTAGTTATTCTAATAAGCAAAGCATACCCGTGTAACAGAGTATTGATATGCCAAATAATTCACCAACTTGATTAAAATTTCCCACAATATTGATCATAGTCCCACTTTCACTGATTATGAAGGCACGTATAAGAAACGACTTTCTAAATTACGACAAGTCTAATTAACACGAGGGTATCGTATCGATTCTTCGAACTATTCTTCTTTTTGCACACCAATCGTAACCCCAACTCTTACAAGAATAAGGAATGGTATGAAGTGAAGAATCTCCCAAATGTATTCCTAGAATCAGTCCTAGAACGCCATCCGTAAATTCGTAGTAGGTAAGGGGCACCTGAATTGATCCGCCCCATTCCTCATCATAAGCCATTATATACCGTCCCAAGCCAACCGCCTATCCAAGTCCCCCATTACCTACATACCTCTTACGCTAAGAAAAGAAGTCTCGAATACTGCCGAAGAACCCGCGGCCGTGACTCTCGCTATGGTACTCCCGTCGCCGTTCCCATTGGTAGTCACCATCGCGGATTCGGTGGACAGAGAGGCTCTCATTGTTGCCGAGACCACCAGCCATGCGCACGGCCTCGCTCATAAGACCAACACTGTCCCCGGAACCGGCGCGGGCCGCAACACCCAGCATACGCTCAATGGTCGGAGGCAGGCGGAGGCCGAAGCGGGCTAGGAGGGCGGTTAGAGCACCTCCGGTGATCAGAGGCATGATCACTAGCATGAACACCTTGATAGGGTGGCGCTTTGCATAGTATATTAAGTCGCGTAAGAGCCGGCGCAACTTCTTGATTGTCCGCTGGATGAAGGACGAGCGCGGCTGGCGTTTGTAGTACGAATTGGAGCGGCCTGTTAAGAATTTCCGTTGTTAGTCGCTTATTTGGTATATGTGGCACGTATGACAATGGTATATAATACTACGTGGTCGAAAGAAAATTTCCGAAAATCCACCATCACTCTTACGTGTCATTCGACAGGTGAATGGGCCTGTAGAGCAAGGGAACACACGTAATAGAATATAGGAATATGTGAAAGAAATGAGAGAAAAAACTCACCACCGAGGCTAAAGAAACTCCGGCTGCTGCCATTCCCGAGGTTGAAAAAGGAGCTCCGCGAGCTGTTGTGCTTGTCATGGTGACTGCTGTGATGGCTACTGCTGCCGCCGAAGATGGATCCTGTACCTGAGTGACGCTTGCTGCGGTGCGGACGGGACGAATGGCCGGTGTGAGATTTTCTTGTCGAGTTCGAGACGACGGACTCGGCGTCGTCGTCCTCCCAGTCAAAGAAACCCATGATAAAAGATTGACGTCTCGAGTATATAAATAATAATAATAAATAATATGCTAATATATAAATTGCATGTATATATAGGTATATATATATGAAGCTGTCTCACTTAAACTTGCGACATGCAGCTCTGCAGTTCGAGTATCACAAATCTAGCTGCCGATGCTTAATCGACGCGGCGGGGACAGGCGAGAAAGAGCCGTAAAAGCAAGCTAAGGAATATTTCTCACAGACAGCTACCGGAGCGGATCTTTTATGAAGATCAAGATCGATTTTATGATCTGACGATCTCCGTGGTTCGATAAGCTATAACGCACCGGCCAGCTTGTGAACAAATTCGAGGTGACTACCCACTTCGGCGGGACGCGATGCTGGAGTAGAAAGGGAATTTTATTTTTTTACGGCTTGTAGAGATCCAGAGGGAAGGTATCGTGAGTTGGAACTGCGAATAAGAGAGAAGAGATCGCCTTCTCACCGACAATTCAAGGGGCTGGGCAGGCTGGGCAAACCCCCTGGACGATCTGCGCTGCCCTAAAACCGCCTAGAACTGATCCTATGTTAGGGCTAATCTGGATCCGCTCTAGTGGTCTGGTTCCGAAGGTGAGCTTGCGGGTCGGTGGAGAACTTACTATGTACCATGTGCGCTGAACCGTTTAAGGCAGTTGGAGTTAGACCGGAGAATTCAAGAGGAAATATCAAGCCACAATGCCACCGTGGCTAGAACTTTTAATGATTGCCCGTTTCGGAAAGTCGCCTTATGGAAAGGTAGATTTGTAGCCACATCTATGACGTCCGTTATTGGATGCACTTGTTAGGTATCTTGAGTACCCAACACCGCCTGACTGACAAGCCTGGTTCAAGAGACTACCTATGACCTGGCCTCTTAGCTTTAGAATATCTGTCATAATCTCGTTAAAGTTTACCTCAACTACCAAATCAATACTTTTACCAATATTGACTTGAAATACTCAAGATGACTGATAGAGCGCCTCCTAACTACTGTACGTCACTAGCTATCTCCTTTCAGCTCTTGTAGCGTCAACCCCACTAACAAGATAAATCACAGACAAGATCCTCGAGATCTCCGAAAGTTCCACTACGCAGCAGATTCGCGATGCTTATAAGCGGTAAGTATATATATACTCACAAGTTGGCATTATGTAGAGTTATTATTTTGCTAACAGATCATCCCCGCGGCCAGAGCAGCTCTCAAAACCCACCCGGACAGAGTTCCCTCAAACTCACCTGAGCGCCCGGCCCGAACACGCAAGTTTCAGCTCGTAAATGACGCCTACTACACGCTGTCAGACACCACGCGGCGACGCGAGTACGACGCTCAGCGCAGACGGTTCGGTGGTGGGCGCAGCACTTACACGTACGAGGAGGCAGACGACCCAGAGGAATCAGTGCCGCCTGAGACTGGAGGAGGAGGAACAGGAGCAGCGCAGAGCGCGTATTCGTGGGCCTGGAACTTCTTCACGGGCGGGAACACCAACTCGCAACCTCATGCGCGAGAGGCGCGGCAACAGGCTGAAGATGCGCAGTTCGGAGATGTATTCGAGGAGATGCTGCGCGAGGAGGGGCTCGCAGACCAGGATACCAATACTCCGACGTCCAAGTTCTGGAGCATACTAGGTGCGGCTAGCGGTAGCGTGCTGGGCTTTATATTGGCGAACATGCCGGGTGCGGTTGCGGGCGCAGTGGCGGGGAATAGGTTGGGTGCTGTGAGGGATGCGAAGGGCAAGAGTGTTTATGCTGTTTTCCAGGACTTGCCGCAGGATGATCGAGCGAGGCTGCTGGCTCAGCTTGCTACGAGGGTGTTTAGCCATGCCGTGGGGATTTGACGAGAGTACCTAAGGTATATGAATTCGGCTTATGGTGTGTTTCTGCTGCTTTCAAGGCGTGGGCACACGAGGACTACGTCGCTTGGTTTGACTGCATTCTTTTGCTAGGGAATATGCATGGAGTTTAGGTGTGCCTGTTTTAAAGGCAGGCGGATAGAAGTCTAGTAATGAACTCTTATTCCTACTGGTATAAAGAAAGTATGGGTCATGTGTGATATTATATTTCAGAGACATGATAAAATTATCCCCTTACTTATTTGCCAAAAAAAAAAAAAAAAAAAAAAAAAAAAGAGCTACACGTTCTGTGCTATATTAAGGAGAACGTTGAATAATGCGGTTAAGTACCTAATGTTTATCTTCTTATCGAAGCTATGTATTTAGTATCAAGGGTCTTAATAGGCAGTCGCGGGTGAGAAAAGTTACGCAAAAGCTAAATAACGCTATTCCATTTCTGGACGTTTCTCCCCTCGTACCTGGCAGGGATTGTTGTTCCTCCCCCACTACTATCGCCCGTCTTGCCGTTCCAGCGCCATCTTCAAACTTTGGGCCTTCTACTTACATACTTTTTAACTGCTAAGCTAAGAGGTACTTAATAACTCATATATCATCCTCTCCCAGCAGTCAAAATGGCCAAGCCGATAGAAATAACGTCGGTTGAACAATTTAACGGTTTCTTAAAGAGCTCGCGTATTGTAGTGGCAGACTGTAAGTTAGCTTCCCCCCAAGCCTTATTTACCATTACCACCAACTTGCCCCGCCATCGCCATCATCGTTACGACGCGAAGCTGACAAATTATTTCGGCGCGCAGTCTACGCGAACTGGTGCGGGCCGTGTAAGCAAATTGCACCCTTCTATGACCAGTTATCGAAATCTCTTTCACGCCCAAAAGTTGCGACGTTCGTCAAGGTCAACACGGAAGCCGAGGGAGCCAAGGCAGTCGCAGCCGAATATCACGTTACGCATCTGCCTACCTTTATAGTGTTCCGCGATGGGTCTGTTGCTGAGAGGGTCAAAGGCGCCAATCCGAAGGAGCTCCAGACCATCGTTGAGAGTTTAAGTCACAACATCGAGCATGCTACACAGGGAGAGGGTAGCGGTAGCGGTAGCGGTGGCGTTGGCTCGGGAGGTATCGCTTGGAGGGGAGCTGACCTGCCCCGAGGTTACACGGACATCTCAGACACCATTGACGTGCGAGGACTAGAACTGCTGAACGCTGATGAAAGCCACTTCTCTGTTCGAACTCTCTTCAATAAAAACAAACCTTCAGCGTTATCCAAGGACAAGGTCGTAGACAGTGAGAAGGACTGGGTAGAAAGCGACACGGATGAGCAGCTGCTTCTCTATACGCCATTCAACTCTGCTGTCAAGCTCCACACGATACAGGTACATAAACTTGTTCCACTACATACAGTTTAAGTATCAAGCTGACATACCTCTTTAGATCACTTCTCTACCGCCCACTGACGATGAGGATGACGACGACGTACCGATGAGGCCCAAGACTCTTAAGCTCTTCACGAATCGACCACACAATCTGGGGTTTGACGAAGCTGATGATATCGACCCGACTCAGACCATCGAGATTGGCGAGAGCGACTGGAACTCTAACGGTACCGCGAGTTTGGGACTACGATTTGTCCGGTTCCAAAATATCACTAGCCTCGTTATCTTTGTTGTGGACGGCGACGGTGATAACGAAAAGGTCCGATTGGACCGAATAAGATTTATTGGCGAGTCTGGCGAGAAAAGGGAAATGGGGAAACTTGAGAAGATCGGCGACGAGCAAGGTGAATAGAGTGCGACGAGAAAAATAATGGGTGGGTAGACGAGCACCAATCGCGGTCACGATTACTTATGGCGAATGTGAGCAGCGAATGGAACGCAATGAATAGAGTCGGAATGCTTTTGAGACCGCATCTATATAGATAGATGGTATCAATCAATCAATAACCGGAATGCTCATTATGACTTTCCATTCTCGTCTACAGCCACAGAAAATGCTAACAAGGTCCATGATTGGCATACGTGTCTGTCCATCTATTTGGTGTCACCACCGAACCATGCCGGGAACCAACCAGTCTACCTACTCCTTGCATTGGCCTTGATTGGATTTCATTGATCTGCAAATCTAGTTGGTTGTCAAGCTTAGTTCTGACCTCATCACCACCTTCACGGATTCGCATATTCTTCCTCATTACTATTATAAATGATAATTTTTACGATGCCTAAGAACCATGCCACTGCATCGGATACTGCATTGAGTAAGCAAAGGAAAGTGCTAAGTCCCCTAGGAAGAGTATTCCCTTTTAAGATTGCAACAATGTCTTAGTAGACATTATTCTCATCCAATAGCAGAAATTTTTACCAACTAGTCTCTCTCGTAAGCTGAGTTAGATAGGCTAAAAAGTTTTCTTTTTTCTTTATAATGTCCAGCATCTTCACTGCGGTTCGAAGAAGCAACCAAAGGCTTCAGGTTCGAACCGACTTCAGAAGTGAAGTCGCCGGCTTGCAATTTTAATTTCTCTGTGGCATGACTGACGCTATATATCCATGGAGGTATATTCCACTGAAGGAAGAAGGGATTCGAGCAACACGGGGAGTGTTGTGTCATGCCAGCCGCACGAAGAAGAAAAGAAGAAAAAGAAATAAAAATTTTGTCGCATCGCGCTCGAGTTTTGATTTGCTCTGCTAGCGTCGGCACCAGCTGCGAGCTCAAGCTGCAGGTGTCAGCTAGCTGTCGGTTCTCGCGCTAGAGCGACAACCGAGACGGTAGATATTCGGATATATGACTACATAGCAACTGTATTTTTTGTATAACTACATGTACCTAATGATTATTAAATTCATCCGATAATATTTTTTTAAGTTAGGAAACTTTATTAATTATTCCGAGGTTTCATTGCTTCCATCCAACTTTTTACAGATTTGCTCCACCTCTCGTCGCATTGCGTATCAAATTGAAAGCGGGTTCAATTCAATGATTCAATGTTCTTGAAACGAACAGAAGGATCAAATTAATCCACATTTCTCCAACGAATTACTACAAATGATAGTCTTTTCCCCGTCTGAGGAATCTAGACGCTCTTTCAGTCTACATATCTAAAGGACCCAAGGACCCTTGGAACAGCTAGCCCCGGAACGATCATGCTGTTTAATATACCCGTCCACTTGGATCCCTTCCATAGGTACCTACTTAACATCCCAGGTCGTTTTTTACTATCGCTCATCCCGTCTAACGGCGTATCCCCCGCAGCCCCCGTCAAGTGAGAAACTTGGAAGTGGGAGGGGCATACGTGTGCATGTTCATCCTGTTCGTCCTGTTCGTCCTGTTCGTCCTGGGAGTAAATTACGGATACCTGTATCAAGACAAATACAGTGCTCTCTCTATGCGCTGTGTGCTCTTTCACCGGGAAGGGTTTCAGGCTTTGGGGGCTGCTAGCTAATAGATGTAGCTAATGACATTTCGATCCATTGGCAAGCCTCGTCTACAGCCCTGATTCTACCTATCTGGCGCATCTTGGTCATATATTCTCGTCGTTGAACCCCCAATTCTTTCCCCCCCCCCTCATGCAACGTCACGCAGCAGACTATATCCCACCAGCACGGGGCTTTATTAAGTCGTCAGAAGCCGCACACACAGTAGCAGCGCTAGCAACCCCCCTTATGTTCCCCCTAGGCCGACGTCAGCTGCTCTAGCCTCCGTCTTGGATATGATAGTCTGCTGCGTGATATCTGCACGTGTGCCACAGCGGCAGGGTTCCAGCGTAGCACGAAGAATGGCGAACCAGCGTTGGGATAACTGTCTAACGTGGTATACAGCATTAATATCCAACTTAATTGTTCCATTTATAGACCAGTTCCGACCGTCGCATGTCTCGACTCCCTATTCGTCTACCGGCCAACGCATGTAAGCTTCTACTCTCTATCTATCGTCTCAAAACTCGTGGCTATCGTAGTAGTCTTATTAACCCGGCCCATTTCATAGGATTCTCCAGCACGCTTCAGCTTCCCTTTTCAGGACCTGCCTCGCTACGTTAGTTGTACGTCAGCGCCCCGACTCGTAGCTGATTTGTATGTATTGTCCGTATTGTGCCATCACCCCCATGTCTCTTTCTGGAAGGTTTCCGCCGCTCAAGCGTCCTCTTAGACGAGTGTTAGCTCATCGCCCTTGGTCTTTGCTCACAAGTCCGTCCCATACCCGCATAACTGGCTTTAAACTATTCGCTCTGCCCCCAACCCTTTTCCACCTGAGCAAAGAAGCAAAAAGCTTTGCAAGCCACCCCTTTCCCTTAGCGGCTCCCGCTGTCTCTAATATTCTGGAGACGCCGACCCATGTGATCAAGCATCCTACGCATTTCTAGGTACATATTCCGCCAGTGACCTTAGTTGACTCTTAAATCTCATAAACATCTTACATCATATGTTGGTTCGGCTCCTTCTTGGTTAACCCTGTGAATAAATCTGTTCCTTTTTCTTCCTCTTGGATCTGTCCGCTTCACTCTTGTCCCTCCCTCTCCCTCTCTCATCGGAGTCAGAAAACGTCATTGGGGTTTTACATTGGATCTAGTGGCAGAGTTAAAGAGAACCGCGGCGTAGTAATTAAAGTCGTGGCTTATTGCCTGAGGCCTCCCCACGCCGGTTTTGACAATCCACCTGTGGGCAACTTACACGGCGACGTGGATCGTCCACCACTCCTCGTAAAGGCTTGCGAAACCCGATATAGGGTACCCGGCGAGGCATTTAATTTGGCCAAAGGATCTTGGGGCTGAATAGGAAGCCTCGGGAATCGCTGCTGATAGATCAAATAGCTGAGAGCGCTTCGAGGCTGTGGCTGGCAGGAGTTTGCATTGGCTTCTGCCAGTTAGCCACCTTCGTATCGACTTCTACATACATTTACACGGCATCGGACCGACTCAAGAGTAAGCGTTAGGACGTGTTATTTAAAAGTTTGGCACAGAAAAAGAAAATACTTAGAACTTGGACATTCTATACAACCCGGCTATTAGTGAAACAAACACCAGCGCGACGACTCACGATGGCTTCCGAACTCACCTTCCCGCAATTCGGAAAATTGCCGTTGGAATTACGGGATATGATATGGGGGTACGCTCTCCCCGAGCCGAGAGTCTTTGAGGTCCTCGATTCTCCGTCATCGGCGCAATCTCAAACCACGCCCTCGGGCCGTTTGATGTTTGCTGACGTCCGTAACGAGCCGCCACCCTCTATAGCACGGGTCTGCCGTGATGCCCGGCAAGCAGTTTTGCGTCGCTACAAGCCTATCGCATTTTCTGGAACAGTCAAGCACCTAGATCTCTGTCGAGACATAATTCTACTTGACTCTTACTTACAGGTGAAGAGGCTGCTAAAGGTGATTCGCCTCCTAAGCCAGATTGAGCCTATTCGTCGGAGTGCTACCAGGTTGGCTCTCGGTACATCATGGGGTTTACACACTGGGTTGCACCTACGAATGTTTCATCGCAGCGTCCAAACGAAGCGCAACATGGCCCGGTTTCTCGAGTACATATCTAAGTTTCGCCAGCTTGAGACTATCATCCTCGTCGTTTACCAGCGCTCGGCGTTTGGACTCCGGCTCAAGTGCTGCGGCCCCGATCGCTCGCGCAGCCTACCCTGGCGACATTACGATTTGTACGAATCGTATCATTTCAACTTCAACGTCAACTTTAACCTCGACAACTACTGGCTGCGCCGGCCGTACCAGAGTAGGCTTGTTAGGTACGACCCGGAGGACGACAGAACGGAGGCAGAAAAGGTGCAGCAGTCTCCCTTGCCGAGGCATTCGAAACAGTGCGTCCATGATCCGCAACCGCGCGGATACCAGGTACACGACTTGAAGGGCACGTTCGAGAGCTGGCTGAATAAATTTGCGGAGGACGAGACCTTAGGGCCATCACTGAAGGTGCCGGGCCTGGAGACGGCTACTCTAACTTGGATTTACACTGGAGTTCGCAACGAGGATTTTTATTGAAAGGATTATAACGGAAGCATACGGAGCGCGGCGCTTTTAGGTTGGCTACCTATGTATATGTGCATAGACTACATCATTGTCTTTTGGGGACTCGCCAATACGGCCATGGCATCATGCATTGTTCGGATTAAACAGGATTATACATTTTCTGCAATACGATACTGCTGCTTTTACATTTCGGAGTAATGGAGCAGATAGCAACTGTAGCATAAACACTAAAATCTAGATGCATTCACCTTTTTTATCACTCGGCAGGAAAGAGTACCTAGATAGAACTTGGGCCCGCATATGCGTAATGGTAATTGAGGAAATGTATTACAATTATTTTCAAGGCCCCGCCGATCCACAAGAAAAGATCCCCGTTTTCAAACAGTTTGTAGATTTATCCTAGAGAAGAACGGGGTCCTGCAAGCCACTTACTCCTAATCACAGACAAATAAGCGAGGTAAAAGCAAGGCAAATCATAAAAGACCCAGCATGATTATGGTCGACGCAGTGCTCGACATGGCTTTTAATAAGTCGGTCAGGCTACACAAATCCACTATATAAGTATGTGCTCCGCTCCCGAGCACATGAGCACCCAAGGTAGGCAAACCCGCTATTCTGCGCCGTGATACGGCTCCGTGGCCGACCCGGGTTCGATACCGGCGCGGCTGCGGTAGAGGGGTTTATCCACTGGCTTGCATGCTGCGTACCTATATAGTGCAATATAAGCAACTGGCTAGCCAAAACTGCAGAGGGTGCGGTTTGGGTGGACTATGCACGCACGTAGGCATGTATGCACTGCGTGCTCCCGTGGAAATGGGGCTTCGAGTGGGTTGGGCTGGGCTGCGTTGAGCCCCTCCTTTTTTGTGTATGTAGGTATGTATATATGTAGGTGCGTTGGGGTTGGGAGTGAGGAGTGGTGTGAGGTAAGGTGCGGTGTACATATGGATAATGGATATACTTATAATATGGTCTTGTATTTCCTGACTTGGCGTTTCGTGCAATATATATTGGTGACTTGGACGTGGCTGCTGCATTGATCTATATAAGACCTTGTATGTGTGAGTGTGGGATGTTTGAATACATATCTGCTAGGGGGTCTGTGTGTTGTTCGGTGGGGCGAGGGAGTGCGTTTTACTTTATGTGATATAAACAGGCTCGTCTGATGATATGATATGTCGTGTTAAGACATACCAGTCGGGACTGGAAGGCTAAAGACTACGCAGAGAGGAGATTAATATTGCCTTGCATGAACATATATCCCATACCACATCTCTATACGCCCCATGGGAAGGTAATATTGTAAATGAGTTCACTAAGTTCTTATAAGTTACCTAGGTTGAGAAGTATGTTGTGTGAAATTTACATAATGAGAATGCCAGTTAACACATAGAGGTATAAATATGAGAGATATATCAAATTTAGTATAGCGCTCGCGTATCCAAGATTGGATAGCGGAAATATGTATGCTCCTTCACAAGCTCTAGCTAGTATCGTACTATATGTTAAACTACGATATCTTAGACTCAAGAGACTTAATAGAGTTAGCTGGTGCTGATGTATCTGAACCGAATTAACTGAAAAGGAGTAACTGTGGAAATTTTATATATGATTCTTCGACCAGGCTTTGGTACTACAACACTACAACACTACAACACTTTTTATACTAGTTATAGTTCCATGTAGGTATGCATGTTGAAGTGAAGCGCATACGGTATAACCAACCAACCCCTTTTCCCCATCCAACCCCATATCTTAGATGATTCGCTGGTAACATATATACGAAGTCACCCATATTAACAACAGAAACAACAGGAACTACTCTTCCCAGACATATGCCTGCTCCACAGCCGGCCCAATTTGATTCCTCAGCGCAAATCCATAGTCCCCCGCATTCGGCGTCCGTAACAAGGTATGAATATGGAACTTTGCCGGCTCGGCATTATTCAAGAATACGCCGGAGTGGTGGTCGAACTCGACTAGCACAACCGGGCTCTGGATGCGGTAGTAGAACGGGTCCGCGTCACCAGATCCCCCGATCCACGAGAAATACGTCTCGCCGAAGCGCCCTACGCAATCCTGGATCTTCAGTTCGCGGGATCGAGGAGGTAGGTATAGCAGATACTGAAACAGGATCCCGCGTACAAGGTCCTGCTGTGCGGACAACAGTGTTCCTACGATTATCCCCTCGTACGGCACCACACGGTTATCGCGATACGCGCCGCATAAATGTCGTTGATCGTCATGGTTCCAGCGACCGCGCGGCATTTTCGGATCCTTCATGAGCTCGTATACCGTAGCCCGGTGCTTGTCCTCCGGGCCCAAGCTCTGCATTAATTCCAAACCCAGCCGTTCCTCTTCATGTAATATGCGCGTGCCTTTAAACGGCCCATCATCGATGATATTAGGCTCCGCGCCCGTGAACCACGGGGACACGACGATCTGCGTCTTATATAGAAACACGCTAAGACACAAGTGATGCCCGTAGAACGAGAACCCCCAAGGCCGATCGGTCGCCGGCACCCCGAACAGCACGAAGTTGTAGCTGTGCTCGTTCATGACCTTGGGCGCGTTAACTAACTCCCCTAGGAAATGGTTGATGCGCATAGCTGCGCGCGCTTTCTCGTAGCCTTCGGGGCTAAGAGTAGTCTTTAGAAGAGTGAAGACAGATTCGCGTAGCGAGGGGGTGATTTCGTCGAGACGAATCCCCTTGTCGCTAACGAGGAACTCGGGATTCGACCAAGATCGCCACTCGGGCGAGTCGATGTGCAGGAGCGTGCGAGTGGTCTGCTCGGGGCTCAACTGCGAGATTATGGCGTTGGCATTGGCTGTAATAGCGCTGATGGGTACGCCTTCATCGCGGAGCTGGAAGAGGTTGGGTTGGACGGTGCCTTGTCGTTATTAGTCTTATAGGTATAGCATATCCTACTAACTTTTTATATTCATTTACCCCTTTTTCAACACCCACAAAACATCTCACTCATTTTCCCTCGCCCTTAATTAACCTAGAGTTATCTAGGGAGACTAATATGTGAAGTAAAAAGAAATACATACCATCGCTAGTCACACCTTTGAAAGGCTCCTTGAACAACTTCCGCCAGTGCACGTAAAGTCCATACAGCCATGGCGGCCGGTGATGCTCCAGCAGTTCCTGCGCATGGCCGTATGCGTCATTCTCTGCGATAGCCTGGAACCGCGGAGTGTTTAGGTCTGGTAAATACTGTCGGAAGCTTTCATGCTGAGCGTCATGCGTCGCCTGGGACGCCATCTTCAACGCGCTGGTAAACAGTGAGTCCCCGGTGTAGAACTTTGAGCGGTCCGGACTGTATTTATAAATGCCGTTGGTTTTGTCACTCACCTACCGCGAGGGAAGTTAATAGTGCTAATCTGAGTAGCTAGCTTTGGTCATATATGCCTGGTCGCCTCTCCGTTTCGACTTTGTAATATCCCCATTTATATATTAAATGATTCCAAAATTATATCTAAGAATATCATAAAATATCTCTAGCCGTCGATTATAAATAAAAATAATAATTAGATTCTCGGGGCTACCCGCTACTAGTTAGATAAATCGAACGGTTCGTCGGTTCTCCTTGGTGGATCCTACGCGGGGAAATATATCGGCTCTTCTACAGAAAAGCGACCACGGTTTGCCGGCGTCGTCATCATCTACCTATGTATTCTTTAGCGTCGCCAGTCGTATCACCCCTTGGCTATACAAAGGATATCATAAATTATGTTTGTTAAAGTGGTGAATTCCGCTAGAGCGGTCATCTCTCGTCTTTTCGTCTCGTTATTATCTACTAATACCCCCCCTGGTTCGTACAGATACAAGGTTCTAATTGCTCTTTTTCATGACATCCCCAACTCCAACACGTAATAAGCCTATCGTACCAACGCGATGCAAAGTCCTTACGATATACCGCCTAACCCTTGTTCACCCCGTGCAAAAACACCAATATATGCAACGTATAAAACCTGTCTCCGTGACTATTTTCCAGTTTTCATCGCCTACTTTCTTGTCTCTACAACCGACGCCTTTGCGTGTTGCCAACATTGATCTGCCATAACTAATATCAGGGTCCATAATATTGAACTTGATTGTCTAAGTTGTCCTCATATTGCGGTTTGGTGCTGCGAGGAATGAATTGTAGTTCGTTTGGGTGACATCAACGCTTGCGAGTATCTTTGCCCTTCTTATTCTTGCTCTTCTTCTTATCCTTGGGGAGCTCCAACGCTGTACCTTCCAGCTGTTTACCCATTATAGTAAGCATGTACTCGTCAATATTGCGAATTGTCTCTCCCCAGGCATTAGTCTCAATCTCTTCGATTGGGTTATCTGCATCTGCGGACTCGGAGTATAGCCCAAGATTTGACTTCCCAATGCCCGGTGCAAGTGATCCATCTCGGGTTATGGGAGTGCCCAGTCTGGTACTTGAAGAGCCGGATGCACTTCCAGTCACCGGTTTTTCAGCAAAGTCGGCTTCGTCTTCCTGTATCTCTTTCTCCGCCACATGAGCGGCATCTACGTCTTCGCGGTCTTCAGCCTGCTCGAGGACTCGGCCGACTGTACGTTGATCGCTGTTCTCCACACCGCCGAGAACGCGGTCCATTGCGTCACCGACCACATCAGTCTCGTCTGGGGTGTCGCCAATAACGTCACGCACCGAGAGCTTATTGAAGTAGTCGGTAGTAAAACCACCCTCCTGGATTACGATATCGTCGAGCATTTGCTTCTGGCTCGCTTTGCGAAGAATATTCGCCTCGATGGTGTGCTCACTTACGAGCCGATAGATATGCACGTCTCTCGTCTGACCGATGCGATGACATCGGTCTTGGCATTGCTTGTCCATCGCAGGGTTCCAGTCTTGATCATAGAATATAACAGTATCAGCCCCAGTCAAGTTAATGCCGAGACCACCCGATCGTGTAGATAAGATGAAGCAGAGAATCCGCGTGTCGTGGTTGAAGCGATCTGTTAAAATTTGCCGTTGCTCTACTTTCGTAGCACCATCAAGTCGCAGATATTTATGCCCATGAATGTTGAGGAACTGTTCAAGAATATCAAGCACTTTGGTCATCTGCGTAAATATTAAAGCACGGTGGCCACCAGATTGCAGCTTGCGTAAGAGACGGTCGAGAGCCTGCAATTTTCCGCAATCATATTGTAGAAGCCTCTTATCGGGAAATTGAATGCTGAGCCTCATGCGAGCTTCGTGCCATGGATCAAGCGGTGCTTCTTTCTGCATGAACGGCGAATGACGTACTGGAGCTGACAACTTGAGATTTGTCTCATCGAACACCTCCACGCCGCTGGAACCGAGTACGAATCGGTCAAAATCCCGAGTAACGACAGCTGGTGTGACACAAGCGAACTTAGAGATGATGGTCTTCATGGATGCAGCACGTTGATCGAGCGTAGGTATCATTGATCGTAAGACAAGTGAATCCTCTTCAAACCAACTCATGATCTTCTGTGGGACTTTTGGACGAGGCTTGTGTGGTCGTATGCTGATACCAAGAGTTAAGAAGTCCCTAAGTTGTTTACCATATATTGGACGTTGTTGTCGCCTGAGTGCGTTTAGGTAGACGCAGTGTTGTAATTCTTCGAAACGACCCCATCGCGCCGCGCTCTCTAGGTATACAATGTTAGACTCTACACTAGCAGGATCTAGATTTGTGTAAGCAGCCTGGGCTCGTGCTTTCTGAGCTTCGCGGAGGTCCATTAATGGGCGATGAGCGCTAAGTTGATAAACTCGATCGCACACCGATCTTGATAAACATTCGTGCTGGGCTGGGATAAGATTGAGGAAACTCTTGCTGATAATATTCATAGGCTTTTCTTCTAGTAATTTTCCTCGAACAAGGCTCTCGGTCGCCTCGTAACCGGCTAGGATTGACCTACGTTGTCGGAAGGATGTCATGATTGGACGTTCCACGAAGAGATCTGGATGGTTGCAAACTTTACGTAGTTGCATGAGACAGTTGATAACCGAGATATAGTTACCCGAAGAAAGGGCTTCTCTGGTATCCGTACGGGATAGAAATCCATCGTATAATTCTCGCTGTCTACGTGATAGCCGACAGAATTCGACGTGCTCATATTTGGCTGGCATTTGTTTCTCAACGTCCGCTTTTAGACGTCGTAGAAGATAAGGTCTGAGCACCTTGTGCAGCTTGGCAATGATTGCACGAGCCTCATCGTCCATCTGCTCTCGGCCACTTTCCAAGATCTGGGACTCTGGTTTATGAAACCAGTCTTGGAACTCTGCTAGATCTGCAAACCCACCGACCCCGTTCTCGGATGGCATCAAGAAAAACAGTAGCGACCACAACTCGGTCAAATTGTTCTGCAGCGGTGTGCCTGTGAGTAAGAGCCGTGCTCGAGTATTAAATGTGAGTAGCGTTTGCCAGCGTTTGGACTTGAAGTTTTTGATGTTGTGAGCCTCGTCAAGGATCATATAATGCCATTGTCTGCGCTTGAAGACTTGCTGATCTTGTAGAACAATTTGGTAGGACGTGATGCATACATTCCACATGTCATCCGTCTTCCATCCTTGGCGTTTTCGCTTACGCTCATCAATACTACCATAGTAGGATAAGGTTTTAAACCCAGGACACCACTTCTTGAATTCCATTTCCCAATTCAACATAACACTAGTCGGGACAATGACTAGATGCGGACCCCATACTTCATGGTGACAGGCTAGATGAGCTAAGAGGGCGATGGTTTGAATAGTCTTTCCAAGACCCATCTCATCCGCAAGAATACCATTCGTTTGATTTCTATAGAGACCAGCAAGCCAATCCAAACCATAATGTTGATATTCACGCAACGTTCCTCGAAGCAAGAATGGGACATCTGTTCTCGGTACCTGATACTGGGGCGAACTTGATCTACTGGCACCTGACTTAATGACGGAAGATGCCGTATCGACTTCTGAAAGTTTGGTATCAGACGTCCGGGGTGACTGGCTTCGATCACGGCTGGGAGGATTTGTGATCGCGTCTGTATCCGAAGTCACTTGTGGCTGATCTGACGACGTATTTGCGGCTTCGACACTTGGTACCGCTCCCACACTTGGTTGCACTGCTACGGACAATGTATTCTGATTAGAGTCTTCATTGACCTGTTGAACAGCTTCAATGATTTCCATTTCGACATCTTGTGCCTGCAATGGTTCCGGTACTATAGTAGGAACATTAGGATCGTTAGCTTCGTATGGATTTTCTGGTGGTGCAACCGTAGTAACCGTAGTACTAGGTGGATTCGCTGACGTCTGATCTTGGCTGAGAATAGCGTCCCCGATGACATACCCCTTCCCATTCATGAATGCCACCGAGGTCTTATCTTGCACATCTACGCCCTCTGTTACGGTGTTATCCTTCATGTCCTTTTCAGATGCAACATCCTCGGGGACAATCGTTCCGTTAACAGGTGCTGGCTCTGGGGCGTCTACCATCTCAACATCACGTTGAGATGGCGATTTGCCTGTTACTGTTTCCTGCTTTATCTTCTGTAACTCAGATTTACCAAAGAGAAGGCCTAGTAACCCGGAAGGGCCCTCGTCAGCCCCAGAATCCCCGTCGTCTTCCTCCGATTCAGCATCCTCTTCATCGCTGTCTATATCCCCGTCACTTGATCCTAAATCATCGTCCATATCCACAGACTCATCCGTAGTCTCGCCTTGGTCATCGGGTGCCAAATCCGGGACATTCGCGTATTTCTGTTTCAATTGGTCTTGCGTGAGGCCTTCATTCGAACCATTCGACTTTGCGTCGTCGTCGTCATCATCATCGTCAGAAGACATGTTGTCCTCATCTTCATCCTCGTCTTCGTCTGATGCTTCTTCCGATAGCCCCTCATCAGAACCTAATTCATTATCCTCGCCATCAGCCTCATCGTCTGACTCTTCTAACTCTTCCTCATCTTCATCGGACAGAAGCTCCGAATCAAAATGCGCTCGACGGGCCTGCAACTTGAGCTCTGACATGCTGACAGCTTCATTCAAGGCAGCTTTAACTCGTTTTTGTTCCGCAGCTTCCCATTCTTCCAGGCGGCGCCGATTGACCTCAGCTTTAACATTCTCCCATGTCCCGGTGACGGCCTTAATAACAGCTCTGTAGCGACCAATCCACGCTGCCTTGGCTTCGGCTTCGATTTGCTCTGTCGTCTTGGGCTGTCGACGTATCCACTCGTCCCGACAGGCTTCAGCTAATCGCTTTGCCGTAGCCCTGTGTCTTTGCTGTTCCATTAGCATTAGCTTTCGAAAATTGGCCATTTGCTTGACAAGATGATCCATGTGTGCCCACTGTCGTGGAGGTTCTTCGACAGGTTCCGGGACAAACAACGTAGAACGCTCCTCACTAAGTAATCCGCCAGGCTCCGTTTCAGCCTCGATTCGAATGATGACATTGGCATCTTTCTCAGCTGCCTCTTGCGTGTAAGGATCTCCTTCGTCAACAAGGTCGAGCCAGCCGCCATCTTTGACATCTACAGCTGGCGCACGGTCTACAAAGTCGCGGAAATCGGACGATATTTTGGTACGTGCAATTGTTTGTCCCGGGAAAACGTTGACTTGAGCTGGATGAACAGTAGGGATACTGGGTCCCTTTAACCGTAGCCGGATCTTCGTTGGGCGCAAATTGGGGCTTTCATCATCGGGATAATTGGAGCTGCCGTCGGGAATGTCGACAACGTCTCGGAGAGTTCTAGAACTACGTCGTGTGCGAGCAGATCGCCTCGGCGGTGTCGTCTGGAGGGGCGGAGAAGGGGAGTGTCTTCGAGTTTTTGCCAAAGGTTTGGTGCCGTTCGTCAAAGATTTTCTTGTGTTCGGCTTGGCACTAGGAGTAGGAGCTTTGGATGGAGCACTCTTGCCCGTTGGCGCGTGCTTATGTGAACCATTTACTTGGTTACTAGTTACAGCACGCTTATCTTTGACTGGAGTAGGGGGCTGGTGGCTGTGGAGAGCGCCTCGGGTCATCCTCTTATTACTTGGTGGTTGCAGCTCTAAGGGCACCTGGTTGGTGCGTCCAGACCTGCGTTTGCCATTTTCGGTGAAAGTGGTGGGCCCATCAGCCTCTATCCTCTTCCATGGAGGAGATTCAGGTTTTGGTCGACGGGATGCGCTAAGGGGTGTTGTGTCACGTAGTCGGCGGCGTTTAGAAGGTCTCTCGTCAACATCATCATTCTTAATGGGGGTTTCGACAGCTGCTTTATTCGCATGGGTGCCATTTGCCTCGGCCTTTGTTAGGGACAATTGGTCTCTAGTATTTTTTTCTAATTTTATGTCGAGGCAAGATAGGTTATCTAAAGAGGCAGTAGAATTGTCAGAAATATGTTGGGAAGTTTGGTCGTTTGTACCGTTTAAGTTTGTGGGATTTGTGGTTTCGTATGAAGGCGCAGACTCGGGCGACGCGGTAGCCGTCATAGCTGTCCAGGGGTGTAAGGAGAAAAAGAAGACGCGGGTCTCGACGAAATGGACATTGGATGAGATAAAAATTACGTCGAGAGATAGAGAATTAACGGTAGATTATCATGACGAAGTATAAGCGTGCACAGAGCATTAGAATAATAACTGTGATGGAATTTGTATCAGAATTGGCATTTATCAGCGGTTTGATGATGATTCAAAAATTTCGTCGGGTCTCCGCCTTGCCTTGGATAGGAATAACCCAGCTTGGTCAAAGTTCCTCAACGTAAGAGAAAGAAACGTGATCCGTGCGTAATTCCCCCATCTTCTACGTACGTACATATAGTACATGTATACATGCATTGTATCTAGGTAGGCTCTAGGTACATATGTACATACATCTATGGATGTATAGGTACATGCATAGCCTTAGCGTTAAGGCTAATATTATTACTAAGCCTACATCGTCAGTGGTCACCTTTAAGCTTCAAGCTTCTCAAATACACCAGTAACAAAGTACCCAAGCAAGACATAATTTGATACTATTAAGGTATCGAGCCGATAATCCTTACAGTATGTTGCAATTGACCTCGATTACTATCTCATTATACAGAAATAACTAACATATGCTCTTCAGATGCTTCCTCAGCGAATTGTAAGGGCTTCGGCTCTCCGGTCGGCATCGCTGGCGTCGCTGGCATCGCGAAGATTACCCATCATCCAACAACGCACATTCCTTCCAAAGTCACTTAACGATCGCGCAGTCGTCGACGAGAAGTTCCCAGATAGGCCAGTACTCACAGATGCTGAAGATCCGGGCATGGTCAGTTAGCTTTAGGAATTAATTAGTTATGTTCTCATAAACTAACGCATATAGAATGGTGGCTATATCAACCCCCCGGCCATTAAGCGACAGTTTCGCGATCCATACGGAGACTGGTGGGATAAGCAAGAGCGACGAAACTATGGAGAGCCAGTCCATGAGGATCATGACATTCTCGGCATGTTTTCTCCGTACGAATACACATGGGTCTCCTCTGGAAAAGGATTACTGCAAATTGGCGCATTTATCGCTACCTTCGTCGGAGTATGTTGGATGGTGGGTAGGGTATATCCCGACAAACCGTCTTTCCCCCGGGAATTTGAAGGTGGCCTTGAACGAGAACTAGGCGGTGCTGGTGCTTTAAGGGTAAGTTGATAGTTAATTGGGTTAGTAGATATGGCTATGGTACTGACGATACTTGTAGGCAAGAGCTCCTGGCGACCCAGAACCGTATCAAATTGAAGAGGCGGAAGAAGAGTAAAGACGTTTGTACATATATTAGGGCAGCTTTATGTGGAGATACTAAATATGACCTAGATCATCTTGACAAATGGAATATTAGATGAACATACAAGTTCGTCGAGGCTAGTCATCCTATAGACAGTTGTCTCAACTTCTTTGATTTGCAGGCTATAGCTACTACAAGCTCTAGCAATCCATGCCTTCAGTATCGAGTTGATTATTAGACTACCTAGGTATATGTTTAATATGCAAGGCGTTATCCATTGCACTATAGTTAAGAGTAAGCAAAAGATATAGCTACCTTATTGTATACTTATCTTTTGCATACTTATCTTAAATTACAATTTCCGAGTTTGTCACCTACAAAATCAGCACATACCTCTTGCCTCTAAGTTGGGTACGTATCGATTCTATACCGCACCGGAGCTTACCTGAGCAGATAGAGGTATCGTACCTGCCTGCACCTTCAGTTAGTTCTAAGGGCTCCGTAGCTTCATCATATAGATATTTGATGAACTAGGAACTCGCTATGGGTCATCACTTTACAGGTACATCATCCACATGGAATTTTATCGGTCAGGTACCTTACAACTATCCATCTCTTTTCCAACACTTAGAATATTCAACTGCTACAATTCACATCACCAACAACTAAATACTGCCAAACACAGATTTCATGCTAATGCCTCTCGAAGGTTATCGGCTCTATTCCAAGTTTTGTTCATTGTATCAACCAGATATTCTTTGAGGTTTCTCTACTTCGTCGTTCAGTATCCCCAGTTAGTGAAGATGCGTTTTGAGGATTGGGATGTGCTATTGTTTCCTAGGGATTCCAAAATCCCCATGAAGGAGTTCAAGACTAATTGCCATGTGGTCCACGATAATGGTGAGTACTATTTCCTATCACTGTGCCCCATCAAGACACGTTTAGTCCTCAAGCCACCTTCGATCCCCGGAGTCAAGTAAGATATATCAGCATTCAGTCTCTTTACCGTGGATAAGCTAATTTAGATGTATTCAGAATTTGCATATAGCCATGGATCGTACGGCTTGCCAACCATGACATGTTTCATGCCAGGACTGTCCCCGGGCACCCAATTTAACATCTCGCTTCACTCCTGGAAGACACCCGATATCAGTCAGTTTACCAGAAGCTACAGCAAGCATCCGGAACTAGTCAAGTTCGAGGCACGAGTCTTGATTGATGGTCGTCTAGTCGCGTATGTCCTCAACTCGAACGTCCCAGGGCTAAACAAACACTGACCAAACTATCCCTTAGCTCGTCAGCATTAACCCGCACCGGACCGTGGCCTCAGTTGATCAATCATAGCTTTGGTAAGTAAACCATACTATACGCTACATTTCAGCAACTGATTCCAACTAGAATTCACCAAAAACGGTGACCTAGAAACACTCAGGTTCCCTCCATTCCGCAGCGAAGTTCTCCAGCAAAGCTACTGGAGCCCGGCAGATGAAATTGGAAGGATCAAAATTGTCATTAGCGAGGGTTTCCCAAGGGACTCTCTAAGTGTTCCCATCGAACGAGTCAAGAATGTTGTGGCATTTTCGTTCCAACATGCTCCCCTTGGTAGAGAACCAAATACCCCCTAATATAATAGAGTAAGTCCATACTAATATATAAGCATCACAGATATTCTCGAGAGCTCTGGTATTGCATGGCCGAATCCCGGAATGTGGCGGCGCACTCCTTTCAACCCTACTATGCCTGTTCCGTCACAACGCCACGAGGACGGTCCAGATGCCCATCTCCACTCCCCTCGTCGTCGGACGACGAGTTACATGAAAGGAACATCCAATTCATCTGGGTACAATCCTGGCCCTCCGGGGCTAATACAGGCAAATACCAACGGCTTGCTCAGCTCTATGCCTAATACCCAGGCGCTGTTACAGCGTAACGAAACCGGATCTGGATCTGGATCTGGATCCTCCTGGGCAGATCCTTTCAGTACGCAAAAATCCGAAGCTACTGCTTGCTTTGACTGGGCGAACAGCAATTTCGGGCCCATAGGATTCAACCAGACCACCGACAGCGGCAAGTCTAATTGTAACCATACTTCCACTCGCAGGACTACCGGCATGAGCAAGGCGTCACGTTCTGATATGAGCATGCTTGATTACGGTTTGAACAATTCGAACACTACTCAAGGCATATCGGATCATCAATTCTTAAACCTCTCGACGTCTAATCTTGGAGATGCGGATACGGCCACCAATAATCCCAAAGTGCCATCCAACACGCCAACAACTTTGGCTGGGACAAATTTCATTGATGAGCTTAATATAGACGTGAGCAAGATCGACACGCCCGGAGGTATCTCAGCCCAATATCTCAATAGCCACATTGCCCCTCCACAAAATGACCAAGACGTCAATACAGTGAACGAGGCTGATAAGTGTTCCACTATAGGTACGTCAATGAACGACTTTTTCAACTCTAGCCACGCCAATTTCTCATCCGAGCTCGCAAATTCTCTTACACATTCATTGTTGAATCAACCACATCCGCTTCCAGTTTATGCCGGAAACATTGTACCACCGGCTCCTGAAGTGAAGTCACGCAAGGAGAATCGTCTTCACCAGGACTCCCCAAATGAAAATGTATCAACCATAGACCATGTCGAGATGCGCAAGGTATCGCAGCCATCATTCTGCAGCCTTGGTAAGGAAACCCAGGACAACAGCTCAAACAATTCTCCCCCAAGCCAGGGCACATTCTCGGGAGTGTTTTCTCATCGGTCTACGTCAACAGCTGACTTTGGTAATGACCTCACTAACTGCACCAACATTTTTCAACACTCAAATGCAGACTCGCATATATGTGGCGACGCAGCCCCAGAGATCCGTATCACAGGCTGCCCCGACAAGGGCATCAAGCGCACTCGTCACTTCACATCGGCTGGTGGCAAAGTGATTGATGATACCATCGAGGCACTAACCAACAGCCCCCAAGTCCAAATCGATCTCGACGAGCAGTTCGGGGCGCCAATGTAATCAAAATCCCGCCGAGTGCATTCACAATAACACTCTTATTTTTTGGAAGATCATTGAATATTCATCTGATTATTGGACGCATTGGTAGGGGGTACCTCATCATGGCCCTTTCGTAAACTTGCGTTGTAGCCAATGCATTATAGACTTCTTGTTGGGAGAACGTATCGTTAGCTTACTACCTAGCATGAGAAAAATGGCTACTGGTTTGTTTTTAATACTACCGGTAACCTCGAGTTGGCTTGTAGAATATTCTTGGCCTTGTAAGGGAGTTTGAACCATAGCCCATAGGACGCGGGGTTTTAATGTTATGGTATGGGAAAGAAGAGAAAGTTAGGTGTTTAGTTGAGAAGAGCATAAATAGATTAAGTCAACTTCGCGGGTGCATAACTCGCCGAACAATAAATGGGAATACCGCTTTTACACGAATACCTAAATCTTGGGATTGATCCTATGGGTAAATGAAATCTCTTTCGGTAGAATCGAGAAATTGTATATAAAATTATCACTCGTCTCTATCAACCAATAGTCCGCGGGGCTCCTATCACACCTTTCCAACCCTTCCAACTATGTAGCTGGTAGCCTAGAATACTTAAACCAGGCAGAAGGGCAACACCGCACGTCATTTTAGCTTGCGTACCTCCTAATGTCATATATGTGCCTAAGGCTCATCGGCTGGTGACTTGGTAAGGATGGATTGGCCCTAGCATGGATATACCAGAAGCTAGTAGTTATTACAAAGGTGCATCTATTTATAGATATCCGGGTTGCCGTCAGGTACGTGCCTAATATTCTTCAGCGTCGGCGTTTAATTAAATTAAATCATTGCAATGCCATAATAAGTGCCTCTAACTCAGAGGTTGATAGATAACGAGTTTAAGTAAGGTAAAAAAAAAAAAAAAATTAAGAAAAAGAAATGGATGACGAACCTTTTGAAATTATCCTCTCCGACTCCAACGAGGAGTCGGCACACTTTCGCTTGCAGAATGAGCCCGGCGAGAAGCAGCGAGAGCATATTACGGGCTACGACCGGAAAGATGCGCTTCGGGTGCTTGGCAAACTAGCCGCCGTCGTGCACGGACGGACCTCCGAGGACAACGATACACCGTGCTCGCTCGCCATCTTCGAGTTCGCGGCGCTGGGCCAGAAGCCCGGGCGTCGCTACCGCGAAGTCCAGATCGAAATCATGTTCGCGGCATACGGGACCTCTGGGCGACCTAGAGCCATCCGAGGAGACCTCGCGCGCTGGGACCCGCAGGTCGTAGGCGTGGCGCCACGCGGGGCAAGGAGTCTTTTACGGACGACACGGACAAAAGAACGGAAACATGGGTTTGAAGCTTCGGTTGAGGCAGGGACAAATCCGCTCGCATCGGCTGGAGTTAGTTATACGTACGAGATCAGCGACTCGATTGAGCGCGGGGATAGTATGGTGGTGGAGGGCACCGAGGCGTTTGTTAATCGTGCTGCAGGGAAGCCGAATGCGGCGCGGTTTACGCTACGCGAGAATGCTTCGCAGAAGAGCGGCGTGCCGAAGTATCTGCGCGTTGCGGTGTTGCTGGAGCGGAGGGTAGGTGATGAGGGGTTGTTTCTTGCGACGGTTAATGTGCGGGCTCACGTCTCTGTTTTTGCGGATGCGAAGGAAAGAGTTCGGAGGACCATGGGGAAGATACCGATGGATGATGCGGTGTGTTTTGATCCAAAGATCCCGCCGACGACGGATAAGTACCCTGTTAATAATCTGGCTTCGGTCTCGTTATGCGAGGAGTGCTCTATTGAGAGCGGGTATAATGAGAAGGATGAGGCGGGGGTGGGATCTAGTGGATGATATGGTTGTTAGGACTGATGGGTATAATGATGAATGTAACAGGGAAGAATGAGAAGGACAAGGTTCCCTATTTCCCTACCTAGACAGTTATTAAACATGGCCTTAAATATCGAAATAGTAAGGCATTTCAGCCTATATGAATATCTGGTGAGATTCATTTAATGTACGCATTAACCTCTGAAGGCATTTTATTTGTAACAGAGGCGCTCGTGGTGTTTTGACACACTTCTCTATTTTGCTACTTTCTTTTGTTTATGACTAACGCATATTCGAGGACCGCAGCCCCTTAGCTAAGTTTATCACTCGTCCCGTTCTCGTTCTGTAATCTTCCAGTAAGTTTATCCATCATAACCAGGCTATACAAGTCATAGATTAATTCCTCTCTCCATCTTGTCCATTTCCAACCCCTAGCTCGTCACTTGGTGGTGTATCTAGTTCATGTGAATCTTGATCATACCGCGAAAACACATGATGCTTAGGGTGTGTCTCTTCATAGATCCAGTAGCACTTGAAGCAGAGCCAATACTTAGGGCATGTGCCACAACGATATCCCGTCCCGTATATATCCTGCTAGCAGTCAGTATCGAGTCCAGGTGTGATAAACAATGAACTTATAACTCACACAGAAGCATGAGTCGCAGAGATCATCGTCCACTCGTTCAGCAGCTTCACTAGGTAACTCTTCATCATCGGTATCGCCACCGTCTTCCGGGAAGAAGTCTAGGTATTCTGTCTTTCCGTGATAGATAGCAACGTGGCGGGGAGTCCACCTATCATGAGTTTTGGCTTCTTTATTGGCTCCATGATTTATCAAGGACCTTGCGGCTTGTATCTTATCTTGTCGACAAGTCCAATGGAGTGGAGTCCAGCCATCACGATCCGAGACATTAACTAAGTCAGGGCATTCTTTTAGTATCTTCTCAATCAGGATATACCAGCCGCCGGCTGCAGCGTGGTGAAGAGCATTACGCCCTTGCTTATCTGTGCTCCTGAGTGTGGAACTTTCTGTAGTTAGCGAATCGATTCTTATATCAGTAGGGCATCGCCGTGCTGCGAGATGGAGAGGGAGCCGTCCTAGGTCATCCGCGACATCTCGAGAGACTCCAGGCAGATTTACTATCTTGTTAAAAATTTCATCATCTTCAACCGTACAAGTCGCGTTCAGAGCTGTTCCATAAGTGCCACTCGAGATGGTAGGATCAGCTCCGTGTGTGAGAAGCAAATCCAACATCTTTTCTCGAATGCTTGGTAAACCCCAGTCCATTGCTAGTTGGAGAGGTGTGGTGCGATAGTCGTCTACTTTGTTGAGATCTACAGGTGTTATCTTGTTATCCAATAACTCCCGAACAATATCTAGATTATCATTAATAACGGCCATGCCAATAGCTGAGCCATACGCCACGTCAAACTTTGTGATCATAGAGTTGGGGTCTGCGCCGTACTCTAGAAGAACTAGTATGTTCTCAAGATTTGAAACATACGTCGCCGCGACAAGAGCTTCGTTAATCTCTAAGAGGAAAGCATCCTCACTGACTTGAAGCTTGAGGTGCTCGACATACGCTCTAATTATATTAGGAGAGCATGTATAGGCAAGTCCACCAAGGAAAGAAACCCCAGCTTTGAATATGGGGTATTGAGGTGGTATTTTAATGCTCTCAGGCAACACTGCCTGTGCTCCATGCTCTAGGAGAATTTTGAAGCACTCGTTATCAGCTTCCGCTGCTTGAAATACTAGAATATCAAAATTAGCTAAGAGTCTCGACAGAATGACCCGGAGAAAGTATAGGGGTTAAAAGTCATGTCAGGAGGGTCTATGGCTCCTAGGAGAGATCAGGGTAGGAACATAAATTACAAAGGAGGATTGTAAAAGGGGTTGGAAAGTAATACTAAATCGTACTCACAAGGTGTCCTGCCAGATTTGCTTACTATCTCAAGATCTGCTCCGGCATCTAACAATAACTTTAGACACTCAGCCGCACCTCTCCTAGCGGCATCTTTTAGAGCGGCACAATTATCGTTATCTGTACGATTTATATCTGGAATACGAGCGAGCAAGATTCGAGTCACCCTTGGATACGAGTTCCAACAAGAGAACTGCAGCGGTGTATTGCCGAATTCATCTTGATGATTGATATTTGCGCCAGCCTCTAGTAAGGTATTAACAATCTCGTGGTAACCGTAACGTGCCGCGAATATTAGTGCGAGAGATATCATCTCTTTAGAACTCCGTGGGATGAGCTGCTTCACCGCACGGATCAAGCCCCACGTAGCTGCAAGTCCAATAGGGGGGATCACGTCGTTATCAAGATGATCGACAGGTGTATTTCGTTTGAACAATTCTTCAATCACTCCTTGACTGCCCCAGGCACAAGCATCATGAAGTAATAATCTACCGTCCTCTCGTATTCGGTCAAACTTCGCGCCGTTGTCCAACAAGCAACGAACCATGTCTACATTGCCCATCATTGTAGCTTTAACTAAAGCATCAAGGTCGTCCTCGTCTGTGATATGTATGTTAGCCCCAATGTCGATCATAGATGTTACTAGATCTATATCGCCAGCTATTACTGCGTGCATTAGGGCGGTTCGTCTTCCATAACTATTTGTTTGCGCGTTGATGATTTTCGAGAGATTATCGGCGTCGTCACTGCTGTCCCGGCTGCTGCCCTCTCTATAACCTGGAAACTGGGTTTGAAGAGCTTCAATTAAAGTCGCGGCTGTCTTTTTGTAACGCGGCCCTCTATGATATCGCCTTGCTGTAGTATATAATGGCGTTTGGAACTGTGCGTCTATTGTAAGCAATGCACCACGCTTAATTAGTAGCTTACAGATCGAAGCAAATCCAAGCGTGCTTGCAGTGTATAGCGCAGTTATACCGTTAGATATCGGGAGGTTGACATCTGCGCCCGCGTCGAGTAGCAGGCGTACCATGTCTATGAGACCGAGTTGACAGGCAACATGAAGTGGACTAGAAACCTTGTCCGGAAATTCTGTCTTGCCACCTGCGTCTACATCAGCGCCGGCGTCTATAAGTAGCTGGACCATCTCCTTATTGCCAGTTGAGGCGGCCGTATCTAGGAGTGTAATAACATTCGAGCCAGCTCGGAAAGCCCCGATAGGAGTTGCCTGGTAGTCTAGCAATATTTTCACAATATCAACGAAGCCCCAGCTAATTGCGTAGCTCAACGCATCGCATGATACTTCTCTAAGGTTGACCTGGTCCTCAATCTTTCCGAGTAAGTCAAGTAGGAGGGGTGGGTTGTTGTGCAGAACAATGGACATAAGTAGAGGGGATATCTCATTGAGTGTAGGTTCTTTCTGATGCTGGAGAAGTGCTTCTATAACTTGGGGGTATAGAGTGACTTCTCCATGAATACCTAACTTGAAGAAGTTTTCATAAGCCCAACGACCGACAGCATCTTCTGCTGAAGAGACGGGAAAATGTATCAGATCGAGGCATATCTTGCTCGGCTGGCGGTCAACTAATTGCAATGTCATTTCAAAAGCATCCATCTCACTCATATTGAGCGCCCTTCTCAGGTCGGGTGGCATGGGTTCCTGAGGTATTTTATAGATTTGATCGAATGGCCATCTACTATAAAATCTCAAGGTGAGCAATTCCTGCAGACGATTTGAATTTGTTATCCAAGGCTCCGACCTTGGGCTCGCAGCTGCGTCACCTTGTGGGGAGAGGTAATGCTCACACCAGTACATGGAAGCATAGGATGATAACCAGAAAATCCGATCATCCAGAAGAGCATCCCGTATATTCCCTGGACAGGATCTGGCGCGGCGTTCCAATTGGATAATTGCTTTCAGTGGTGACGTGTCCGAGATACCAAAACGCTCTACGAGGAGGCAAAGATAGTGGTAACAAGCAAGTGCAATTTCCGAGTGGTAATCCTCGAGATAATACCAGTCGTCTGGGTTCCGGCGCAGAAATGACTTCAGTTCATCATGAGCCACATATAACTTTCCCGAGTGAATTCGTACGATTCCTGGAAGTAATTCCCGAATATAGGCTGCCGTTCCAGGTGCAGTGCTCTTTTGGAGTTGCTCGAGACTTTCGCAGTCGGCTACGGCTATAGCAGTTGTGAGTTCGCCTATGGACATAGGCCTCATTGAAAAGCATATAAAACCGAGGGCTTTACGTGCCCAGGCTCGACAGCTGTGGGGGACTTGGTCGAATATTACGCTGAATGCCATTTCAATTGAGGTAAAATCATCCGCGAGGCGAGCTAGGGCACCCGGGATGGGAATGTGAGTGAACTGCAACGCGTCTAACAAGAGATCCATTAACTGGTGACTCGACCCACGCTCATGCAATAACTGAGATATTTTCTCTTTGATGTCTGATATTCGAGGTTTGATGCTTACAATCAAATCTAATTGCGATTGATGATCTTTCTCGATATATTCTCTCAGGATATCATGATCCAGAACGACTCGCGAAAATATTTTTGACGGTGAGAGATCAATTCTAGACGTCGAGCTACCGACAATGATTACTTTCCGCAAACCGTCGTCTAGTTGATCAAAGAATCGCAGATGTTCTATGATTTTGAGGAGGAGTGTCTTTTCCGCTGAAGTGCCTGTTGTGTGAATGATCCAAAAAGAAGGGTTTTCTGAGCGGAGGAAGGCTAGCCTTAAGCATTCCCAAAGTGCTGGGATTCTAAGCTCGAAGTTCGGGTTATACAATGCATATATGATCTCCTCGGAGGTTTTATTCATTTGATGGTATAGTCTGGGGCATTGTTTCAGTATCTGGACAAGGTAGCTTGATAAAAGTCCTGTCTCGGTTAAGGAAGAGGGTTCAGTGGAAGTAAGCGAGGAGCAAGCGATGATAGCACCAGGATATTCTGGTATGGATCGTCGGATTGCGTCACTGAAAGAAGACAAAAAATATTTTCCATCAACATCTGCTTGAATTTCTAGTGAAATAAGGTCTGCTCGGTCGTCGTACAAGGGGGATTTTAACGCCTTCGATCGGATAATGAAATCTGCAAGGCTATCGAGACGTCCTAGTGTTTCGAAGTTCATCTCAATTCCGTCTGACTGGATCGACAACCACTGGATAAGCTCACGATAGCCTTCAGAGACATCTAAGCTTGTGTCAGTGACTACGAGGTGGCCAATAAAGCAAAAAAGAAAAAAAATCCCTACATGTCTGAGCGTCTGACATACGCTCTATAATATAGTCTTCCGCAGGAGATTCTTTCACAATGCAAGTGAGTTCGTAATGCGTTACGTTGCATCTGATGTTCGTAATATTGAAGCCTTGGAGCTCTGCGCAAGATTTGTGGACTGTCTAAATTGCGGGTTTAGCGATAATCACATAATACAGCTACTACAGGGAAGGTATTTGACTTACCAGGACCTCAGAACTAGGCTCGAGAAAATCTTGGACGTAATTTAGAATCCTGAATTTGCCCGAGATCTTATTAAAATCCAGATGGAGCTTCTCTAGATAGAGCGATAACTGGCGGATACGATCCGGAAACCAAGGGCCCCATAACCCTCGATAGGTATCTTCAATGATGCTCAATATCGTCGTTTCCCAGCTGTACACTTTCGACTCCTGATGAGGAGTCCCAAAAAAAGCCTATGGTAGTTAATGTGCCGGTCTAGTATGTAAAGACTTCGTGACTTACTAATAGAGAGGTCCTTTCATGTATTTCTCGGTACTTGACAAGTGATGATGCCTTTAGTAGAGCCTACAAATGATCTTCAGGAACGGTCCCGGCTAGTAGATATCGGATAGAAAACGACAAACCTTTTTCACGATCATACCACCGAGATCAGCCGCCATAAAACCAAGGCCGAGCTCAGACAGGTCCTAGTAGGTATAGTTAAGCGATGATGTCTGACTAGCAAGTCTTAGAAAGGGGACATACAACTTTGATATCTGCTGCCGAGTCCAGAACAAGATCCAGTAATTCCTCGACTATACCATCCAAGTTTTCTATTGACCCCTTTTCGCCAAAAAGTCTCTCCGATTTGAAGGAAAAGGTTCTGACATGTGTCCAACGTTCTACCGTGCTATTGTTATGTATAACCGGGTACTCCATACTAAGTCCTGCGACAAATATCATTAAGCTTTTAGATAGGATAGGTGGTGGAGCGGATTCTTCTGAAGAATCACTCCCAGCCTGGGAACCTGGCTCATCTTCATTCTCGACTACGGGTTCTTCATCTTCATTCGATCCAGGCACAATATCGGTTTCTACGTTAGACCCGGCTTTATTATTCAAATCGTCCATGCTTATCCTCTTCTATGGAAAGGATATTAAACTGACGATAGACGATATAGCATAAGCGGGAACCCTGAAATAAGTTTGTAGTTGGGTACGTGGACCCAGGTATTTCTCCGACGCTCAGATGGGACCTCGCCTCTTCTTTTTATTCAAGAGTAAGGTTTCGTGAGAATAAGCCGTCTGAAACGTAGATATTATAAATTTGAATATCTTAGGAATAGAGGGTTGAGGTTATCCTGATTATATGAAAGCCCTCACTCGAGGAAGTAAAGCTGCTAAGGTCAAGACATTGATCAGCTCGAACACAAATGTGAAAATGAGGATCACCTCTACCTAACCGATTTTGCTGCGTACCTATGTACCCTACTCGTACATTTGTCGGGCATATCAAATCAGCCCTCAGCCATAAGATTTATGGAAGAATCGAAGGCTAACTTGGCCCCCAATTCTCGTTGTGGAAGCTGGGCAAGGGTAGGCCGAAGGTTAGCCTACGACTGGTTCGATATCACCCTGACGCCCCCCTTTAATCCCTGCCTGAATATACATACTAGTCCATAATCAGCGACACGCAGTCAGCAGAAGGTTATACTTACTATAAGAGGCACGAAGAAGAGATGTAGAAAGGTACACGATTCAGATAATCTCAGCCTTCTCATTTGCTTATTAGACCCGCATCTAGAGAATATCTCTTACGCAATAAGCGCAATTGAATTGCCTTCCTTGCCTATTATGAAAAACATGCCAATTCAAATCAAGGGACAAAAAAATTACATACTACGCGACTTATAAAGCGATGGATCTTCAATCCGGGCTCCCTGAGACAGAGCCTGAAAACTTCACAATGATAGATAATCCCACAGCTGTTGGTAATGGAATTTTTATTCCGTTTACTGAGGCCGATCTAGATGATCCAGATGACTCAGAGAGTGATGAAGACGACGAAGACGAGGACGAGGACGACGAGGACGTGGATGACGGCGAGCCAGATTTTGCTATTGGCAGGTCAGGCACAATCGACATCCGTACCGAGCGTACCAAGCTCCTAACAGAAGTTAGCAAAGAGGTCAGGTTCGACGATGCGGATGTGATCGAAAAGTACCAGGCCCGAGTACGTTTGTGCCTCAAGGACGACAAAAACGTAGAAGAACCAACTTTGCTACACTATATCGTATTAAGCCTCCTCATCTTCCATGAAACTCAAGACGCAATGAACTTCATAGTCAGGTTAGCTTTACAGGAAGCACCCGAGGACTTGGCATATCAGACGAAGGGACCGCTAGAGACTCCACTACATGTAGCGATAAAACGAAAGGAAGAAAATCTCGCAAAACTGATGTGTGAGATAGCACCGGACGTTGCGGCAAAGGCTATATCATTGCAGAATGAAAACGGCGAAACCTGTTTGCACCTTGCTATTAAGGAAAACCTGGACGTAGCCCCGTTCCTTATTAGCAAAGCGCACATCGCTGCATTCCGTCAGCAGCGTAGTCAGAAGATACGGCATGGCGCTGGAAATACACCCTTACACGACGCAGTACACTATTCTCGTTACATTGTGGAGGTCCCAACCTGTCCTCCAGAAAAGATCCCAAAATGTAGACGTTGTCGAGAAGCCGAGAAGAAGTTAGAGAGTAGCTGTACTCGACTGAGTAAAATTGTCGAGTCTTTAGTACAGAAAGACCCGGAAGCTCTTGCGACCCTAAATGCTCTAGGACAGTCCCCGTACGTATATCACTTAGCAACTCGCCAGGAGACACGAGCAAGCCTCGATCTAGCCAAGTCAAAGCCCACAGGCGGAACCCAAGACCAAACACTTAAGAATCCTAAAACCGAGGGCAGCGGAAGTGCAGCCAGCGGAAAGATCGAGAAACCGAATCCGTACATCAAGTCAGGGGCTACCATTGCACACGAGGAGAGAAAGCGGGCAAAGAACCCTAAGTCCGAAACTCCTAACATACCAAACAAAGGCCGTTCCGCCAAGCCAGGCCCCAAGATTACAAAAACCCATCAGCCCCTGCCAAGATCTGATAAACTAGCAGAGAAGACCAAGATCGAAGAATATCTTCGAGAGATGGCGTTTGCCCAAGGAAATTTTGAGAAAGCCTGTAGGTGTCTTTTCGGCAATAGGAGCGCTGACTCGAAAGTTCGAACTGTTTTTCGACCCCAGCATCGACTCTCCGACCGCACACCAGAAGATCATGAATTCCTTGAATTTAATAGTATGATCGCTTACGTTGAGCTTGACATACGACCACAACCTATTAACCAAAGTTCCAGTTCAGAAGCTGGGGGTGAACAAGAGGATTGGGAAGAAGATTCCAGGGCTCTATGCGCAATATTTAAATGGTTAAAGAAGAAAGGGGTAAAGCAAATAGTCAAGTTGGTTGTTAAAGATAATCTAAATAGGAACTGTAGTGATGAGACTATTGAGGCATGTCTCGATGGATTCGATATTCGCTACCTTGATTGGGATAAAGCTGACTTATGTGTCGATTCTATAAGGAAGAAAGCGCCTAATTTAGCACATATATGGCTTCATTCCAGCGGTAGCAACGCTGGTAAGTTCCCTTCCTGTGTTTCATTTAGTAGTAGTGTATTAGAACACGAGAACTCACATTTATATAGTGCTTTGGTCTTGGTCTGATAGCAGTGGTCTCCAAAGCTTACCAAAGGTAACGCCCCTATCCCTATAGTATAACAATAGCTGACAGCAAAGCATCAGCTGAGTCAAGTTTACCTAAATGCGAGGAAAGGACTGGAGAGTTATAAGCGTAACGAAGAGAATATATATAACTTTAAAGACCGTCTAAGACAGCCAGTCAATGGTCTAGACGCACCAAGGATAAAAGTTATAGAATCGATTGAGAGGCCGCCGAAAACTCGAATTACTCCTCGTCTCGATAGCAGCTTCGATGTTAGGTCACAAGAGTACGTTCTCTTTGCTCCGATTGTAAACCATGAATGAGTGCTAACAACGGGTTTTCATAGTCGGCATCATTGGATGAATAATATTAGAGATTTTGCGGCCGAGCTTCGGACGGAGCTTGGGGTTAATTATAATCAACGCAGGCCAAAGGTCGCCATAATCGACGACGGTGTTAATCCCGAAGGGGAATTCCTAGGCCAGAGGATTGCTCACGGGTGGCCTCCTGACGAACCAAAGTCAAACTTGGAGCCGTTCTATGCCTCTACACGAGGCCACGGGACGCAGATGGCCAAGCTTATATGTCACGCGTGTCCCTTCGCTCAGCTATACGTCGCTAAGCTCGATGGTTGGAAAGACCCGGACCTCCCCCACCCACAATTTACGGCAAAGGATGCAGCTGAAGCGGTAAAGTGGGCTATTCGGGAAAACGTTGATATCATCAGCATGTCGTGGAACATCGAGCGTAGCCGCTCCAACGAGGCCGACATCGACGCGCTCGCCTCACAGATCAAGATCGCAGCGAACCGCAATATCATCATGTACTGTGCGGCACAAGACAAGGGCCAGCTAGGCAACTCCGAAACTGAAGTCTACCCAGCAGGATCCGACACGACCAAACTCCGTATTGTCGGCGCCGCTGATCCGACCGGCCACCCTCTCAACATCGTCGATACGAACAAAGTGCACTACCTCTTCCCGGGAGAAGTTATCCTCGAGAACGACAACAAGGCCATCACCGGGAGCAGTGCGGCCACCGCTCTAGCCGCAGGGACCGCCGCCATGATTCTTTTTTGCTACGAGCTCGGCTATGGCAAGATGGAGACTATAGCTAAGCCGGGACGCATGGGGCAGCTGTTCAACAGTCTGAAGAAGTCGACGAAATACGTCGATGTCGAGTCTATCTTGAAGCCGGGACAGACGCCGGAGCTCGTTGTTAAGGAGTGCGCAGCACGCGTCAAGGAAATCAGGGACGAGGAGAATCTCCGCGCGACCCCGGATCATCGGACTTCCGGTGGGCTGGATCTGAGCGGGTCGACGGCTTCGTTTGCGCCTCCGATAAGGAGGACTACTGGACCTCTGGTTGTCCCCGGAGGGCGGTAGTTGATATAAGATACGGATTGAAGAGGTAAAAATATCCGGTACGCCTTTTATTTAAAACTAGAACCTCGGTTGTTTCTAGGATATCCTAGTCTCCAAACAGCCACGAAGACTAAGCGAACAGTGACCTCGATCCTATAAAGATGAGGTACCTTTTCTATATCTAGGACTCGGTTTATTAGCTTGCTATAAGCTGAGAGTTGATTCACGCCTGGGGAATATTATAAAGGGTCAAATTGCGTTAAATAAAACTCAAGTTTTAAATATTACGCCTTGGGAGAAGAGTAGACAAAGATAGGATAGTAGAAGGGGGAATAGTGTTCAACTAGAACGCGACTTTTTCCCTATAAGAAGAGACTAACAGCCTTAATCCCTGGAGCCGAGTCATCAATAATATATCAATAGAACATACAAGCAAACAGAGCAATACCGAAGCTACCAGATACCTTATATATACTCCGCTAATGCAATCTACAATGCCTACTAGCTAATTTTCAATTTTGGATATCTGTTTAGATGAATCGCTAATATTCCGTCTTCCTCTATGTACAACCACTCACTCCATCTCATAAACTCGATCCTGTGGATAACACTCGCAAACTCGAACAAAAAGCCCATGGTACTAAAGCACATATTCTACACACCACTATACAGCCCCTTCTACACAGCTTGTACTTGAACACCTAGGTAAAATCCGTACTAGATAGCCATAGGCGATATCTAATTTACCATACCGCCCTATCTCGGCCTTCGAACGCGAAGTTCAGCACAACTCCCACAAAAAGTGCCGCGCATAAAACGCTCGGCCCCAATCTGTCATAGTACTTGATAGCTCTGCGCTCACGAATTCCCTTACTTCGGTATAGGTAGATGCCAACAGAATAACAGAGCGACAAGACAGCCAGTAAGGTGAAGAGCCCAGATACAATAAATGAGAGCTTGGTCGGTTGTGTACCGAAGTTAAGCAATGTGACAGCAATGGTGCCAATATAAATCGAGAATTCGAGCTAGTATTTCGTCAGTAACATATATAAGAGTCAAAATAGGATTACCTACCCAGCTGAGATAGGTCCTTTCTGCCGCGAAGTAAACCTTAGGTTCGACTCTAACAGGCACGTAAATCCTCTTGCCCTTCGGGGCTCTGAACTTCTTCGTCTGGACATTCTGGTCACCGAAGAACATTTGTGTTCGGTTACTGCGAGGCACGGTCGAAGCTCGAGGACGTGGTGTTATGGCCATTACAACTGACCATGCCCCTTGACTAGCTGCTCCTGCGTACTTCTTAGCCAGAGTTGAGTAGTAGGTCCAACCGCCAACCCTTCTTGCCTCCTCAAGCGCATCCTCTTCATCTACTTCGTCATCCGAGTCATACAAGGGGTAATCTTGGTTCGCAACCGTGCCCTCTGCTGTCTGTCCCTCGATATCCCCTAACACGAGAGCTTGGGCACCTCGCGACAAGCCATTTCCGTGACTTGAAGGACCTGCAGATCCAGTATCGATAGTATCTTCGGCATCCGAATCAATGTCATCATCATCGTCGTCGTCTGAGGTCGTGCCGCTAGTATGGGAATGTGTCGGCCGGTGAATGCCAAAGTTGTGAGTTGGCGGTTTGCGAATATCTACGTCCATCTGAGGCATCCAATATGGAAGAAGATTGATTCGGTCAGGGAACAATGAAGCTGTGCCGTGAATGAACTTAGAGAACTTAGGCACAGCTTCCACAAGGTGGCTTGAAATGAGTTGACGAACCCACTCGGGGGGCTCTTGTCCATGTTGGGTTTGGAGTTTTACTTCTAAGACGGCGTAAGGAAAACGCACGACATCTCCAGCAGGTAGTTGTGAGAAGGGATAATCAATCCCGATGTCCATTCGCCTCCAATTATCACCACACCGCTTGATGCCATCGAGGTTGTCCTCTCGTATCATTGTAAGCTCAGTATCGAGTGAAATTCGGACACGAGCATCGGCGGGCAGCTGGAATGCAGTGCGATTATAAAACGATCTGCAAACCGGCTTATACCCATTCTTCAAGACTGAGTATTGAACTTCCTTTGCCAAAGTCTCATCCTCGGCAATAGCTTTTTCGGATTTCTTACCGTCCTTTCGAGCCTTTTCAAAGAGCGCTGCCGGAAGTAGGTCTCCTCTCAAGTATGCATTGACGTTCTTCTCCTTTACAGAAAAGCGAGCTTTTACGGACTTTTCTCCAGTCCAGTCTTCGCGATGGGTCTTGCGTTCCACGAAAATAGTATCCGTTTGCATACCACCATACCATCTAAGACGGATAGCTTCAGCACCCTCCGTCTTCTTCAGTCGGCCTTCATATAGATCCCATTTCTCTGGATTATCATAGTAGATGGAAGAAATAGCAGAATCCTGCGTCTCGAATTCCTTGCTAGCATTAAAGACAAGTACGGGCAGATGCTTCAGGATAATTAGCTTTAATTCAGTGACATTGTCTGGATGCACCCAGTATTTTGTCGTCTGGCGGACGAAGCTGCCCTGGGTACCACCAGCAGCGCTATCACCTGTTACGGGATTGCCACGCGTCCTGACGTTGTTATACATATTGGAGAGTTTCACGACTTCAGCGTCGAAATCCTCATTATAGAAGGGTTTGTTCTTGAGTGCGGTATCGAACGAGGGTCGGAGGTGCCAGTTGGTCATTTTCTATAATATTGGTTAGTTTCACTATGAAGCGGTATACTCAAATAGGTATACGAACATCATGTTTCTTGATTATCTTGTAGAACCCCGTATAATTCAATTGGACATATTTGGCGAGATCGTGGACGTCGGCAATTATATCGCCCAGGTCTTCCTCAAGCAGTATGAATTCCTCTTCGGAAGGTCCTTGCTCTGTTAAGCCTCGCTCGGTAACTTTGGCGACAACCTCCTTAACTTCCCGTTCGCTGACCGCTATACGACGTTGGATTTCCGACTGCTTGACCTTGGTCTTAGTATAGACCTTCTCAAGCTCCGCATACAGTCTACTAATAAACCTCTGCTCGTCCTCTTCCGTCCATCTGTTTTTCTGCTGACTCTTGACTTTGGCCTTGCCCTTCTTGCTTCCAGAACCCGAGGGACTTTCGTCCACCTCTGCAAGCGGCCCGGAGGCCGTCTTCAGCTCACCCTTCAGTTCATCGTAGTCGATATAATACCATTGGTATTCGCGAATAATGCTAGAGCGGAGCTGCTCGCCGAACTTCATGACGATCAGACCCGGACGAGCGCGCCACCTATCCTTAGTATTAGGGTATCGAGTCGAACGCCAGGTAGTCTTCCTTGTAACCAAATCTTCAATAATTAGCATGGAGAAACATGAACAGATGCCAAACACACTAGTAGGAACATACGAAACAAGAAATAGTCAGTATAGGAAAAAAGAGAAAAGGTATTCCCAAGCCCCCAATGCCAACAGGAGTATCAATATTATATCGCGTGACTATGCTCGCAAAAAGAAAAGAGGATAATTAATAATAGTTAGATTGCAGAAAAGATAGCAATTGAAAAGATCATGCGAGGATCTCGAAATTTAGTCCGTAGTTACCTAGGTATGATAGGTAGTATGCAGTATGCAATGAATAAATGCGCGTAGTGCAAAAAATATAGTACAATGCGATGTTGAAAAGCTGCACGATCGATCAGTTGTAGCAGCGAAGCCTGCAAACCGCCCTGGAACTCGTTTAGCCTCGCGTCATGATACAGGGACATTCCCCACTTGTCGCATATCCACAACGGTAGCAGAATTTGACCGTCCCTCCCGTCCAGCAGCCATTGCCCAATCAATTAGAGTTGGGCTAGCACGTGTCAGTCCGCTGAATTTCCAGACTCCCAGCCTGGATTTTAGCGGCTCCAATGGTATGCTTTAGCGCTTTTAATCGCTAAAGGAAGCTAGCTTAACTAAAAGGATAGAGAAAATACAGTCTAGATTTTATTCCTTCACACCGTACGTACCTACCTACCAGGTATGGAATTGATTCCGTTACCCCACCTGCGAAAAGGCAAGGTCTTAGGCTAGGTACCTCCTAGGTAAATCACTTTATAGCTTATCGGAACCCTGAATTTTCTTCGTTACCCCACCATACCTACCCCCCTATCTCAACGAACCACACGAGGGTATAGCTATATCGCAAGAACCTGTCCTTACCTAGATACCTAGATACCTTTTTTGTAGATATATAGGATCCAATAAAGGCCATGACAGAAAAGAATGACAGCATCGACGCTCGCATCCCGGCCTCGTGCCCGGCCTCTGTTTCTCAGATCCTATACCACGCCTGGCACCACGATATCGCGGGGATCAAGCCCCTATTAAACGTGCCAGGTCGCGCGAGCGTCCAGGAACCTAAGACGGGCGAAACCCCTCTACATGCTGCGATCCGTGCTTGCGCGCCTGTGAACCAAGGCGCACTAAGCGACGGCACTGACAACGTCGAGGAGCATGCTAAGACTGTCGTACACGAGCTGTTCATGAGCGGTGCCATCTGGAATGATGTTGATAACAACAATGAGACACCGGGGTGCATAGCCGCGCGCCTCGGGCTCAAGGAATTGTATACTCTATGCGTTGAGGCCGGTGTGCGAGCGGAGCTGTTGTTCGGTTTGCTGGATGGGTATGAAGAGCTTGAGTCTGACGACGGAGATGAGGAAGAGGGGGAAGAAGAAGAGGAAAAGGGAGAACATGGTCCCCAAGATGAAGAAGAGAAAGACTTCGAAAATTCAAATGGCGGTGGCGTGGAAGAAGATATAGAAGTTATAGTAGACTCGGACCGTGCCTTCGTCCCACCGAAAGGCACCGTCGGGCCTAACGTCAACAGCGCAGATTACCTACGTTCGAACCTGACATATAGCGACGGGAAGCTAGTCGACTCGGCCCAGAACGGTGTGATGAGTGTGTACCTTGGCTACTAATAGTTCAACTTTTCTTCTAGAATAAGCTAACCCCTATTCTCAAACAGTGGCCTGGGAAACATCTATTATGCGCGCCTCAGTCGACGCGCTCCTACCCGGCCTCCCTGCCGGCCGGAAGATCCTCAATATCGGTTTCGGCATGGGTATCGTCGACCGTATGTTCGCTGAGACGCGCCCAGCAAAACACCACATCATCGAGGCACACCCATCCGTCCTCGAACACGTCAACAGTTCGGACTCTAAATTTGGCAAGGAATGGGAAACAAGCGGTCCGGCCGAAGGAGCATTCAAAGTCCACGGCGGTAAATGGCAAGAAGTGGTTCCCAAGCTACTAGAACAGGGCGAAACGTACGACGCCATCTATTTCGACACGTTTGGTGAGGACTACGGCCAGCTACGCATGTTCTTCACTGAGTACGTGCCCGGGTTGTTAGAAGAGCAAGGCAGGTTTGGATTCTTCAATGGCCTAGGCGCCGATCGGAAGATATGCTATGACGTCTACACGCAAGTAGTTGAAATGCATCTCAGCGACGCAGGCATGGATGTAGAATGGCAGGAATTGGATGTGGACATGAAAGATTTGGGTAAGGAAGGAGAAGGGGAATGGCAAGGCGTTAAAAGACGTTATTGGACTCTAGACAGTAAGTCAATCCGCGATCTGGTCTTGCAACGTTTTTTAAAGCAAGCTAACCTGTGTGGTAGAGTATCGACTACCGACCTGCACCCTAATGGGCTGAACTCCGTGCCACATTTTCTAGTCCCGTAGCCAGACACCAATTAATTTTTTTTTGCGTTGTTTGGACCATCTTCTCTATGTCTATCCTTTTAAGGGACATACCCTTATCTTTTTTTTCCTTATGCAGTTCTACTACGCTACCTCCTCGCAAGATCTCGTTGCTCATTTAAAATTTTCGGGGTGAAGAATACCAGCAAGGTTACCCTTCTGCACTCTCTTCAGCGTGAGAGCGGCAATAACAGCAGCGCCGACACCACTTCCATCTTCGGCGGCGAGGATCTCGACCGGGTCTTCCTCTTTAAAGTTCTTCTTAGCCGGCCAGTCGAGAATCTCTCGGAGAGCTTGTGCGCCTCGTGCCTTGAAATGCGGGTATTTGTTGAATACAGAGCCGTCAGCGCCCACGTGGCAAGGCTGAAGGTTCTTCTTGGTGCAAATAGCAGCAACTCCACAAGCCGACAGACGAGCCGCACGTGTGCCGATCAATTCAGCAGTTCGACGGATTAGCTCAAGTTCGGGACGAGTGCAGGTTAAGTGGAGCTTCTCATGGAACAAGTCTGCAGTCTCTTGTAAGTTCTCGAAAGGATCACTACGTAGGGTCAGCACGATATGATCAGAGTGTTTATAGCCCGTCTATAACTTACTCTTCGATAGCTGAGAGGAAGGACGAATCAAGAGTGTAGGCTTTTCGGAGGTATTTGATATCCTGTCCCTCAAAAATATGAACATCCTTGTTATCATGCAAGTCAACTAAGACCAAGCGAAAGATTTCGCCAAGATAAAGACCGGCGATGCACTTTTCGAAGGCTTGTTGGCCTGGTCGAGGGGATTCCTTGTCAACGATGATATCATAAGGAGTGCGAGGGAGGACCTTGTGTTCGTTATCAAAGGCGCCCCATTCGCAATTGATAGCCATCGGCAAGTTCGGGTCCAGGTTCATATGGGCCAACTTTGGGATGGAGCCGCAATTCTCCATATATGCCGCATTGCAGCCAGTTCCAAAAATGCATCCAATAGCCATCTTCGGGTCGGTGTAAGCGGAAGCAATCAGGGTTCCTGTTGTGTCGTTAATCAAAGCCGAGACTTTGATAGGGACACCCTAGGATTTTGTTAACAACTACGTCCAAGTATTACCTTTATCCAATCCGACTTACCTGTTGGTCCAGTGCAGCTTCTAACATCGGTACAACATTCTGGCCTTCGACGCCATTGATATCAAACCCCTTGGTCCATCGCTGTAGGATGCCCTCATCGATGTAGTTCTGAGTGGCGGGATATGAGAAGGTAAAACCAAGCGGGATCTTCCCCTGTGACTCCGGAACCTCACCGTGATGAGTTTCGATAAACTGTTTCAAACAGTCGGCAATGTACTCCCATAGCTCGTCGGAGTCGCCGGTCTTTAGCTCTTCGGGCATACGGTATTTTGACTGAATGATATCAAACTCCGACTTGTTATCCGTTAAGGTAATCTCACAGACACGGAGGTTGGTACCACCCATGTCTAGAGCCAAGTAAGTTCCTGTCTCGGATCCATCTGGGAAATCCATAACCCAAGTTGGGTTCATTGGCTACGTTGCTCTAAGGTTAGTTTATTTGTTTTTACAGAACATCATTTCTGTATATAGAGCTTACAATACTGCCACCCTCTACACTCAAACCTATCGTGCTGTTAGTATATATATTGTAATATACCTAAGATAAGCATGTTTACCCTTTGCAAGCTCAGATACGAAGTGCTTCGTGATCTCCTTAAGCTTAGGCGTTTCAACAGTGAACTGCTCTTCTAATTTCTTGATTTCGGAGAGAAGATCTTTAGGCACGTCGGCCATAGACCCTATTATCACATGTCAGTGAATATGCAGATATTGATTTAGAGGTAAAAAGAACCATTGATGTCATCATTCGAATTGAATTGGTGTTGGTGGTGGTGATATGTATGAAGACGCGTTACACGACCAAGAGCGTGTCCAGATTCCATGGTAGTGTTTAGGTAATTATTTATGATATAAAAAGAGGGAGAATGTGAAGAAAGCTTCACTATGTGTGAATATCTCGCAGGATTTGATGGTAGGTAAAAGCCAGGACAGGGACGGCCGAGACTTGAATTCTAACCATGCCCATATTCGGCTGGTGAACTTTCGAGTAGGTTTCATAGCATTGAATAGCTCCTAATAATTCTCCTACGGAAGGAGAAAGCATGCTATGGTGTACCATTATGCGTAGCAACTGTGTAATTGAATGACCGATTCTTAAAGGAGGAAGGTCCAACGAGTGTAAAGAGTGGGTAGCAAAAAAGGGGTTTAGATGAACACTAGAACTGAGTTTATAAGGGCTGGGATGGTAGCTCTAACTCTAGCATATCCTCTCAAGTAGAAATAAAAAAAATTACTTATATTAAATCTCACATAGAGAAATTTGTACGTACCCTTTCGGGATGGTGGCTTGCGAGGACCGAGACCGACCATCTTGATAGTATATTTGTATTAATATTCAAGAGATATTGCTCTGTATTACGAAAGTATATGGGAGATGAGTCCTTGATTTCTGAAGCCTTATATTTATGTTAGTGTAAGTAATAAGTAGGGAAACGATACGATCCCCAAAAAAAAAAAATTTAGAGAAAGAAACATGGAGGGGTGAGTATTAGACAAACAGCCCTAGCAGCTCCATATATTAATACCTAAATAGAGAGTGCTATCTTAGAGCTAGACAAATAGGAAGGCTAAGAAAAGATTGAACGTAACAATTAAACTTACTCAGCTCAACCAGATTTTAACATAATAATAATAATAATATATGAGTATGCGGGTAGGGCGAGGCAACGAAAAGAAAGAGATAACGTAGTAGGTTGTGTTGTATTGGAGCTTAAGGTCTTTTCTATGATGAGGGGAATTAAAGTTGACGAAAGTGCCCCTCCATCCTCGACCCATAATATCATGTTCGATTGGGTCGATTGGTTCTACGACAATTCTAGTCATTCTCATTGGCTTCTAAGCTGATCTAGTTGGGTGGATCTAGGTCGTACTTAAAAAAGTCGGGCATACCTTTAGGTACCATGATATAAGTACTCTGATGTAGTTGAAGCCAAGTTCCAACAGGTTTATTACAACGACAATGGTCAATAAGGTCGTAATTCGTTATCGCCGGAAACCCCGTGGTATTCGCCCATTAAACCACCCCGTCACTTTGTTTCCTATGTATAGTTATATCTACCCTTAGTTAATCTATCTAATACCAAAATATCTCAAATTTTGTTTCGGACCATGTTAGATCAGCGGTGTGCTTAGTATCTAACGCGCTCAAATATTTATTGTCTGTACAACAATAGCTAAAACATTGGCATCTTGGTTTCCGGACTTGTCAATATGGTATGGAGTTCCGTAAGTCTTTGAGCGAGCTGAGGTGCAAATGCTAAGACCTGCATGTCCGTCACCCCGCATTCAACATCGAAGTTTTGTCATGCTGGGGTTATGCTATCGTGGGGTGATTTATCTGCCAGGGATATGGTACTTTAGGTACATTACATAGGGCTGGTAGAGGGATTTGAGCGATTTGTTGAGCACGAGGTAGGACAAAATCCGTGATGATCACATGTGATATAGAATCGTAAGATGACGCTGTTTGGGTCATTTTTAGTACAGTTTACCATAAAGTTCTGATACTTGCAAGCTTAATTGCTTGAAATTTTAAAGATCTAGCCCATCCAGGAACTTCTATGTTTTAAATTTTCGATTTTACCAAATCGAGGTATTGTAACAGCCGGTCCCATCAAAAATACGGGGTTAACCGTACCCTGCCTTGCAGGTCTAACTAAGGATGATCTAATGCTGCTTTATCAGCTTATCAATACCAAGGTACATCTCGTGTCAAATGTACAGGTCTGGCTGCCACCTCCATGCAGGTGTCCACTCCGGCATTATCGCATACGGAATAACGTGCTTCCTCAATCCCGGTTCGGATATGCATTGGCAACGTAAGCTGTAACTGGGAACTTTTTTGAAAGGTGTACCTCTACCTCTTGGCTGCTCTGGAGAAGCCACATGTAGCTATCCCAAGTCAACATCTACAATCGCCGTTGATCATCTACATTGGCGCTGCTCATTTTTCATGAGTAGCCCATCCGGTCTTTCTTCGCCATGAAATTCACTGCAGTTGCAGTTACCTGCTTCTCCTTCTTTTCGCAGGTCCTAGGCGAATCCAATATTGCTGGACCCTCATCGTCTAAGGTCACTCTTCCAGCTACCTTCAAACCGCCACAAGTGTTCAAGAATGCCAATTTGGTACATGTCATCTCCCTAGAAAAGAACTACGCAAAGGAGTCTATAAATGTCTTAATCGAGAACTCGTCGCCGGAGTCTCAAGATGAATACTTCCTACCGTTCACTAGTGACCAGATGGAGAGGATTGGAGGTATCGAGGTGAAGGATCGAAAGGATACAAGCGTAACAGGCTTTGCCGTAGAAGCTATTGAATTTGATCCATTAAGGTAAAGGAAGCTCTATTACCTTACATTTCGATACCCTCGTCACTAATATAGCACCAGCGATACCCAATACTATCGCATTCGATTACCTGCACCCTTGCCGGCCAAGGGTCAACAGACCTTGGGCATCTCTTTCTACTACCTCAATGCGTATGCGCCGTTGCCAGCTTCGATTGAGCAATCTGAAAAGCAATATCTTGTCTACCAGTTCTCGGCGTATTGCCCATCGGTCTACCCAACATTAAAGCAGAAGACGGAAGTCAAGCTCCCATCTTCCGATATTCCTGACTACACCAAGATTGCCGGCAGCGGCGAGACTAAGGAATTCCCACAGAAACAGGGTTCGAAGCTTATCTACGGCCCCTTCCCCGAAGTCCCGGCCGACGCAGTGTCACCGGTCAAGGTGCGGTATGAATTCACCAAGCCCGTCACGCACGTGTCGCATTTAGAGCGGGACGTTGAAGTCAGTCACTGGGGTGGAAACATTGCGTTCGAAGAGCGATACACACTCTACAACCATGGTGCAAACCTTTCGGCTCAGTTCAATAGGGTGAAATGGGCGCAGGCTCAATATTTCAATCCTCAAAGCTACGCCTTGAAGGAGTTGAAATTCCCTCTTCGAGCTGGGAGCAAGGATGCTTACTTCACGGATGCTATTGGCAACGTATCGACGTCGCGTTTCCGTTCCAACAGGCGCGAAGCTGTACTCGAACTTAAGCCTCGATACCCTGTCTTTGGCGGCTGGAAGTATCCATTTACAATCGGCTGGAACTCCGATGCTAAACAGTTCCTGAGGAAGTCGGCCGATAGCTATTTGCTAAATGTGCCTTTTATTGAGGGACCTAAGCAATCTGAGGGCGCTGCATTCGAGCAGATCCAGGTTCGCGTGCTCTTACCAGAGGGTGCCGAGTGAGTACTTCTTCAGTTACTAGTTTTGAATGTCTATTAACGGTGTCATAGGAACGTTCGATTCCACACAACAATTCCCGAATCCTCTATCACAGATTATTCTGTCGATTTACAAAAGACATATCTAGATACCGTTGGCCGGACAGTGCTAACAATTAAAGCGAGAAACTTGGTGGACGACTTGCGAGACCGCGATCTTATCGTCTCATACGATTATTCGCTAGTGGCTAGCCTTCGCAAACCGCTTGTTGTATTTGCTAGCATGTTAACGGTATTTGTAGGGATGTGGGCAGTCTCAAAAGTGGATGTGAGGTTTTCTACGAAATAATGAGGGCGTTTGGTTCTTTTCAAAACGAATTCGGTACATATGCGCATGTACATTACAGGTTTTTCAAGGTTTAACGGAGGCCTGGAAAACTCTAGAGCAGCCCGCGGCTTAGATCTGGTGTGAATGAATACAGAAAGTGAATTAAATTCTTCGTGTTATGACCGTCACTCCTCATAGCGAGAATGAGTAAATATCTAGAGTTCAAGATATCTAGCCGCTTCATTGACGTCGGTAGATATCTAATACTTGGTTTTTCTCTTTTCCAAATAACACCAAAGTATGATGCTGCTACAACTATAATAAGTTGGTATTATTATGTCGTCAATTGGGTTTCGTCGTTGTCCAAGGGTCCTGGATCAGGGTGTTAATACGACGAAGCTAAACTAGTCCACCGGCACTTGGCTGCAATTAGACCTGCAAGCTGACGTCGGCGCAGCATCATAGGTCGTACCTCCATAAGTCGACTTCGGAACGGAATGCGAGAATGCAGACCCGATACACAGTGTTATACAATATCATGTTATATTCATGTCTGTATACCCAATTTCAAAGGGAAAAAAAGTATAGCTACTAAATAGGTAAGGGTTTACTAAGCATTCATGTATAAGGATGGATGTTCTAGGCGATGAAGATGAGTTGTTGTTACAAGTGGATGAATGCTATAGTGGATATTTCAAAAGAAGACAAGATAAGTATGGGGGAATATCTGGAAGCAAGTAGGTAATCCGTTCCTTGAAATGAATGGTTCTGTATGAAATAATGTCCCCATCTGCAAGGAATGTAGTGGTCTATTCTCGTGTTATAGGTTGCCACGGTTGAACTGCCTTGCTTGTACTGGTAGGTTGTAGGTCTGAGTTATACATAGAACCAGAGAGATGGAGTCCTTGGCAGTTCCTTGGTCTCCAAAGACCAGTTGTCTAGATCTTTAATGCGCTGCATGTGTGGCGTGAAAAATCGAGGTTTGGGCGGTTCTCGTACCATAAGTTTTTGCTTTGCCTACGTTGTGGAAATGTGTAGGTATAGGTATAGGTATCGTCGATATTACATAGCTGCAGGGATTACGACATGGAAAACAGAGATGCGTACCGACGATCTCTGAGGATCTTGAGAACATCCTAGCACCAATGACAACGCCAATGACCTAGGTCCGTATTCTTCGGTGTGTATAGGTAAAAGAAGGGTTACACTGAAATTTCCCTCCTCGTGACCTTTTCGGGTCAGCAAGGCTGAGCTCTAGTCCTATTAGACAGGTAGATAAATACTTGAACAATCTCATTCCCTCTCTTTTAATTTCGAGCATCAGTTCTCATCCATCCATCTATTCATCTATTTATCAATTCACCTCATCAACATCTGTGGTTAGAAAAAAAAAAACCCTGAGAAAAAAAGAGACTACACTTTTCGCTCAACTTTCAAATCTTATCGAACCTAAGAGAACTTATTATCTCGAACCTTCTACCAAGTACAAAACTTAGGTATAAATCAAGGATCTTAGAGATTCGGTTGAACTCGCCATACAACAACCTTTTCAAATCTATATTTCCTATGAGCTCTTCAACAACCAGAATCACGATGTGTTTCGGCGGCGGCGAGCCCTCGCGCAAGTACTACTATCACGAGGAGTACATCCCCACGAGAAAGGCCCACCACCATCATCACCATTCGTCTACACCACGAGCTAGCTACCATTCGCATCACACACACCACAGTCCCCGCGTGAGCACAGTTAGTTACCGGCACAGCACTCCCGTACTGTATGAGAGGACTAGCCAGACGAGATACCGCTGATGGATAATGATTTATCCATATTATTTTGATAAATTATAATATCTGCGATCTCTTTGAATGTGGCCGACATGACAAACGCCGCATCATTAATAATAAGAACACCTATACCGATAGGAAGATTGGGCTGGTTGGGAATAAACATTTTATATATGATTTTTTAATACTTGGTTTACCTATAATATATCTTTTCAGACATAATGGAATTTTTACGAAGAATGAATTTGGATGAGGACTAGGATTGGAGGTACATAGACTGCTGGAAGAGAGGAAGCACTTAGGTTAGGTAGCTTTGAGCTTTGGAGCTTAGGCCAAGATGGGATTGGGGTCAAAGAAATGACATCATGATAGCTCTTTAGCTTCCTTTCGTCATCATATACTACATAATATTTGGAAAGCTCAATACTTTAACCTAAGTACTTATTATTCTCTATAGGTGCATCCATGCTCACTTGTGCAAATGTGATGTGTTGCTTAGGTATGATCGAAGAGGGGGTAGATGTGAGACATGAATCTTGCTGCTTTCAACAAATATTAAGAATTTGATTAATATCTTCATGCCTACGAATTAGATGCGATAGTTCAAACGAATATATATATATATATAATACACTATATATGACTGTCATCTAGCTCTTTATTCGCCTACTACACTAACTAATAAACCCCTGCTCGAGTATATCTGATCTGCAAAATATATCGCACTCCACTGGAGATATTCTAGGTACTCGGAGATAGTGAATATTGGGTCTGAGAATCCTAGCTAAGATTACGAGCTATTCTTGTAAGTCTACTGATTTATGTGGCTCCCGCCTTCTACCGTTGCATCGCGAACCTACGAGGATCTAAATAGGAAATTACCTACTTGGGAAATATGAAGAACGTTTAAGAATTGGAAGCAGCGACTAATATGTCCATAGCTGTGGTAATCATTAAGAGGAACGCGATCAATACGCTTAGTTCCATCTTCAACACATCATGTAGGTCACGATGGATTTCCAATTCTTTAGCAGCAACTCGAAGGGCGTCTACGAGCTCGAGAGAATATCCCAGCTCAGTCGCAAAGGCAGCAGTCGCTCTTTGGGTTCGACAAATCTGTAAAATCTCTACAACCCTATTCACCCCCTAGGTAGCTAGTAAAACCCAGTATTTGCTAATGCTTGGATTTTTTATTCCTAGGAATCGCTCGCTCTCTATCCGCTCCAATAAGGGAGGCTCGGTAGGCTCGCCAACGCCGGCTCGCCGCAAGGGATTCTCCTTTGCATCGTTGCGCGGGTCGATCCAGCCAGAGCTGTCGCGGCGCTTGTACCAGCTGATCAAGTCGACCAACAACCTGGTGTCGGCGCATGAAACCGCGGGCCGGGAGCGCGAGACGATCGCAAAACAGTTGTCTGAGTGGGGCGAGCAGACGGGAGACGACGCCGTGTCAGATATCAGCGACAAAGTTGGTGTCGTGTTATCCGAACTTGGTGCTCAGGAGGAGACATATGCACACGGCCTCGATGAGGCTCGTGGCATCCTCAAATTCATCCGTAACACGGAGAAGAGCGTCCAACCCAGCCGCGATTCTAAGGCCAAGATTGCCGACGAGATCCAGAGGCTCAAACTTAAAGAGCCCCAGAGCTCTCGCCTCGTAATCCTCGAACAAGAGCTGGTTAGAGCCGAGGCCGAGAATCTGGTCGCTGAGGCTCAGCTGACGAATATTGTACGTCTCATCACAGAATTTTAATTATACTAACTTTTCGAACATGCACTGACATCATATGCGCTACCCGGGAGTAGACTCGTAACAAGCTGAAGGAAGCCTATGACGCTGAATTCGCCGCCGTGATCGAGCGCGCAGAGAAACAAATTATCCTTGCAAAACACGGTCGACGCCTCCTTGATCTGCTGGATGATTCGCCCGTCACGCCTGGCGACGCGAGACACACGTACCAGAACGGAGGCGCCGCCCGGCAGGTCCTGAACGATGCCGAGGACGATCTCAAGAGCTGGGAGAGAAACACCGAAAGCTATGACACGGTTGCGGGAGGATACGATATGACTACCGCTGGCCTTACTGTTAACGACGGTAGTACTACTACTAGTATGGGCGGGAAGGCAGGGGGTCAGGCGCCTATCATAACTGATACTGGCCGCATGTCTGTTGATGGTGGTGAACATCACCAACTAACGAGAGAGGCGGGGGAGGCGAGCGAGGCGCCGTATGTAAGCCCAACACCGACTTCGATCGATGATGAGAATAATGAAAGGGGACTCTAAGTAGTGGTAAGACTAATATGTTAGTTGCTTGAGCCAACATGATAAATTGTCACAATTGGAGGTTTTCTGGAAAAGGGGAAGCTCTGTTTAGTTTTAGTATATGTATATCCTCTCTGCTTGAATGTGGGTGGGATTATGGGAAGGTTTATTCATTAGTGATATAAATGTATTGGGCTCGCAGCAGGTTTAGGTATTAGGAAATGGGAAATGGGGAATGGTAGGGCTTGGGATAATGAAAGGCTTCAAATTCCAAGTTATAGCTGTTGGCTTAATAAATTGCTTAACTACATAAGTACTTTCCTTAACTAGGTAAAGAAAAGTCTCACATATCAGAATGCGCATACGAAGAACGTTAATGCATTTAGGAGGTATAATATTGGGGTATTATTCCCTTGTCCGGGGTTCAATTATATCAAAGCTTCTCTAAAAAATGACGATTTATCGTCCTACCAAGTTACTCGGGCTACTAGATAAAATGGGTTCTATTGTCCTGTCTGGACGCCAGCTCCAAAGGTCCCTCTTTAGCTTATGTAGAAGCTGTAGTCGCCAACTTCTCCCGCAATTATCTCGGTCATACGCCAGTACCGGCTCGCAACAACCAGATATCTACGATGTTGTATGCGTGGGCGGTGGCCCCGCTGGTCTAAGTCTACTCACGGCGCTGAGTGAGTGCGCCCGTCCAGTCTGTTTAAGCCAATGCTACCCCCCAAGCTAACGCTCGACGCAAAGGATCGAACCCAACGACCGCCGGCCTGCGAATAGCCCTCGTCGAAGCGCAAGACCTCGAAAAAATCCGCTCATGGAAGCTACCCCCCGACCGTTTCTCGAATCGTTGCAGCTCGCTGACCCCGGCGTCCGCGCAGTTCCTTGAGAATGCAGGCGCCTGGGCACACGTACGCCGCGATCGTGTCCAGTCGTACCACGAGATGCAGGTTTGGGACGGGGTGACGGACGCGCGTATCGAGTTTGAGTGGACACCGCCCGCCGTCGGGAAGACTATCGCATACATGACCGAGAATTTAAACCTGACGTCTGGCTTACTGCGCCGGATAGATGAACTAGGCGGCGTGACGGTGTTCAACGGAGCCAAGGTTGCGGGTATCGCGTTCGGTGAGGAGACGGAAGATTTAGACCTTCGCGAGTGGCCTATTGTGCATCTAGCGAGTGGAGAGCGATTGGCTGCGCGGTTGCTAGTGGGTGCTGATGGAGCGAATAGCCCTGTGCGTGCATTCGCAGGGATCGAGAGCAAAGGGTGGGATTATGAGAGGCATGGAGTTGTGGCGACGTTAAAACTTGAAGGAGAGGGATGGGGTGGAGACGCCATGAAAACTGCATACCAGAGGTTCCTACCTACAGGCCCTGTCGCTATGTTACCGCTACCCGGAAATCTATCAACACTTGTGTGGTCGACAACGCCGTCGAATGCTGCGCTGTTAAAGAGCCTATCCCCGAAGGACTTTGTTGCTTTGGTCAACGCGGCTTTCCGCCTGCGTCCCGTAGATCTCGAATACATGCATACACTAAGCTCCGGTCAAGAGGAAGAGCTATCTTGGAGACTACAACACACGCAGTTTGACCGCCGGGCAATACCACAAACAGTTGTGGGTGTACAGGAAGGCACTATCGCATCGTTCCCATTGAAGATGCGACACGCGGACACATACATCGGGGAGCGTGTCGCGCTGGTAGGAGATGCAGCCCATTCAATACACCCGCTTGCTGGACAGGGCCTCAACCAAGGCCAAGGTGATGTAGAAAGCCTAGCACGAACGATCGAGTTCTCAGTGTCACACGGCCAGGATCTAGGAACGCGAATGTCTCTCGAGTCTTACAACTCGGAGCGTTATGGACCCAACCACGTTCTCCTGGGGGTCTGCGATAAACTGCATAAGATCTATTCGGCAGGTAGCGGACCCCTAGTACCTTTAAGGTCGTTGGGGCTTAACGCGATTAATGCTATGGGACCTGTCAAGAGCTTCTTTATGGAGCAAGCCGCGGGCAACGGCATCAAGCTGTTCTAGACTCGTAAACTGGCCATTATGAGCCCTTGTACAATAGTAAATAGGTGACTACCTAAGCAGATAGGCTAGAGTAGAGCAACTCAGTGATCCTGCATATTATGTACAATATATTGCTCATGTTAAAGGCAGTCAAAGAGTAGTAGAACGCTATTGAGATCGTTGTCAGGATAAATATGCCAGCCTTAAGACCATAGCCCAGATCAATAACGACCTCAATGCCATAATCGTGATACCTAGGTAGTTGTAACTATTCAGAAACATCATCTTCTTCATAGCGACGCGTCAAGGCACCAACTACAATGAAAACAATAAAAGCAAAAATTCCGCCCACTACGATCCACGAGGGATAATAGAAGAGGGTCAGCTCCGCGCTGTGCAATGCAGGCTTCTCCTCTTAAGAACCCACATTCTTGAGCGAAGGTTCTTCAGACAAGGTAAGTATGAAGAAGAAAAGAAAAGAAGAAGGAAGAGAGAGCTCAAGACGAATAATTAAATATTTATTTTAAAGTGGAGCTATTACAGGAGCTAGAGGGGTCAGCTGATCAATACATAGTAGGGTGTGTTTAGTAGAGTATTACTAACAGTTGATAACCAATCGATAAGATAATCGCTTCCTTTCTTTGGTCGCAACTTATTATATTTTTTTTTTTTTTGACATACGCTTCCCGCCATCCATTGAATTCACCCCACTCAGAATTCAAAGTCACAACCAAACAAAATGGCACCTTCGTCAGGACGGCGGCAACCGCCAAGCACGGAAGAATTAGATGAGCGTAATGTATGCCTCTAAACATTTACAGGTTCTATATAAATTTCGATCTAACTTGTAAGCTAGATCGTAGGTATCAACAAAGAAACAGTCACCAATACAGTCTCCAATGATTACCCGGAAAACTACGCGAACGAAGAGAACGCATGGGACAAGGAGGCTTTCCGCAAGAGCTTCAAAATCCAATGGCACCAAAATGAGCAATTTGAGGCGCAATTCTCGCTTATCGGAGTTGACGCTTCCATAGCAAACGCCTTCCGCCGAATTCTCATCGCTGAGATTCCCACCCTCGCCATCGACATAGTCTACATCCACAACAATACCTCCGTAATCCAAGACGAAGTTCTCGCCCACAGATTGGGTCTCATCCCCTTCACTGGCGGGAAGAAGGGTCTGCGGGAGTGGATGCGGTTCTGGCGACGGCCCGCCGAGGGCGAGGGTGCCTACGATACGACTTTCGACAACAACACAGTATGTCTGAAGCTCAAGGCGCAGTGCACGCACAACAAGAACGCGCCGCCCAACTCCAAGGACCCGAAGGAGCTATACCACAATGCGCACCTGTACGCCAAGGACATCACGTTCGAGATGCTCGGCGCCCAACCTAAGTTCTTCTCGGGTGAAGACGCTGTTCGCCCTTTCAACCCGGACATCTTAATCGTCAAGATGCGCCCCGGCCAGGAGGTCGATATCGAAATGCATATGCATAAGGGCTACGGCTGGGATCATGCCAAATGGTCCCCCGTTGCCACCGCCAGTTACCGACTCATGCCGTCTATCAAGATCACGCAGCCGATCTTGGGCGACGACGCCAAAAAGTTCGCGGGATGTTTTATGGACGGCGTGATCGGATTAGAGCCCGTGACGCGGCAGGAAGCCCGTAAAAAAGGTAGCGGGTATGAGGGCCACGAAGGCGAGCTTAAGGCCGTGGTGAAGGACCCGATGCGCGACACGGTGAGCCGCGAGGCGCTACGACATCCCGAGTTTGAGGGCAAGGTCAAGCTAGGCAGGAGACGGGACCACTTTATCTTCTCGATCGAGAGCACGGGCCAGTGGGATAGCGACGAGTTATTCCTCGAGTCCGTCAAAACCCTAAAGAAAAAGTGCCAGGTGCTCCGGCCGCAGGTCACGAATATGGTCTACACGTACTAGATGGCTCTAAAAGATACCTTCTCTACCATATCTATAGATGAGGCTAGATCGTGATAGGTCGTACCTACATAATGAAGTATACAGTTGGAGGGGTGGTAGTGGCGGTAGGGGTGTGGCTTCGCCTGCTCTTGCAGACGAGGATGCGTGCATGCATGTATGGAGTTCCTTTTTTCGTTCTATTCGTGACACCCAATCGCGGCGTTTATTGGAAAATGGAACTGATTTTGCCAGGACAAAAATAGGGGCAAGAAATAAAAGACTAGAAAGAATTACAATCACGTATTTTTGAGCTACATACGAAGAGGACCTAGTGGCATTGCTTCAAATGTTGAGTTCTTCTTTATTCCTAGTTTAATTTAACTAGCCGTTACTTCTCGCTTATGAGAATCGTTGGGAGTGTTTAGGAATATAGTTGATGAACGGTACAAACTCATTTGCTACCTCTAATAGCAAAGTAGCATGTTTGATGCTAGACTTTTCTGCTTGCGCTCGAATAGGGGCTACCCCTACGCAACTGTTTAGAAGTGCCATAGATTTGAGATACTATGGTATATATAATCTGAATCATTGCCAGCCCTGCTTATGAGCTTAGTTTTTAGAACCTGATAAGTATTATAGGAATGGAAATGAGTGAAATATAAACGCCACTTACTCTCGATTTCACATCACAATATGACCTAAGAGTCTAGGGATATATGAGACTTTGGCACCTCTTATATCCCTTTCCAGAATCCGGAGAGCACTACTGGCAAAGTATCATGGCGTAGTTTAAGAATATATTCCGTTTAACTTATATGATCAAATTCCCAACGTAGGAAGATAAGAAGAGTTCCAAGGCTAGTAGTACGACCTCGTACTCGCACTCCGGTAATCTTCATGAGTGCCCGGGAATGCGCCGACCGGTGACGCGAGGGCAGTCCCCTCCTCGTCATCCGAACTAAGCTCGACGCCTTGGTAGTTGTCCGGCCCGTCCGGCGGTGCACGCATACTTTCTAGAGACTCTCTCTCGAGCTCCGGGGGTTGGTATGGTTTGATTGTGTGCATATCCCTTCCGGAGGGAAGACTGGCTAACAATGTCCCCGGCGACGGGATAGCCTGCGTGAGCATCTGTTCATGTATAAGCTATGGCGACGTTTATTTTCCTAGTCGGACTTACGGTATCGTTGATTTTGGTCCATTTCGCATCCAGCATCTCGATCACGCGCGTCTCCTCTAGTTTCCCAGCGTCCGTGCCCCAGTTAGTACCCCTTTCGATTTTCTTGTCTTCCCTCCTCTCAGTCCAATCCTTCTTCATGCGGCTGAGGCTTAGGCCCTTTTTGGTCTCCTTATACTCGATGCCAAGTTCTTGAAAGCCGCACCGCAGCCAGCCCAGTGCGCTGCCGGTTTGACCTGACAGCTCAGCATCGATAGCAAAAAATCGGCATGCCTTTGCGCGGCTCGTCCTCCGGAAGTCCTCTAGATATCGTAGCAATCCTTCGTTAAGTTTTGAGGATCCTCTTCCGGGTGACTTGCATAAGGAAGATGCTTGAGCTGCATGATCCGCAGCCGCAAGACAGAGCCGAGCAAATAAGTGAGCCCGAACTTTGGGTATCTCAGGCGCCTTATACATCCACTCTCGGTCATTTTCGTTGCGGTCTTGAGCAACAGCAGCTGGATATGGATCATCCTTAAGGACTGCAAGTAAGGTGGCCTCAGCTAGGGCAAGTAAAGACATAGCGCGGGCGGTGGACTGGGATATATCAGGACAAGGGGGGATGGTGGTAAGACTCTCGGCTCGACGAGCAACATAGTCATGCGCCGAGGCTGCATCCAGTAGATATTTTGTAGCCGTAGTAATTATCTTAGTACGCTCCTGCGGACCGAGAAGCGGACCTGAGGTAATATAGAGTGGATGTAGGGTATAGCGGGCAAGTAAAGTATTAGTATAACCTAAGGTCGAAAGAGTGAAGAATAATTCATATTCTAAGGACTGTACTTTAACCCTAGATATTTCTTTCCCGGGTATAGCATAGTCGGATAAAGTAGGCCGCCATTTTATAGCAGGGGTAGACGTCAAAACCACACTGAGCTGCTCACCAAAAACCGACTTGTTACTCAAACCAGCGTCGATAGCAAGGAGATATGGAAGATAGTTATTTAAATTAGAGATTACTGAAGGTAGATTTGGTGCCTGAGAGGCAGCTGGTAATTGTTTATGCTTCTTCAAAGAGTCGCCTAAAACCCCACGATGCGTGCTCGCATTAAGAGGTAGGGAGGGGTGTGACTCGCAGGCGATACTCGATGAGAAAAAGAAGCGTTTTGTAGTAGGGAGTATAAACTGAAAAGGCATATTGTTGACTAATAAAGCTACCTTACGTCTTAAAGATGAGAAATAGTCAATATGATGAATGGTATTTTAAATAGTTTGGAGTTTGGTTAAAGAATTGACTTAAAGGCTTTCTTAAGTCGAGGTAATGGCAGAATGGTAGCCAAGCTACTTGGCTTGTTAAGCTTGAGTTCATGTGTTCATGTTGTAATTGTACAACACCTCATAACCTGATATCTAACAAAAAGGAGGGTGTTGCAACCTGTGGAGCCGAAATATTCCCTAATCGAAATGTGACAAGCCACATATAAGAGGCTAAGGTGCTTAGGTACATAATATTTATTTCAGGTTTACGGAATACATACTTGGAGCCTGCTCGGGGAACACCAGGTACCTACATAGGCACCTAGTTTTTCCAGTGCGTCGATCCAAGCGTAAAACCATATTCTATTTAATAGATTGTTGTTTTTCATCCTTAATGTTCTCTATATTAGTGCTGTCTACACAAGTTCGACGTAACACCCTTAAGGGGGTATTGCGCATTGATTAAAGAAACGGGCAAAATTTGGGATTTAATTAAGATTTACTTTATACATATAATTTTATTAAAAACCCCATATAATTTAAATATATCTTTTTTAATATATATATTTTTTTTATAATAATATTTTATAATTTATATAATTATATAATTATATTATATTTTTATTATAATATATATTTATATATTAATTTATTATAATTTTTTATATTTTATTAATTTATTATAATTATTTATATTTTAATACCTATTTATATATTAATCTTTTATATTTTAATATATATTTATATATTAACCTATTATAATTTATTATAATTATTTATATTTTAATATTTTTTTATATATTAATTTTTTATATTTTAGTACATATTTATATATTAATTTATTATAATTCTTTATATTTTATTAATTTATTATAATTATTTATATTTTAATATTTATTTATATACTAATTTTTTATATTTTAGTATATATTTATATATTAATTTATTATAATTGTTTATATTTTAATATTTATTTATCTATTTATATATTTAAATTTTTATTCTTTTATTATATATCTAAATATATTTAATAAATATATAAAAGGTTAATAATTAATAATTAATTTTTAAAAAAATTTTAATTATAATAATATGGTTATAAAAGATTTTAATTATAGGTTAAAAGTTTTAAATAAATTTTAATTATAAATTAAAAGTTTTAAATAAATTTTAATTATAATATAAGGATTTTAAATAGATTTTAATTACGGTATAAAGATTTTAAATAGATTTTAATTATAAATTAAAGGTTTTAAATAGATTTTAATTGTAAATTAAAGGTTTTAAATAAATTTTAATTATAATTTTAAGATTATATAATATATAATAATTAATTATATATATTTTTAAATTTATTTTTAATTATTTTAAAAAATTTTTTTTTTAAATCTTTTTTAAATTCCTTTTTTAATATTTCTTTAAAAATAAAATTATTAATATTTTTATTTATTAAAATTTTTAAAATAATTTAAATATTATTATATATTAATATAATTAAATTAATTTTATTAAAATTAAAAATTTTTAAATTTATTTATTATTTAAAATAAAATATTTTAATATATTAATAAATATAAATAATTATTTTTTAATAATATTTTTTAATAATTTTATTAATTAAAGATTAATTAAATCTATAAAATAATAAATAAATAAAGATATTTTTTAAAATTTTTTTTTATTAATTATTAAATTTTATTTTATTTATTAAATTTAATTTATTTAAATTAATTTCTAATTTTTTAATAAATTTGTTAAATTTTATAATATATATTTTTATAATGTTATTTTTATAAAAATAAAGATTTTTTTATAATTTATATTAAAAATAATAATAAAATTATAATATATTATTATAATTTAAAAAAAATTTATAATAATTATATATTTTAAAATTTATAAATATTTTAAATATTATTTAAATATTAATAAATTATTTACATAATATAACGCTTTTTTATTATTATATTTTTTTTTCTTTTTTTTTAATAATTTGGCGTTAATAACTGCATTGTTTTATATTATTAATAATAAGGTAAAATTAATTATTTTTTATTATAAATAATTTAATATAATTTAAAATATATTTTTTTAATTAATATTATTATTATTTAATAATTATTATATATAAGTTATATAATTTCTTTATAATTATAAATCTGTTTATAATTATTATATATATAATTTTTTTAAATTTTTAATAAATATATATTATAATAAAAAATATTAATATTTAGTTGATTTTTAAGATTTTTAAATAAAAATAAATAAATTTAAAAAATTTATTAATAATTTATAAATTTATTATTAATATATATATAATTACTTAATTAATTTTTTCATATAAAAATAAAATTATTAAATTTTTATTCTTTTAACTAAAAATAAATATTATATAACCAGATTTATTATAATATAAAATAATTATAAAAATTAATAATAATAAATTTTAAAAATAATTTAATATTATTTATAATTTATAGAAATATATTTTATATTTATACCAAATATTTCTAATATTATTATATATAAATATATAATTATGGATAAAATAATATTTAATTAAAAAGTTAATTTTAACATAATTATATACGTTAATTTTAATAATTTAAATAAATTATTATTAATATCTTAATTTTAATATATTAAAAAGTTTAAAATTAAATAGTTAAAATTTATATATAAAATAAAATAATAAAAAAAATATAATAATCTTTAATTTAATAGTTTATTTATAAAATTAAATTATTAAATAATTATTATAATTATTTAATATTAAAAAATGTTTTTTATTAAAATCTTTTAACATTATATATTAATTAAAATATTTAAACCAATTTAAATTAATTATATTATTAATTTAATTATTTTTATTAATAATTAATATTATATTATTAATTAATTTATTAAATATTTAATTTTTTAATATTTAATAATTAAATAAAATTAAAAATAAAATTATTATTACTTTTATAATAAAATAAATCTTAATTATTATAATAAATATCCTAAAATTAAAATTAATTAAATAAAATTTTAAAAGATTATTCTAAATTTATAATTATATTTTATTTAAATAATTAATTTTTATATTAATTTTATTTATATTATATATATATTAAAATCTAATATAATAATTTTATTATATTTAATATAATTTATTAAATTAATAAATAATAATAGTAATATTATAAATTAATTTATAAATAATTAATATTAATTAGTTTTAAATTTATTTAAAAATATAATAATTTTATTTTAAAAATTAAATTATTTATTATTATTAAATATATTTAAAATAAAAATATATATTATAATTAAATAAAATAATTTAATTAATAATATGTTAAATAATATTTATATTAATATAATAATTAATTTTAATTAATTAATAAAATTATATTTATATTAATATAATAATTAATTTTAATTAATTAATAAAATTATATATAAAAAGTTATTTTTTAAAAATTAATAAAAATAATATTATTATTATTATTTTTATTATAAAGATAAGATTTATTATATTAGTTTAAAATATATTTATATAATATATTAAAGTATTTAATAATGTTTTTAATTAATTTAAATTAATTTTTAAAAAAAACCTAAATTATTAATTAAATTTTAATCTTAATAAAATCATTAAAAATTATAGTAAATAAAATAAAAATAATAAGTAAAAAAGTAAAAATAATATTAATTAAGGTTGAAATAAGAATATTAATTATTGTTTCAAATGTTGTAATAATTTTAAGATTATTTATATTATTAATATATAAAAAATATTAATAAAATATATAATTTATAAATAAATAATAATAATTAATATTAAATATAAATAAAAAAAAAATAATTAAAGTTTTAATATTAAATATTATAATTTATATAATTTTTTAAAATTTTTATAATTTTATTTTAACTATTATATATATATATTTTATTAATATTAATAATTAAATCTATTATATAAATTACACAAATTATTTTAAATATTTTAAATAAAATAATATTAATAAAATAAAAAAAAATAATTTAAAATAATAATATTTAATAAAAATAAAAAAAATAAAATATTAGAAAAATATATTCCATATTAATAACCATAAAATTAAGATTTAAAATTTTATTATTATTTAAATAAATTTATAAAATTAACTTTTAATTAAATTATATTAAATAAATATTATTAACAGAATTTAAAATATAATAAATTTTATAAAAATTATTAAAAATAAAATATAAATATATTTTATTAAAGAAATTATTTATTTTATTTTATTTTAATTTTACGCTTTTTTGCTTTTATTTTTTATATTTTCCGAAATTTTTATTTTTACAATTTTTCCGTTAAATATAATAATATATTTTTTGAATATAATAGTATTTTTATTATAATCTAAACTAAAATATTTAATTAATATAAAAAAATACCTTTTAAAATTATTAAATTTTTATATTTTAAAATTTTTTTTAATATTTAATAATTGTATATTAATTCTTTATTATATAATATTTTATATTATTAAATATAAATTTAAAAAATCTTTAAATAAAAATAAAATAAATCTTTTAATATATTAAATATAATAAATAAGGTTTTTAATTAATATATTAATAATTTTAATTTTTTTATATATAATCTTTATAAATTTTTACATTATAAAAATCAAAACATATATTAATTGGTAAATATAAAAAAAAACTATATTTTATAATAAAAAAATTAATTAGATTATATTTAAAACAATTTAATTATTAATAAAAATTTAATTTTTATTTATTAATTAAAAACCTAAATTTCTTTTATCTTTTATAATTAAATATAAAATAAAATAAATATTTTATATATAATAATAAAAATCAAAATTCCTATTCTTTTGATTTATTAAAAAAAAACCTATCATTTTAATAATATATTTAATAAATAAATTAGATTT